GAGACCGAAGGTGATGGTGCCACGAACATAGTGGAGGAGCCGCTTTAAACACTGTCAATGCACGGTGGAGGGGGCATGCATAAACTGCGACAATTTATTGACCGCAAAAGCAATGCCAGGACCGGTGTAGACTAGATACTGCAAAGCACCAAGCGCTTGACGATAGCGGGTCGCATCCGTCGGTGGGAAACCATCATGTAACGATAGAGTAGTGGATGAAGCGAGCGGAGTGGCAGCTGGGGCTGCATCCAACATTTGAAATCTTGCTAGTACATAAGACATGTACTTATGTTGGGATAAGATATACCCTGTAGCTGTGGGAATAACTTCAATTCCCAGGAAATAAGAGACAGAGCCCATATTCTTGAGTGAAAATTTGTGAGCCAAGGCCTCTTGAAATGTCGATAGCACCTGTGCATTGTTACCAGTCAACAAGAGATCGTCAACATATACGAGAAAGTAGAGAAGTACCCCTTCACGATGGTAGACGAACAAGGAGGCATCTGATTGGGTTTTGCTGAAGCCGAAGTCGAGTAAGAATGAGCTGAGAGTCGTGTACCAAGCGCTCGGGGCTTGCCGAAGTCCATATAAGGCTTTGCGGAGACGGCAAACATGATGAGGACGCTGCGGGTCAACAAAACTAGGCGGTTGGGTCATATATACTTCATCTTCCAATGGGCCTTCGAGAAATGCTTATTGACGTCAAAGTGCTGAATTGGCCAATTGTGGGAGAGAGCGATTGTGAAGACTCTGCGGACCGTGACAGGCTTGACCACCGGACTGAATGTATCGTGGAAGTCGACGCCGGGGCGGTGATGAAACTCTTTTGCGACGAGGCGAGTTTTGAATCGCTCGATGGCACCGTTGGGGCGATGTTTCACGCGATATAGCCATCTGTTGCCAAGGACGTTGAAGTGAGGTTCCCTCGGCACGAGATCCCAGGTCTTGTTGGCAATGAGAGCTGAATTTTCGGCACGGAGCGCAGCCGCCCACTCGGGGTGGTTGAGAGCCTCGCGTACAGAATGTGGGTGGGGCAGCGGAGGACCTGCAGAAGCGGCACTGGTAAGAGCTGAAAATAATTTCTTGGGCTTGAAGATGCCGTGTTGGGACCGGGTGGTCATGCGAGCGGGCCTGGCCGGTGGAGAGGGCGGGCCCAGCGGAGAAGCAGTGCTGGGCGAAGGAGTGTGAAGCTGGGCCGAGGCTGGCCCAAAGGGCTCACTTGATGTCGTGGAAGAGGTCTCGGCACGGGGTGTGCTGGCCGCTGAGGGGGAAGATGGCGGAGCTGGCCCATTGAGTGGGGCTGGGCCGGCAGGTGATGGTGGGCCTGGAGGAGTGAATGGCAACGAGGTAATGGTTGGGGAGGGATCAATGATCCAATCAGCAACAGAATGGGTACCTGCCAGAGGTAGGAGTGGACGAGTGGCCAGGGAATGTGTGTTCCACAAACACTACATGATGGGACAAAAAAATGCGGTGAGTGAGTGGATCAAAGTAGCGATATGCACTGCGTTGGGGACAATAGCCAACAAAGATACAAGGGCGTGAGCGGGGATCAAGTTTAGTGGAGGAGTAAGGGCGCAACCATGGATAACATAAGCAGCCAAAGATACGTAGCTTGTGATAATTGGGGGGAAGGTTAAATAAAACTGTACAGGGAATTTGGCCACGGAGAGCAGAGGATGGGAGGCGATTGATGAGATAAACGACGGTGAAGAATGCAAAAGACCAGAAAGTGGTAGGGAGTTTGGCAAAGTGGAGAAGAGTGATACCAGTCTCAACAAGATGGCGGTGTTTACGCTCAGCTAAACCGTTGTGCTCAGGGGTATGAGGTGGGGTGAGTAAGTGACTAATGCCATGGTCTGCAAGGGTAGATTGTAATTTCTGAAATTCACCACCACCATCAGTATAGAGACGTCTAATGGTCGTGGAAAAGTAGTTTTCAACCATTTTGCGGAAAGCAAGAAACACGGAAAGCACATCAGATTTGCGGCACAGTGGATAAAACCAAGTATAGCGGGAAAAATGATCAACGATAATGAGATAATAAGAATATCCATCAATTGAAGAAACTGGAGCGGGGCCCCAAACATCAGTATACAATAAATCAAATGGACGAGTACTGGAAAGTGAGGAAACAGAAAATGGGAGTTTGTGACTTTTATTGGAAAGGCAAGAGTCACAATGACTAGTAACGGTAGGGGAGGTGACGGGAAGAGACTGAGAGCGAAGAAGACTACTCAACAAATGGGGTGAAGGGTGACCAAGGCGGGAGTGCCAGGAAGAGGCTGTGGTGCGGGTAGTGACAAGGGCAAGGCGGACGGTGTGGAGATCGTTGGGCAGCTCATAGAGATCGCCATTATTTTCCCCTTTCAGCAGCGGCGCCCCCGTGCGAAGATCCTTCACAACAAAACAATGAGCAAAAAATTCCACCAAGACTGGATTAGTACGACATAACTTGGCAATAGAGATAAGGCGTTTCTTGATAGTGGGAACGCAAAGAACATCTTGTAGATTAAAGGAATGCGTCGAATTTGCAAGATGTGAAGAGCCAATGTGAGTAATCTTTAAACCTGAACCGTCGCCAACGAAAATTTCATCGGGACCATTGTAGTCGGAGTACAACGAGAGATTCCCTAAGTCGGACGTGACATGATGGGAGGCAGCAGAGTCGAGAAGCCATGGGCCTGGGGACGGGGCGCGGCCCGTGGATGTGGCATGAATCTGGGCCTGCCGAGCTTGGTAAGCCTGTCTAGCTTGTGGAAATAACTGAAAACACTGACGTACAGAGTGGCCCGTTTTCTCACAATATTGGCAGACCACCTTAAGGCGCCGTGGAGAGGACAACTCACTAGGGAGCACTGGGCCTGGCTGCTGATGTAGTGGTCCTTGGGGCCGAGTGGTGGGCTGCGGCTGGAAACCCTCATAGGGACGTTGGGGCGGAGGGCGAGGGCTGCGAACAGAAGATTGGGGGCCGCCGCCGCGTCGTTGCTGACCTTGGGAGAAGAATGCGGTGGGCACAGCAATCTGCGACGAAGATTGCTCTTTGAGGTCGGCCTCAAATTCCACCAAAGCATCCATCAGGTCTTCAATAGTAGCAGGGGTGCCACGAGCCCTGAATGCCGCGGTGAATTGATTGTAGTCGGGACCGAGCCCTTTGAGGCAGTGAACAACCAGATCCATATCAGAGACGGGATCAGAAATAAGGGCAAGCTCAGCCGCAATGAGCTTCTGATCATTGACGAACGTGACGACATCGCGATCGCCTTTGATTGTCTTGGCCAGTTTGCTCTTTAAGTGAATGATACGAGAGGGTGAATTGCTTCCATACAACTTCTCAATTGAGCCAGGCCTCGCGGGAGGTGACAGCCGCCGATACAAAGGAATATAAGGAATCAGAGATTGAGCAACGAAGAGCGTGTAGGATTAGCTTGTCTTGACGGAACCAGCGATGATAAGCCGGATTAGGAGCAGCAGCAACATCAATGGTGATGGTTTTCGGAGGGGCAGAGCCGGTTCCATCGATGTAGGAATGCAAATCGAGACCCATCAGAAGAGTCTCCAATTGAGAGCGCCAAGAGTTGAAATTGAGGGAGGTGAGCTTCAGAGGAAGCTGAGCTGCAGGATTGAATGTGATGATAGATTGATCAGGCGAGAAGGAGCTGGAGCTCGAGGTGATCGTTGTGGTGCCGTCAGCCATGATAATAGAAAGACAGTGAGAGAGAGATATGGTAAAGGGAAAAATATATGGATCGATTCTAGCTGATCTTTGCTAGGCTCTGATACCATGTAAGATATTGATATGAAGGGAAAAGCATAATTCCATTGATTGTGATGATGATCTCTTATACATATTACAGGAGGGTTTGATGGAGGTTTGTTACAAGTGGTTGCAGGAAAATAGCTACCACTACTCTACTGCTCGTGGACTACGGGAAGGTTGGTTACAGTTGGGGAAATGGTCAAGAGAAATAAGTAATTTCATTCTTTATTTCCAACAGGCGGTACCCAAAAGCACTGCTTCTTCTCATCGTCACGAGGCCTCTTTTAGCAAGCGTCCGCTCTCGCTTGTGCGCGTTCTGGTGGCCGCCGAGGGCTTGCGAGCTGTAGAACTTCCTCTGGGAGCTGAATCGCTTAGTAAAGGGGCAGAGGAAAGTGACAGAGTGCGTCTATCTCCAAGATTTCGGGTGGGTGGATATGGAGTTATGATTTTCGGTTGGGTTCACCGGTTCAATTGGATTTGGTCATTAAATTTTTATTAATATCTTAGATGACGTGGCGTGCTGACTAGATGGAAGTAACGATTTTTTGGATGGAGATGGATGGAATTACCTTTCATTATTAATCCAAACATTTGTTATTGAAACGTGCAAAATGAAAGGTTTGTGACCATTTTGTGAAGTGAATAGGTTTGTGACCATTTATGCTAATTACCCTAGAGAGGGGTGACTTTCGAGTTCTAACTCTTAAAAAGATTTGAGACTCTTGATGGAGGGTTGTTTGCAATAGGTGAGAATTGGGATGTTTGGAATTGCGACTTTGATTGGTTTTGAATCTTAGAACTTTTTCCCTTAGCCAAAGTCCAAAACCATGTAGTCACAGAGAAGCGGTTATCGATTTTCTTATCGGTTAACAAATAACCGATTAGTCGGTTAGCTAATCGGTTAGCGGTTAACCACTAAGCAAAATACTACTAACCAAAACCGAAACCAATAAGAATTTAGAGATTATTGATTAACCACTAACCGGCTTTATCGGTTAAAACCGACTAACCGTTTATCACTCCTACTAATATCCATACCCTACCCAAACTCATCTACAACCCCCAAACTCATATGTACATCACATATACCCTTCGTCCCTACCCATAATTATTGGATCTACTTGAATTTAGGTAAAATTACTCATGGGTGGGTAATTGCCATCCTTAAGGACTCATATAAATTTATTCATCCAAAAATGATAGCCTATAAATTGGAATTAGGTGTTCATTAATTATTCACAAATAAGAAAAACTAGGGATGCCAATTTGAACCTACAATAGCGTGGGTAGGGGTATGAGTATCTACTTTTGATCGTCCTGCCTCGTTTCGTTCTTTAGCTATTATATCTCAATTTCTTTCAATATCTATTCATATTTCGGGAAAATCCCAATATACACCAGTAATTAAAAAAAATCCCAAAATACATAAGTTATAAAAAAATTCCTCAATCTACACATGTTTCACATTCACCGCCTTTGTCTAAGCCAATCACCGTGTTAGACAAATACAGTGAATAAGTCACAGCGTTTAATGAAGACGATGAAGGAATCACCGTTTTTATCTAAAGCGGTGAAATGTTCACCGCATTTTACTTAAACGGTGAAGCAATCACCATCTTTGTTAACAACGGTGAATTGATCACCGTTTTTGTGCAAAGCGGGTAACACCTTCACCGCTGTAGTTTAGGGCGGTGATAGTTGCCCACATTTTCCACCCCTGGTAGGTGAGAGTTAGGTCACAACCACCTAATGTTCACCGCCTTAGGGCAAGACGGTGATTGCCTTCACCGCTACTGACAAACACGGTGAATGTTGTCTGATTTTCATATAAATACCCCCACGAGCAGTTGTAAAAACGTAACCCCCCTCCCTCTTCAAATTTCAGCAAAAAAATCGAGCAAAATACATAGGAGCTATTTTCGGTATGATTTAATTTTATATTGTTATATAATGATGTTTTTAGTAGTTATATTTATGTAATGAATTACTTATCGTAGCAAATATGTTATGTTAGTTGGGAATTTATGTTGTTGTTAGTTATGAGATGGAGTAATATTAGTCATACAATATGGTTTTGGTTAATTTTATTGGAATTAAGCTAATAGTTACTTATTGTAAATTGTAGATATGGGTAAACGCAAGAAGTTTCAGCTTATTATTCGGTGCAATGGAAGGGTGACAAACTCTGACATTGGGATTGATTATGAGGACGGTGAATCCACTATGTTGAAAATTGAGTCGCGATTCACATGGCAAGAACTCTGTGACATTTGTGCATACAGGGTTTGTACGAGCAGACAGACGAGAGTTGGTAAAATTACTTACCGGTATCCAGACATGAGTGCTGGCGGGGTTGTGTACCAAGAAGTTGTCATAAACGATGATGACGCGGTTACGATGATGTTATAGTTTCTAGGCGATAACGGGATGCGGCTTGCAGAGGTCTCTGTTGAGACCAAGGTGGTCGGTGAAACTCATTCTCACCAGTATTCTTATGATGATTGTTTTGCGGGAGGGTACGTATGGGGTGGTAGTTCAAGCAACTATGAAGGAGGTGGTTATACATGAGGTTACGGATTGGGTGGTAGTTCAAGCAACTACGGAGGATGGGTGCCATAGAAAGAATACCCGCAACGTGATGAACCTGCCCCATTTTTTGAGGCCGTAGAGGTTCAATGGCTTGCCTGGGGCCCAGAGTGGGCTGAAATCGAGAATACCATTCGATTTGGGTGTACTTCACATGAGTGAGAAGACTATGTTGGTGGTGGTGGTCATGTTGATCCTTCTGGCCCGAGCTATCCATTCGACTCAAGTGACGATGATACTGAGGAAGGTTTGAGATCAATGAGCGAAGAGGAAGATACTGACGATGCCGATGACGATGTGGCATTTCGTGAGCCACTAACGCCATGCTACGCACATGTTCCAACTCAATTTTTACATAGTCAAAACGATGCCATAGACATTGTCCCTATGCCAGTGTATAATCCGATGGCCAATTTGGAGGTGGGTATGGCGTTCACATCGAAGGACACTCTGCAGGATGCTTTTACCGAAGATGCCATGCGGCGCAATTTCGAGTGGAAGGTAAAATATTCTGACAGTAAACAACTACATGTCATATGCAAAAATGTTGTAGAGGGTTGTATGTGCAACTGCGAGCTGCAAATATGAAGAGAAAGGGTGTCTGGGTGATTCGAAAAGCTGAGAACAACCACGCCTGCTCCTCGACTATACTTTCTCAGGATCACCGACAACTTAAAGCAAAGAAAGTGGCAAGAACTATTAAGCACCTTATTGAGGCACAACCAGATATCAAGGTCAAAGCCATCATGGCCGAGGTGAAGGATCGACATTCTTACACGATAAGGTACAAAAAGGCATGACATGGTAAGCAGAAAGCCATGGCTGAGGTGTATGGTGATTAGGAGGACTTGTATGCTTTACTCCCTAAACTTATGGCCGCTATGGAGGATTCCAACCCTGGGACTGTTTTCGTGCCTTCTTACAACAATGTATACACTAAGGATCAAGTTCGAGTAAAGAAAAGTTGATGTTTCACCGTCTATTTTGGACTTTCAAACCATGCATTGACGAGTTTGCGTTCTGCATACCAGTTACCTAGGTATTTTAATTACTAATTATTGTTAGAAAAGTTCAATTTCCCTGCTATGTGAATTTCATACTAATTAGATCCTAATTTTCAATTAGGTTGATGGAACTTTCCTTATTGGGAAGTACAAAGGCACTCTTCTCATTGCCACTGGCGTTGATGAAAATATGCGGATTTTCCCACTTGCATTTGCATTAGTGGAAGGGGAGAACAACTTAAGTTGGGCATGGTTCTTTGACCAACTACATGAACACATCACACAGCGGCAGGGTATTACGATTATATATGAATGACACGCGGGGATTAGGAATGTCGTGGGTGGTTTTCCTGACGAATGGGGATGGACATGGCACTGGTGTATTCGACACTGGCTTGCCAATTTCCAGCACAAATTTGGGAAGAAGAAAGACATAAGAGATCAATTGTGGCATGCAAATACTAATGTCTTTTAATTTGAGTTAACTATGCATTTAATAACTTTGTATTTATCATGTATTTACCATTTAATTTTGATCACCTTGCAGCGGTTGCACATCAACCAAAAAAGTATGAGCAGAAGATGAAGACGATCCGTCAGGTCCACCGAGCGGGAGCAGTATGGGCTGAAGGTCAAGACTTGCACATGTGGATGTTCCATATGGACAACGGGGCCAGATTCGACATTACAACTACCAACCATGGCGAAAGTATAAATAGAATGTTCAAGGACCTTCGAGCGATGCTTGTTTCTGTCATAGTTGAGATATCATACTGGAAGGTCAACGAGTGGTGCGTGAAGCGGCTTCAGCTAGCTATATGGAGGGAACTCTCTGGTCATGCGATAGCACATAACGTCTTTGATCAAATGCAGAAGAACGAAGAAAAATCAAGTAAGCATAAAGTTGTTCTTTTTGACCGCAGTGAAGGTATATTTGCAGTCAAAACAGGTATATGGGGTGGAGGGAGACGTGGCCACAATCGTCTAACCGTCACTCTACACTGAGAAAGCCTAAACGGGGAGTGTACATGTCAAAAGTATCAAAACACAAGAATACTTTGTTCACATGCAATGGTAGTAGCTAAGTCAATAACCATGAGCCCCCACATTCTGGTGAGTCCGTACTTCAATGAACAGGCGATAAGGAACTCATATGATGCAGCTGTGAGCCCCATGCCAGATGAAGAGTATTGGCCTATATACAGTGGGAAGTTGATTATCCCACCGTTGCTCCTAAAGAGCACCAAGGGTCATCCTAGGACTCAAAGGATTCACAATGAGATGGATCAAGTGCAACGCCCGAGGTGAGGGCCGAAGCGATGCTCCAAGTGCAGACAACCTGGGCATGACAAGAGGCGTTGCCCAGGACAACCTCTCCAGTATGATGCGGAAATTAATCAGGACCAACCTTGAAAGTGATCTATCTATCTTAATTTTCATTTAAATTTGTTGCTTGTTTAATGATTGTAATGATATTGGAATGAAGATCTATGAGCAGTATGTTGGAATGAATTTAAATCCAAATAGAAAGTAGACTAAACATAGATCATTGATTACTAGAGGCGAAAACATAAGACAGGAATGGAGAAAAACAACGTGGATAGTTTAAAGACAATGCAAGCTCAAACAACAAGATCGAGAAACACAAAACAACATGGATAGTTCACTGTGAAATGACATAAAACTAAAATAAACAAAGAAAGCATGAGAATTTCACTGGGTGACTTCATTTGGTTCCCCCTCATCTTGGTCCCCATCTGTTCCTCGTCCTCCACGTCGTCCTCGACCCCTTCTTCCGCCATCTCTCCCTCCTTCTTGGCGGGCTCGCTGAACGACTGGTCTCGGATTTCTCTTAACTCGAGCCCCAAATGGAGTCTGTATAGGCGGTGGAGGTGGTGGTGGCTGAGATGGAACAGTAGTCGGGTGGTAGATCGGTACCTGAGGGGTTTGCTGTAGCGGGGTATGATAAATCGGAGTCTGTTGCTAATGGTGGAATTGAGGGAACCCTTGGGGGAAAATGTTCGGTTCCTGAGATGGAGTGTAACTTGATGACCCTCCAGCGACCTACGTTGCAGATGGCCACTCGTATTTAAATGGTTCAGGTAGTTCGGTATCTTGAGTTGTACGCAGCTCTTGAAATTGTGGCAGAGGCTTGCGTTTGCTCTTTCGTGGGGGCTCAGGGGGGCACAATGCGCTCATCATCATGGAATGATGGGCGGGCCGGGGCGGGAAGTGGAGGATATGCCACGACATCCCTCCTTTGCTCTCGGGTACAACTCAGGATGTTGTTCATAAGTCTTCGCAACAAAGAAGTCTTGCGCTCATCCATGGTTGGAGCACGATCCACCATGTGCTTTGCGTGTTCCAAACCATCAACCTAAGCAATTTTATGTATATGACAAAAAATAATTAAATCTTAAAACAAAAGAATTAGGCTACGAGGGAGACTTAGGATGACTTACCAACGAACTTGTCACAGCACCTTGCTTTGACACCCATCTAAGCGTAAACTTCCGATACCACTGCATGTACCCATCGTGGTAACCCATAGGTCTCGTCTCTGACATCCCTTGGACCACCCAATTCCCTCTATTCTCCCAAATGTTGATGTAGAACTTATGCTTTAGAAGCCAATTCTTTGCCGAGTGTTGGAGGTCGATGGCATGAAGCTCCCTGAAACCTTGAGGTGGGGTTTGTGGAATTGGTTGCTCCAATCGATATTGCCTCAAGGATCGATCGGGTAGGTGCCACTCCACAATGTGCCAGCATATCAATGGCACCTTGCACAACCACGTCTCGTGATCCTGGGGGTGTCTCAGATGATGCAGCTCGACTACTTCACGTGGATATGGGTCCCATATAACCTATACTCACTAATAATTTGCAATTAGTGACCAATTACATTCACAAAAAATTAATTCGTTAAAATATTGTAAAGCATGATTACCTGGTTCTACCAAGGCTTATCACACTCAGCACGATAAAACAGTAAAGAGTGCTCAGGTTGATGGTCGTTTGTATTTGCTCCTATCCCTCTTGTAAGTAAAAGTACGGATATAAGAAATTTTTGAAGCATTGAATAATTTTGAACTTGGGTTAAGTACGAATAAATTTAAATCTAGCTAATGTAATTTAAAGCAAGCAAAGGATGGAATAAATTGCAATTAGGATAAATACAAAATATATTTAATTTAAATCTAGCTAAGCATGGACTAAATTTGCAATTAGGCTAAGTACGGAATAAATGTAATTTAAATCTAGCTAAGCATGGAATAAATTTAAATCTAGATAAGTACGGAATAAATTTACTTGACACCATAGGGGGGATTTTGCAGATTTCGTAGCTCATCATCTGCTCTCCAAAATGGACGTGGGTCTTGAGGTGCGAACATTGGAAGATGCTCTCATACCCAAAGCTGGAGGATGAACATCGCAACACCAACTTGTTTCGCTCCCACCTTCGAGCGAGTACACAGCTCCCTATATATGCCAGCTAACACGGCCGATCCCCAGCTCTTTTCCCCGATCGCGTCGGAATCACCAAGGAGCATTGGCAACCATATGCCTTGAATCCACCGGTTCCACTTGTCGGGGAACAAAAATCCACCGACCAAACCAATGAGGTAGATGCGTGCATAGCGCTCCACTTGATCTTCCGGAGTCTCTGGGCCAATTTCAACCTCATTTGGATGTGAGTAACAAGCCACGGGATCGGCACTTGTCCTGCATTCAATGGTGGATGCCCCCGTCCTTGAATTGGTCTGGTGGTCGGCATGTAAAAGCTCAAACGATCACGAATGAGCGGACCCCAACCTGCATCAGGTTTGGTAGTGGTACCAATGATGGCATCTCCAGTTATCGGCAGCCCGGTGAGGATTGCGACGTCTTTGAGGGTGATCGTCATTTCCCCCTCATGAAGGTGGAACGTAAGGGTTCGCGGCGCCATCGCTCTGCCATTGCCGTAAGCAGATCGTTGCCGATTTCAATCAGCATGAAATGTCTCAACATACCCAACCCAGTCCTCTCTATATACGGCGACAGTCGATCATGCCAAGCGGGCAAGTTAGTGGTCCCTTTATGAATGACGGGAATAAGTGATTCCTACAAAAAATAGAAGAAAAAAACATCGCTTTGTTAGTTAAAAGAAAGCAAAATTAAACCTTACTAAATTATGAAATAAAGTAAATTGTTGATAAGGTACGTAGTGTTTACCGGATTGTTGTCCCAAATTGCACGGGAGCGATGTGCTTCTTGATCGGTTAAATACTTCGTATCTCTTGGCCCATAATGGATATACAATCGAGGATCGTATATCTCGGCACCCATCTATAAATAAAAGTAATCAAATCAAATTATTTTGATTAAAAAAATCACAAAATCAAATTGTAAAGATTAAAAAAATCACAAAAGAACAACCAAGAACCTACCCGAAGAGCCTCTTCGTCCATTTTTTGGCGAAAGCCGGACAAAGGTTTGGGACGGGGGCTTCTTATCTCCATTAAATAAAAGCGGTTATTGGTTCCCTGCACTTTCACCGTTTTACTCAGCCGCGGTGAAGCGTTCACCGTTTCATCAAAACGCGGTGATTTGTTCACCGCGTTCGTCAAAAACGGTGATGTTGTTCACTGCCTTTGACAAAGGCGGTGATTGTGAAACATGTGTAGATTGAGAATTTTTTTTATAACTTATGTATTTTGGGAATTTTTTTTAATTACTAGTGTATTTTGGGATTTTTCCTCATATTTCTCGTGTTTTGACTATTCTTCAACTAGTTAAATTTGATCTTTCAATTAGTTAGACTCAATTTCTCGTTCTTCATTAACTGTTTCCTTTTAATTGTAAAATATAAATTTTACGTTTTTTTTTCAAATAACATGTAAAAGTGATTGAACGACTCATACCCTATATTCGCATTTCGCACGAGTATTATCCACCTTCACCCACACAAACTGCGGCCTGCGGAATGCGGATTGAATATGGGTATTAAGTATTGACCCACTTCACCCCATTGCCATCGAAGAAAAATCGAAATATAGTATGTGGCGTTACAGTCGTTTGATAAAACAACTGCCCTCGCCCAAAATACCGTCAAAATCTGTCCACCGATCTGCCTCCGTTTCTGGGTCAAATAACAGCAGCCGGAGCATTTCTACTATGCTATAAAGTATTGGTACTTTAATGTACAACTTAAAGTTGTACCATAACGTTAAATGTACAAGTTCAAGTTGTACCATAAAAGAATATGTGCTCTTATGTTATGGTACAACTTTATAACTTAAACTTGTACCATCAAATGAAAGTACAAGTTTAAGTTGTACCATAAAACAATTTGACAAAAGAGTATAGGTACAATCTGAAGTTGTACCATAACGTTAAAAGTACAACTTCAAGTTGTATCATAAAGGAAAAACCTATAGCACCAATACTATATAACATTGTAAAATTCCTCACAGCAGCCGTTGGATAGCTTTCGTGATTTGTCCTACCTTGAATACTTCTCCTAATCCCATTCGTTTATCATCTCAGAGGTCGGTATGTTTCTTCCATATATATGCCATCCATAGCTGGCGCCATATTTGTCGATTCCGAGCTTCAATCTCGTTGAGAATATGTTCGAAGCGTGGGATCTTCCGTTCTATAGATCAGCCTCTTGGCTATGGCTCCCCTACCACTAATCTTCCAGCTGCAGCTCCCCTGTTCGATTCAGCGGGAGGATTCTAAGTCCTGGTAGATTTGCAGGTGTTGTCTTGTTCCTGACATGGATCTGTAGATCTCAACCTGTTAATGCCTCCATAAACTTGCTTCCACAGAGGTACGTATTATTTTCTGTGAGGGGTTTTCAGCTTGTTTGTAGATCCGTTCCTTTTTATTTTCGTTTACAATTTCTTCGAGGTCTCATTCATTCGAATCCGAAATCAATATTTGAGCTGGATTTGATATTTTGATTGTCGCTTTGTGTTCTTGGTGATTTGGTGTTGACGGATTCGAATTAGAGATGTGTATTGTTGTTTGCTTCTATTGGAGATTGTGTGCATAGGTAGGAGTTTTCCTGGCCTAATCGATTGGTTATTTGTTTTTGTTATCTTTAGGCACTTTGTCCTCCTGCTGTGGCTTCTGGGCGAGCTGGAGGGAGACACAAGGAGCTTGGGTTATGCTGCGACGGGTAATCGGTGTACATCTGCTGGTGGTTGCCTTGCCATCTACAGATCGATGTCCAATTCAACCATCTTCAATCTATCCGAAGCTGGATGGCCTCGCGAGGGTTATTACCGATGCGAAAGGGTTTGTGATTTTATTTGTGTCTATGTTAATTGTTTGAACTGTTTATGGTACGGTGATGGGTGCTTCCCCTCTCTGGGAAGTGGAGGATGGATGAACCGGGCAGGTAAACTTTAGGGTATGCTGTTTGAAGCGTTAATTGTGCTCTGTGATGTCGTGAGTCAGTCGGCCTTTGCCATGATGGGTGCGCTCGCATGGCAGGTCACTAATATCCTAATAAAAGAGATGTTTTTTGGGGTTTGGAGGAGGGAGATGGCACAGGGGAACTTTTTTCGTTAGTGAAGTTTCTTCTACCCCGGCTCTCCCTCCTCCATGTGTGTGTGTGTGCTCTCTTCTCTTCTCTCCTTTTCCCTATTTCTTGCTCCCTTTCGCTTGCTCCCCACCGTCTAGTGTTACTGTGTCATTGCATGCCTACTGTCAAACATCTTCGCTAGGCAAGCCGGTCATCATATGCAGGCAAACTAGCAATCAGGATAATCCTGAAAGGTACAGATCACCCCATCCTTGCCTCCATTTTTACAACTAGTTCATTGATAACTAGCGAATTGATCATCGCCTGGATCTTTTAGTCTTAACTATTGTGCATAGGAAGAGAAGGTTTTGACAGGACTTAATTTGTTTGGGTAAATACTAAATATCTTAGTTATAAAAAGGTTTTGATTTCAATAGTTATGCAGCAAAGTCCATTGACTTAGGCAGATAATTCACTTTCTACATCCTCATGTAATTGGGATGCTGAAAAACATTTGCACTTAATTGGGATACAGTAGTTTTTCGTCCAACTTTGACCTACATATATGCACGGTACCTGAGACGGATATCAGCAGTGTTTCATACTTATGCTATGAAGAGCTAAAACTAATTTGCACTAGTACTTCCCTCCCACAAACAGCCCAAAAGTACGGCCGAGTCCCATCTAAACGATGTTCAATCACTCGTGCTTTTCAATATCTATGGCTTGCTTTGATTTCTTGCTTCTTTATCAGCCTTCCATTTTGAACGAACTCTCCAGTTTATTGTGCTTGGAACTTTTTGTGCTATTTTAGTGTCCATTGCTCCATTTTTAATGTTAGTATGGGGGCAGCTGTAAAATCTATAATGGATGTGATGTAACACTGGTAAGGAAAGTGCAGTTGTGTTGTACTGGTTGCCTTTTGAAGGCCTGTTCAATTAGGTTGTAAAAAGGGACTTCATCAACTGATCTTGGGCAATGTGGCGAGGTTGTGCTGCTTCTTCATGTTGGGTATGGAGGATCCTTTAGCTGCTGCTTTGCTGGATGCTGTTGTGAGATCTGTATCAGTAGTGGCATCAGTTAATATGGTGAGATGTTCATTATGCTTTTGTTCTTATACTTTGCCCGGCAATTGAAAGTAATTTATCTCGGAGGTACTGATTGTTGGTTCGATTGCAACACAGGGGAAATATGATGTATACCTGGTTTCTGTGACGAGCCGGTGGATTATATGATGTGTACTGGACATAATGCTCATGTTCTTGCTTGGTGACGGAACGTTCTCTACGATTCTGTAAAAGCTGGATGGTTTCAATGCATTGGAGATGTTGTCTCCTAGCAGAGTGCAAACTATGTAGTCATGTTACTTCCAGTTCTGCCATCATGTGGTTCAGAGATGGTTAAAATTAGTTCAAGTCGTCAAGTGGCATGCCTCCATCTATGAATATTGCAGTTCCTTTTGTATGTCCTCAAAACAGAATTCCAATTTACAACCTTTGATCGGTGAAATTCTTGTTTAGTCCATTCGTTGAGTGCACAGTTGGAGGAAAATCACATGTTCTGGGATCATTCTTGTAGACTGGATGCTCAGATGTGATTTCTCTCGGAAAGTTCTCCAGTAATGATCCCTCGTGGGTTGGGCGCATTAGCGGTTTATTTTCTTGTTGATTAGTTCATTGCATTTGAGCTGTGTCTTCATTTCCTTTGGTTCTGGTTGTTAGTAGAGTTGAATATAATGGTGCAACAGCGTATCCTTGTCGGTTGAAGCTGCGACACACTAATGTTTTGGCTCTCGCTGTTCATCCAGGTCAATGCATTGTTTTCCTAGCTCCTTGTCCTTCCATGTATGTTTCCTTCGTTTAGTTTACTTGTCTGGCTGGTATGCTAGCATGCTATTAAAATCTGGTAGTGTCTCTTGAGAATCCGGTAGCACGAGTCCCCCGGTTTCCTGCGTCTTTTTCCCTCTGCTTATTCTGAAAACGGTACGGTTAAATTGGTGTTGGGTTATTTTCTCTGGGTATTCGAGGGTGCCATGTTGGTGAGTTGTGATTTTAGGGAGAGAAGAAGGGTCTGATGCTCAACAGTTAGTCGCGAGCAAAGTGTCGATTGTGGCTAATGATGAGAGTTAGGGGCAGTTGCATATATTGTAAACTCTAGCGGCAGCGGGGAACAATCAGTTCCTGTTACTCGTACCCGCGGGGTGCATTTTTGTTAATTGTCATCGCGTATATCCAACCGATAGTATGTTTTTCTAACTGCATAGCCGAAGCCTTGCAAATAAACCTCTGCAAGCATACACATTTATCTGAAAGAGTCTGGTTATGGGTCGTGTGACATGCCTAGCGATGGATCCATAAGCTCAAAACGGATAGAGCGTCCTAAAGCCTATTAGGCTCTGGAAGGATGGTGGTTCGAATCCACCTGGGTCCTGATTCTATGGTTTCCTTTGTCTGAGTAACAATTTGATCTATTTAGTTGAAAAGTCCAATAGTGGCGGGCAGCAAGTAGTGATGGCAATGGGTCGAGATGCGGTGGGTACCTCAATACCTAGCCCCGCCCCACCTTAGTACGGGTCGGGGCGGGTAATACCTGCGCGGGAATGGGTCGGGGCTGGTCGACCCACTCTTACATGTTATTTGAGAAAAATACATGGACAATTTTACTTTTTATGATAAAACGAAGGGGAAAATACTCGATGAATGAATAATAGTGATAATATAATAAGTAATTGAGTCTATTTAGTTGAAAGATCAAATCTAAATAGTTGAATAAAAGTTCAAATAGGAGATATATGAATGGATGGGGTAAAAAATTGAAATAGAACGGGGTAAGAATGGGGCGGGGCGAGGCAGAGCGGATCGAAAGTTGATACTCATGCCTCGCTCCACGCTAATGCGGGTCGGGTAATACCCGCCCCATCACGGGTCAGGTCGGGTATTACCCAAAGGGACGGGTTCAAATTGCCATCCCTTGCATTAATTTTGTAAATCCCCTGTCATCGCTTCCATCCAACGATCTTGATGTACAATACAAGTGCAATCCCGCGAGTAGACGTCCGTCCTGTATGTAAGCACCGGGCGGACCCAAGGGTGGGAAGCGCTGTTCCTTTCCCTCGTCGGTCGGGCAGTGGGTGAGGTGTTGCTTGCTGCGTTGTTGCCGAGTCACGGATATGTTGGAGGTGTACGTACGTTCCGGCGAGCTCCACATCTACCCCGATCGACAGCGACCGGCGCAGGCTGCGGAACACATGTCAACTTCTCTTGGCCGGCCCTGGGTTGTAGCTTTCGGCTACAGTCTCGCTTTCATTCACTACTTTCCTCTTTTGTTTTCTTCTCTGCTGTCTGCTGTCATGTGGTGTCTGTCTTCTCTCTATCTTGTCTTTCTTTTTAGATATTTTCTTCATTGTGGAATGCCGTGGTGGTACAGACTCTTGTTTGCAGGTTAGGTCAGGAAATAACGATGGATCTCTTTCATGGATATCCAAATCAGCCACAAGTTATGTAAACTCCTCCTCACTCTTTGTTCTTTAGCTTCGAGAGGTTGCCAATAACTTTTCATTAAAAAAAAATAAAGGGGTAAATGTCATATTTTGTTACTGGGATTACTATATCATGTTATGTTTAGTCATTGTAAAAAATTAATATCAATTTTGATCATTCGAATAACTAAAACATGTCACATTTAGTAATCTCAGTGGCCAAATATGGTATTTAGTATTTACCCCTAAATTTTTAACTTTACAACCAACTTTTATATAATTGGCTCAAAATCTCCAACAGCATCACGTTTGATGCTTGAAATCATGCATATATGTTACCAACATGATAAGCTTAACAGGTACGGATCCTGATTCGAGCTTTCTGTATTCGATCTTTTGCAGACGTGTTGAGTCTATGGAGAAGAAGGGGTGGGGTGGTCTTTTGGCGATCGATACCCGGACAATCCAAAAAATATCATATTATCATATGAATATGAAGAGCAATGGCGGACCCAGAAACTTTATTAAGGGTATTCAACGATAGACCAAAATCACTAAGGGTTGTCAAATAGTATAGTATCTCAATACTATCACCACTAAAACAAAATTTTACAAAAAATTTTTGTCCCAAATTTAGACTAACTTGGGTCCTCCCCTGATGAAGAGTCGAGCAGAAAAGAGAGTTTTAGAGAGTCCAAGTGCGTATGTAATAGTGAGGAGAGGAGAAAAATCATTTTATCATGGAGGGATTAGTTCGCCTTTATATTTGGATCCATGTGTATATAGTGAATACTAGCTATCATTCGCCTCGATCTAGTCATGCTAACATTCACAAAATCTAATGAAACTCGAATATAAATAGATGTTTGATTTAAAATTAAACCCTAATTCATTACGAAAATAAAATTCTTATGGATCCCAATACTAAATAATTAAATATAACTGTATGCAAGTGGACTAAAGATGTGTTTAGATCTTGGAAATCCTGTTAAAGAACAGAGAAAACCCAATCACATGAATATAACAGCTCCCTGAACAAACAAAAATCCCAATAATATGTCGATCAATTCATATAATTATATTATATTCAAACGACAAGTGAATAAATAAAGAAGAAAAGGAGAAAAGAAAAAAAAACAAACGGAATAACACACGTGCTGCGTCTCCGTGGATTCGACGCCGGCCGGCGACTTGTACGGGTCGGGTCACGGCGAAGGGGAGAAAACGGAAACCCGGTAAGACAGACAGTCACCTAACCCGACAACGTAAGACCAATTACCGCGAGCGAGCTACCAAAATAAATATCTTGCAAGCGCTCTTTCTCTCTCTCTCTCTCTCTGGTCTCAGAAAGCCACAGAGACCACTTTCCACCTCTGCGTTTCTACAGCTTTCCTTCTTTCTCCATTCTTTGAACAAAGCCGAAGCATTTCTCGTATTCATTTTCTCCTTGTCGTTTGGTATCTGTCTCCAATGTTGGGTTCCTTTTGAAGAGGGTTAGCTAAGGAATAATCAGAGTGAACAAACACTACCCGCCACTTCGCCGAATCTCTTTTGACTTCCTTCCAAGCTGCCGCCACCAGGTTCGTGTTAAAAGAGAGGATAAGCTCTCTGGATTGTCTCTCGCCCGCCCTTGTCCTTTCTTTTCACCTCTTTTTGGGAAAATTGCCGAGGAGAAAACGAGTTTCAGTTCTATTGGGGGTCTTTGATTCCCTGCCATGGATAAATGGCATCCTTCAATTTCCCTCCTTTTAGGTTCTCTCCATAAAACTGCACGGATTTCCTGGGGTAGGAATTCGAGCTGTTGAACGGAGGTTTTGAGTCCAGTGCGAGAAAGAACAAGTATGGCGACTTGATGAAAAAGCTCCCTTCTTTCTCCCTTTCATGTGCCATTTTGTTTGTAAAAATGGAAGGGCAGCTCCATTTGAATACCCTGATTTTGATTTCCCTTTTTCTTGTATGTATGATTGATTTCTTAATTTGGGTTTGAATCATGTTCTGATGGTGTTGGGAAGCTTCTGCTACTAGAAGCACATGGAAATTGTAGCCATGAGTCTTGCAGCTGTTGTTCTGTGTCTTAGTTTATAATATTTCCCCAGCAAGAATAGTCAATTCTTGTCTGCTGGAGGGCATCTGACCAGGAATAGGATTTGCTTTGCTTTCATTTGATTTGATTTGGATTCTATTGATTGCACCTGGTCATGCTTCTTCTAGAAGACAGTTGACAATTTTGGTTTCCCTTTAGGTCATTCATTAGCTCATAGGCTTTCCCTTATGCTTATACCTACCTGGTCCTTTTCTCTCTAATGTCAAAAACAGGTTGAATCTTGATACACTAGGTCTTGAGAAAGATTCAAGAGTTTATCAGTCATTACACAATGTTCCGTCGGAAGGCTATTATTACTCACCAGGAACCTGAGAATGATTCTCAGCAACAAGAGGCTAAGGTAAATGAGAAGAAGTTAAATTTGATAGAGACTGCATTTTGTTTTTGTTCCTGTTGTTGTAGGGTTTCAATATTGTTTATGCATGTTTTTGGATGCAGATTAACGAACTCAAGGCTGCCATAGGTCCTTTATCTGGCCAGAGCTTGAAGTATTGCAGCGATGCGTGCTTCAGAAGGTATCTGGTAGCACGGAATTGGAATGTGGAGAAAGCAAAGAAGATGCTGCAAGAAACCCTCGAATGGAGGTCGAGCTATAAGCCTGAAGAAATCCGTTGGGTAATCCCCAGATGTGTCATGCAATTCGCTCTTAATGTTCATCGATTTTGTGTGATTGGAAGACTGAGCCCTGTGTTTTGCTTTTTGACAGCCTGAGGTTGCACATGAAGGCGAGACTGGGAAGATATACAGAGCCAGTTTCTGTGACAGACAAGGAAGGCCTGTGCTTATTCTCAGGCCTGGAATGCAGGTTAGTAGCTAATTTTTCCAACTGGAAATCGATCTGAGAATTGAGAGTTTGAAATTGTGTTTCCATTGAACCTGAGAGTGAAGGTCCAATCTAAAACTGTTGCTTGCAGAACACGAAATCATTCGACAACCAAATCCGCCACCTGGTGTACATGCTCGAGAATGCTGTGATCAACCTACCAGAGGGTCAAGAACAGATGACTATCCTCATCGATTTCACAGGCTGGTCGATCACCAACAATGTGCCCATCAAGACAGCACATGAGACCGCCTCGATTCTGCAGAACCACTACCCGGAGAGGCTAGCTGTCGCGCTTCTCTACAACCCTCCTAGGATCTTTGAAGCGTTCTGGAAGGTCGTGAAGTACTTTTTGGATCCCATGACGTCTCAGAAGGTGAAGTTTGTGTACCCGAAGCGGAACAAAGAGAGCGTCGAGGTAATGAGGTTGCACTTTGATGATCAGAACTTGCCCGCTGTCTTCGGAGGGCAAGGTGACCTGCAGTATGACCATGCCGAGTTTTCGAAGATGATGATTCTGGATGATGTGAAGACTGCTTCTTTCTGGGGGCTTGATGCTGCCAAGTTGAATGGTATTGAATTAGGTCCTACTGAGTCTCGTGTGTGAGATTTATGGGGGAAATTGCATGCTAGCTATTCGCTAAGCTAAGCAGCTCTTCTCTGTATGAGTTTATATATTTTGTGGTTGTTATCTCACCACTGGAAAGACTGATTTCAAATCAGCTTAATTTCTTGTTAGTTTAGAAGAGAAGAAGGGTGTCCCCTCTCTTTGAGCTATTAAATTTATCTATTCTTATCTAATTATAAAGTAACGATTTAATCGGCTACATTCGACTCAAATCCGATCTATTGTAAGGTGATGTATGACCTTATAACTCGATTAAGATTGAGTAATAATAAGCAATGTTATTAAAGCCGGACCGAGCCGGTCGGTCCGACCGGTAAAATCGGCACACGGGCGTCATTCCGGTTTGGGTCACCTCCAAAACCGCAAAGGTCAGAAAGACCGGTTGGTGAGCGGCCGCAACGGCTAATCGTTCGAGCCGATGGAACCGACCTATTGGTTGTTTACTTCTGGCAAAAAAAAATAAAAAATAAAAAACTGGATGGATGTCGAGTGTTGTCTCCGCCGTCGTTGCCTACCTTGTCGTCACCGTTTCTAGAAAGAAAGAGGAGAAATAATATATGGTGAAGGATTAGAACAACGGTGTTGTAGGTGGTCATGGGAGTGGGCATATCATGCAACAAGTCGATGTTGGTGCGCTGAGGAGGATGGCGGGGTTGAACTTTTGAAGTGAGTGACGACGGTGTGGGGAGACAGATCAGCGACGAAGAGAGTGAAGGAGAAAGAGAGGTGAAAGAGGGGAATGAGAAGGAAATCAGAGGGAGAGAGGTGATGAGCGGCGCACAAGGGTGGTTGTGGGGATTCGGGTTTTCTTAGTTGTTATTGTAAAATTACCAAGTAGTACCTGCAAAGTAAATTTTATTTTAGTCATTGAATTGTTAAGTTACTACCTTATGTATCTTGTACTTATTATATTATATCATTGTTTATAACCTATCGGTTCTCAAACGGTTTTTTAACGGCTCAATATCGGTTGGACCACTAAAATGCGAGCCGTTCACATTATCGGGTCATGCTCCGGTTCAGTTTTGACAACATTGATAATAAGTGTTTGAGAATATGTACTATCAATGGACGGACGAAAAACAAAACCTCCTACCGAAATCTAAATTGTTAAAAAACTGTTGAATCACAAAAAAATCATAATTCCATAACAAAATATCATACTACTAAATTTTCCGGTACAACTTTCATTATTTGAATTCGGAAATTCAACAAGATCTGAAATTTGGATACCAGGTTTATATTTTTGGCGGGTTAATTGCACGGTTGGTCACTGAGATTACAAAAAGCGTTCATGTTTGGTCACTCGAAATATTTAAATCCATTTGTGGTCCCTAACTTTACAAAAACCGTTCATTTATGGTCACTCTCCGTTAGCTGCCGTCCAACGCCGTTAACGGCGTCCATTAAGTGATGATGTGGCTGACGGATTCGCCTAATCAACACTTTTTAACCCGAAAATTGACTGACCTGACCTGCCACGTCATTTAAACCCGCCATATCAGCTAAACCTAACCAAACCTCTAACCAAACCAGACTAGACCCGACATGACCCAACCCACCAACCCATCTATCTTATTTATGTCGTTTTCTGACCACAAGAATCCTATCATCTTCCCAAAACCTTCACATCTCTGTTTTCTTCTCATCCCCTTCTCCTCTGCTAATGGCGACAACTTTCTGTAACCTCTAACCAAACCAGACTAGACCCGACATGACCCAACCCACCAACCCATCTATCTTATTTATGTCGTTTTCTGACCACAAGAATCCTATCATCTTCCCAAAACCTTCACATCTCTGTTTTCTTCTCATCCCCTTCTCCTCTGCTAATGGCGACAACTTTCTGTCGTTGTGGATTGACATCAGATCTCAAGACGAGTTGGACAGAGGCGAATCCAGGGAGGAGGTTCTACGGGTGCAGCAAGTCCCCGTTTGAATGCAATCTCCTCCTCTGTTTCAACTCCATCCCCTCTTTTCCCCCTTTCCATTAGCTTCTTCCATCACCAGCTATGCAAGCTCTCCAAGGTCACAACAATTACAATCACACATTCCCCACCGATTTAACCAAAATCGGGACCTCCCTCTCCCATCTCATACTAATGGGTGGCGCGGGCTCCAACACTCTCGATTTCGTCTTCGCCTTCTGCAGCCACAACACATCACCGGCGGCGGCGGCCAAATTAGAGCCTCTCGGTTCCTACGTCTACCTCCACCAGCGAGACCTCCTCCGAAAATTCAGCGAGCAGAACAGACCCACCACCGGTTCATCCTTCGGCTCAACTAATTACTCGCTCCAGAGATTCTCTCCATTGTAGAGGAGCTGCCCGACATTCGCTCCGGCGACGGCGAAGAAGTTGTACAGATGAGTGAGGCAGAGGCACTGGGGAAATGGGTAGCAGAGATTCGGCTCCCGCTGAACAGGATGCGAGTCTGGCTCGGCATGTACGAGACCCCTAAAGCCGCCGCCTACGCTTACGATCGCGACGCCTACAAGCTCAGAGTTGGAGAGGAAGAAAAACGGGAGGGTGGAAGGCGGCGTGGGATGGAGGCGGATTGATTTGTCTTCGATTAGGGTTTTAGTCAAAGGTGGGTAGATTAGTTGGTGGGTCGGGTCGGGTCTGTTTTAGTTAGTGGGTCTGGTTTGGTCTGGTTTGGTTAGAAGTTTGGTTAGGTTTAGCTGACATGGCGGGTTTAATGACGTGGCGGGTCGGGTTAGTCAATTTTCGAGTAAAAAAGTGCTGATTAGGCGAATCCGTCAGCCACGTCATCACTTAACGGACGTCGTTTATCGGCGTTGGACGACAGCTAACGGAGAGTGACCATAAATGAACGATTTTTGTAAAGTTAGGGACCACAAATGGATTTAAATATTTCGAGTGACCAAACATGAATGCTTTTTGTAATCTCAGTGACCAACCATGCAATTAACTTTTTTTTACTATAGGTCGGCCTGCCTTGCTTGCATTGGGCCAGAAAGCCCAACATGATTTTCAACCTCTATCAATGTTTGGCTGTTTGCCGTCAGAACTCCGAGAGTTTCCCAGCTCTCTGAAGAAGTGAAGCCAGAACATCATTCTGACTTCTGAGTTCTGACTGAAACTTTGGCTTCGCCGGCAAGATACTATTTTGGCTGTTCTTCTTCTTAGCTCTATTTTCTCTTCACTTCATGCTTCTTCCATGCGTCATGTCTCTGCTTCTCAATATCTCATTCATCAGTATGCTCTCAAACCCAGCCGCCTCGCAATCTCTTCCGTCCATCGCTATTTCGGCACCCGCCGTAGCGGGTCACTTGATTCCTTGGACAGCCTTCTTCAAGGATGCGCCAGGGTTCAGCAATGCGAGCAAGTTCACGCAAAGTTCATCGTTTCTGGGAGCAACAGCTCCGCTTTCCTGGCTTCCCGATTGGTATCTACCTACGCTCGTTTTGGCCGCCTCTCGGATGCCCAGATGGCGTTTGATTCTCGGAGCCAATTGGATTGCTTCTCGAACCAAATTCTGTGGAATTCGATTCTCAGAGCTAGTGTTTCCGGCGAACGGTGTGTAAACGCACTGAATTTGTATGCTAGAATGCGCAAGTTTGGAAATTTAGGCGATGGTTACACTTTCCCATTGGTGATTCGGGCGTGTAGACAGTTGGGTGGTAATGGCAGGAAGAGTTCTAGGTTGAGTCAGGTTGTTCATTGCCATGCTATAGAGGCTGGTTTCCATAGCCATCTCCAAGTCTCGAACGAGTTGATCGCAATGTATGCGAAACTGGGACGGATGGTGGATGCACGTAAAGTGTTCGAGGGAATGGGTGTGAGAACCACTTTGTCATGGAACATGATGGTTTCCGGGTATTCCTTCAATTGTGATTGTGTTGCTGCTCTTGATATCTTTCGAAGAATGGAATCCGAGGGCTTGGAGCCTAATCTGGTGACATGGACTTCTCTCCTATCAAGCCATGCTCGTTCGGGGCTAAGTTTAGAAACCTTGAAGCTGTTCAGTTTGATGCGGAAGAAGGGAATTGGGGTGAATGCCGAAGCACTTGCGGTCATCTTGTCAGTCTGTCCTGATCTCGGTGCGTTTCATACAGGAAAGGCAATTCATTGTCATGTTATCAAGGATGGTTTCGAAGATTACTCGTTCGTGAAACACTCACTGATTAGCTTGTACGGCAAGAGTGGCAATGTAATTGAAGCGCAGATCTTGTTCGAGAAAATTGAAAACAAGAACACAGTAAGCTGGAACGCTTTGATAACATCATATGCTGATGCCGGTTTATGTGATGAAGCTTTCGAGGTTTTCTCGCAGATGGAGAGACCTGATATAGTTAGCTGGACTGCTGTAATAAGTGGCTTCGCCGCAAACGAGAGAGAAGAAGATGGGTTGAATCTCTTCCGCCGAATGCAGATTGCTGCCAACGTGACAGCAAACGCTGTCACGATTTGCAGCGTCTTGTCAGCATGTGCAGAGTTATCAGCACTGAATCTAGGGAAGGAAATTCATGGATACACAACAAGAACATTCCTCTGCAACGAGCTTCTGGTTTCGAACAGCCTGGTCGATATGTATGCGAAATGTGGGAATTTGAAGGAAGGCCGTAGAGTCTTTGAGAGAATTGAGGGTAAAGATGTGATTTCATGGAACTCCATCATCAAAGGACACGGGATGCATGGACTTGGCGTCGAAGCTCTACAGATGTTTGATCGTATGATCACTAATGGCCATCGGCCGGATGGGATAACCTTTATTGCGATTCTCTCAGCTTGTAGTCATGCTGGACTTGTCAGCCAGGGTCGTTTGCTTTTTGATAAAATGGTTTCAAAGTATCGAATTGAACCCAGGATGGAGCACTATGCTTGCACGGTGGATCTGTTGGGCCGGTCGGGTTTATTGGAAGAGGCTAGTGAAGTTGTGAAGAACATGCCAATGGAGCCTAATAATTGTGTGTTGGGTGCTCTGTTGAACTCTTGTAGAATGCACAAGAACACGGCTTTTGCAGAGAATGTAGCGTCTCGAATGTTTGGTCTCGTATCTGAGAGTTCTTGGAGCTATACATTGATGTCGAATATATATGCCGGTAATGGTAAGTGGGAGGATTCTGCCAGGGAGAGAGTCTCAGCGAGGAGTAAAGGGTTGAAGAAGGCTGTTGGGCAGAGTTGGATTGAGGTGAAGAAGAAGGTCTGCAAGTTCGCGGCAGGGGATTGCTTGGAGGAGAAGGATTCGGAGGAGATCTTTCAGGTGCTCAAGGGACTGACGATTCAGATGGAGGATATCAGTGACGATGATGATATCATGTTTGGCAAATTGATGAAGCTGAAATATTGAGATGCTAGAGCCTCAGATTTCGGGTGATTGCTGTAACTGTGTTTGGTCCAGTGTATAGCAGTATTAGTACGCAAATATTATTTGTCTCAATTGCATATTCTGCACGTTGTAGTGTGATGTAAGTTGAAGCTCATGATCTTTGCTAAGTACTCTGATACATTGTTGGAATGACAACACAACATAATTTAATTTACAGGGTTCTTAACAGTGTATAAAATTAGAATTACTGGGATTCCAAGGGTTTACATACACTAGTTACTACCATAACCCTTTTTCCTACCTTACACAAGGATGTTTTATATTACAAGCCTTATGAGAAGAAGAAAAAATAAAGACACAGAGAGTGACTGTCATCATGTCTATTTCTCTGTCAGCTGCTAAATAAACAGTGCCCTACTAACTCTCTCTTAGTCAAAATCTTGCAGTCAGAAGAAAACTCAAACCATATTTGCAAATCATTGGAAACATTAGCTAGCTAACAATTTGGGATAACAGTTCAATCACAGGAGTCGCCTTTTGAAGTTTCGGGTAGTTGTTTGGTAGGTTCGTACCATCAGACCGACCCCAATGCCAACCCCAACACAGATGCCTAGCCCGATACCAACACCAACCCTAACGCCTGCATTGAACCAGGAGAGCTCACCGTCTTCACCATCCACGAACTCTGTTCTTCTCCAGTACATGTTGCTGTAATCTTCTTCGCCGTTCTCCAGCTTGTAGCTTCTGTACTCTGCCAACTGCAGATCAATCAATCAGAGAGATAGAGCTCAATGAGTTAGGTCCAGTGTGTATATTTGGCCAAGTATGTGGAATGCATAGCTGAAGTGCAAGACATCATCTCTTAAACAGAGGATGTGAAAACAAAGTACAGAAATAGCTGAACATAACCACAACTGAGGGAATCCAAGTAACCAACTAAATCAGAGAGACAACAATTTCAACCATGCTGAATGGACTTTATTTATCCCAGCCCCACCCAAATGGTTATAACCCAACTGGCGATAATGCGAGGAAAAATGCAAGCTGGCATCTCTCATATAACTCGGGTACATTGATCACAATATTCTCTCATTTTCATGTCCTAGACAAATTAGATATAGATATTAAAATACCCATGTCACCTGCTCATATTCATTTCTAGGCTATACTAAGAAAACCAACCATCAGGCAATTGACATAAATGCATGGACCTGGTCATGGATTCCCTCTGCTAATGCTGATCAATGACAGATGCAAGGCAAGCCAATGGAGAAAATGAAAAAGGAACAGACACATGTCAGAAGAAGGTATGTGAGGCCACGTGGAAAGCATCCTCCCACGTGGAAGAGGCATGAATCCCACGAGCGTCAGGATTGCCAGAAGGAAGAAGATATTAAAAATATCAGACACAACACAAGACAGGAATGGGACGGAAGGAAGGAAAATACAGAACGCAAGCACTCGATTACACTATCAAGTCACTAGAAAAGTGTGCCTCTGCCCATACCCGATGTCACCATCTACTAAAGATAAGATTCCATAACCTGCAGAGACTCCATGGCAATCGATCCCACAACAAGCATGGCACTTTTTTCTGTCTAAATCAAACATGCCCCGACGCAGGAAGCAACAATTAGCAAAAGGTCAAGAAGTAATCTTTTTACCAGTAATTCATCATCGTGAGCCGACTCAACTTTCTGCGGATCGGTGGCTTCATCCTCAGGAATCGAATCCAATTTCCCCTTCCTGTTATGCTTCTTCCTGAAACTAAGCTGCAGAGTCTTGGTCAAGATGATCGGCGTCCCAGAGAAGCATCCGGTCACATAGACTTCAATGGCTGGTAGTGATGTATCAGAAGAACCATTAACATGTTTCCCTCTCAAGAAGCTAGTAGTACCCTCTGACTCACACTTCATGCTCCAACGTTTCACACTGCCTTTACATTCTCCGGTGAAGCCATTGCTGTTGGACATCTCCATAGTACCGGAAAGGACGAGATCATCCTTATCAAACACGTCGAATTTCACACTCCCTGTAGTTCTAATGCTATCCGTGCTAACAAACGTCACTTCCTCGGATTTCTTGTCGACTCGATCCCTTCGAAGCAGCAATGGGGCACCATCAGAGTAGATACTGCTTCTAACGCCATTAACTTCAAGGAGGGTATCTGGGCTTAGGGGGATGTGGTTGATTGTGAGGAACTCTGGGGTGGTGTCGTCGACATGGAAGTTGCTGATTCTGACGTAGAAGACTCTGAGTTCCAGCCATGGTGATGAATATCTGGAGGGCTGGAATGGTGAGTACTTGATTATCTGGAGACTGGAGTTGGCTCGTCTTTCATCGAGATCAGACGTATCGTAAGGACCATCCATTGTTTGATTCTTTTAAGCCTGAAGTTCAGTGAGACACTCCCAAGTTTGATGGGACTTGTTTCATCTGGGAACCATAAGAAAAGAAGCTGGAGAATTAGAAACATCAACAGGAAATTAAGTCTTAAACCCATGCAGTATTGAAGCTAGAAAACAAAGTTCGAAAGAAGGAAGTAGATCGTAAAGGAAGATCAGAGAAGATAAAGGGCAAAACATAATAGTCAACCCAGTTGCCCAAAATTCAGGAAACTGCTTATAAAAAAATTTCATGAAACTGAGATAAGGTTAAAAAATTCATCATCAGCCCTAGAAGCGATCCAAGTGTCTCCTGACCTCTGACTCAAGACAACAGTCTCTTGATATTTTCTCCACTATAAACTTTCTATGACAAAACTGATAAGTAAAATCAAAGATGCAAAAATCAAGCAATCCACCCACCACAACAACAAAGGAGATGAGAGATTTCTGTCTAAGAACAGCAAGAAGAAACAGAAAGGGAACGAAAGCACAAAACTTACAGAGATGCGGATCAGACGATCACGTTGATTGTATCGAACCCTTATCCAATCGATGGAAACGGGGCTTTCGCAGCCAAACACCCAATTCACTTCTCTTCCGCGTCTTCACTTTTCCACTTCCAATAAACGAAGCTATTCATTGAGGAATTTGTTCAAGCAGATGGTGGGCAGAAGGCAAGAAAACGGAGAAAAACAACAAAAGGAAACAGAAAGAAGAAGGAAAAGTATATAGAGGGGAAAGAAATCAAAAGGAGCGTTTCAGTAAGCAGAGAAGGAAAAGAAAAAGGAGAAAAAACTGCCGGCTAAATCTCACAGCAAATGGAAACCACGTCACACAAACCGCCAAAAAGACCCTCCCCTCCTCTCCCTCTCCCTCTCTCTTCCTCCGTCCCTGTCTCTCTGCAAATTCTAGAATGATACCAGAGCCACGAAAAAGGAAGGAATTTTTTTTTTTCACCAACAGAAAAATCTTTTCCCCGGTTGAGGCATATCCTCGAACAGATGGTGTGCGATTAATGATTTGACTTGGATCCTCCCCCAAGATTAGAGCTTTTGATTACCATGCGACAAATTGGTGGCCGAGGATCAACGATTCCAGCTGAATGCGACCTGGGTTGTCGGGGGGAAAAACGGGAAAATCTCCTCCACCAACAAAGCAAACAACAACAAACAAGCCCTCCACCTCCAGTTTCTTCTATGGCTGTCCCTTTCCGGCGGACTAGAAAGAAACAGGTACACTCGATTTCTCGGGGGAAATGAGCAAATGGGTTCTCTCTCCCTCTCTAGTGTTGATGTTTCCCGAGTGCTATATTTTAAGCGTTTTTTCGGGCTTTACTTGGCAGAAAGAAGGAAGGGAACTGAATTCAATGGTACGATATAAGTCGATCGATCTTATCGGATTGGTAGGGAGACAAGTAGCCATGAGACCTGTGAGAGATGGGACTTGTCTATTTTAATCCCTTTTCTTCTCCTTGAATTCTTTGCAGCTTACGAGGACAAATGCTGTCTCTTCTCTCACGTTCATGTTCCTCCCTTCTGCCTACTGCTTCATCCCGGAACGGTAATGTATCGGGTTGAGGCGAGTTTTGTCAAACCAAATTCAAACCCATAAGTTTATCCGCCAAAAAAACCTAACTCAATCTGCTCGATGTCCGCGGACCGTGGATTCATGAGTACCCGTGGATTTTTGTGGTAAAAAATTTACAATAACAAGTTTCTTTCAAAATAAAAGTTTAACATCAATTTTCTCATACAAATTATTCATACAAAAATACAAACTAGAACATACAAGCAAACCGCAAATGATCAATACAAATTGTTCAAAATTAAAGATAAACGTCTATAAACAACAAGATTAATTGAAAACTTCTTCCTCTTTGTCAACTAAGTTTTTTCACTCTCCACTCCATAATATCAACTTCATTCTAAACAATTAGAAAGAACAAATTATACATGTCTCCACAAACATAAAGAATATTAGTTGTTTAAGAAAGATATATTGTTTAGAATATTAAATATACCGGGAAACTAATTATATGTGTGTGGACGTGTAACCATTGGACGGGTTTACCTAAATCCAAACCCAACCCAACCCGGTGAATAGTGCAACAGGTTTAAACCCAAACCCGGCCCAGAACCCGTCAACACAGATTTTACCCGCGTTGACCGAGTTGGGTCGGGTGGGTACCGTGGGTTCGGGTTTTGTTGCCATTCCTAGCTCCATCTCCTCCTCTCTTGTAAAATTTTGGAATGCTTAGCTATTGTTTGCTTGTGGGATTTGCGTGATATGTTTAGTATCCAATTACAAAACGTTATGTATTTGATAAATAAAATACTGTTTGTTGAGGTATGCATATTTGTGGGGCTTATGAATTTAGACATTTTTTTAGCTCAAAATTCATGGATCCCACGTATTATGTGAATCAGTGGCGGATTCAAAAAAATTTCATAGGGGTGTCCTCTTCAAAAATTTAATTTAATTATAGAATAAATTAAATAATTCGTATATTAAAAATATCATACTTGTATAATTTGTATAAATTTTTTATTAAATAATAAATTAAAATTCATATTTTGAAAAAATAATATAAATAAACTTTGTGTCTGCACTGTTCAAAAAAAAATCTACATATCCTACAAGACAATAATTCACGAACTTATCACATATTCGATTTCTAACCTTGTTCTTAATGTAGCTCAAAGTAGAAAAGACTCTTTCAACACTTGTCGTGTAACCATAAACTCAATTCAAAATTAAGGGTAGCGTGTACGTAGTTTAATTATTAGGTATTGAAAATAGTTGGGTATAAAGAAATAGCGTTTTACTATTGCATGATGTTTAAAATAGAATAACAAATGAGTAGCAACATAATTAGAATATGTTTGATAATAGTAGTGACCTAGGTTGGAATAACACGGACTACCACTTATATTTTGTTAATCATAAGCAAACTATTATCGAGGGTAGGATAATCATTTTTTCAAATTTTAGGGTGTCCCAGATTACCCATTATATTTTGTATACCCATACGAAACTACTACCGGAGGTTGGATAATCGTTTCCCCAAATTTTAGGGGTGTCCCGGGACACCCCTAGAGACCCATGTATCCGCCCCTGATGTGAATACCACATTTCATTTGGTATTTGATCACAAAGGGCAAGAATTTGAGACCCATGGTACAAAAAAAACCTTTAAATTCATGATCAAAATCAATTAAACAAAAATGTTATCTTTCAAATACAAAATGAGACAAATCCATCATAAATCCAAAGATTTTCAAAACTAAAAACATTCATATTCAAATCCAACAAGCAAACGAGATCTTAAAATAAAGACTTGTGAGAATATTGATACGATATTGTTGTTAGAATAATTTTAATAAAACTTCTACCTTGAGTGCAAATACAGACATAGATACTCATCTTGGATCACTTGTTCCATCAGAAACGGCATCGGCAACTCTCCTTGGGCTGCTATCTCGAGAGAATACAAAAAATTCTGGAATTTTGCTTACATCGATCCGGGTAATTGAAGTGATGTCTCCTTTTGGTTTGACTGTTGGGTTCCTGGAATCATACTTGCCGATGCCTTCCCCCGTGTTGTTGTTGCTGCTAGCGTCCCTGAAGCTCAAATCGCAGACGTTCATCACCACACTGGTGAGTCTTTTATTTGGAATTTCGGTTTAAACTTTAATTTGAGGGGTGGGGCTGAGAGAGAGAGGCAAAACTTACTATTACACATCAATTCTTTGAACCTTTTTAATGCTAACAATAGCCCCTCCAGACCTGTGTGGACTCCCAAACCAGATTCTTCCTTCTCTGTTTCCTCTATGTACAGATGCCTTATTGCATATTCATTTCCGGGTGTCCCTGAATCCCCTTGCTCCTCAATCTGGAGAAGCGTCGTGCCAACCAAAGTTTGCTTCTTCATTTGGACCCTGTTTCAGAAAGAATCCTGACTATCGACATCTTGAAAAGAAGAGGATGGCCCTTGGCAAACCGCAGTGAACTGTGTAAGAAAGAGGAGGAGACAACAGATCACTTATTTATAGACGGCAGGTTTTCCAAACTCGTGTGGAGCATCATCACGAGAAGATGTAATTTAGCCATCCAGGTTCAAGAAGACATCAAGAAGACATTGCACAAACTATCTGAAATTGGCCTTCCTCTACCCCGGATAATATCGAAGGATGGTTCCGATTCTGCCTTCTCCATTCCATCTGCTGGCATTTGTGGCTTGAGCGCAATCGACATATCTTCAACGACCAAAGCCTCTCCCCCAATATCATTGCCCGGCGGATCTCCAAAACTGTCATTGAGTGGGTGATGATTCGCGGGAAAGCTGATAAAAATCAGTGTGCACTCTGGCTCGATGCCTTTCTTCCGTGATTCATGTCTTGACGCAGGCTTTCTTGCCTCTTGTAGCTCATGATTGTTGTGTGCTTGTTGTTCCATTACTTGAGACCTATTGCTCTTGGTCTCCTTGCTTTGGTCTGCTGTTTGATTCCTCTATTCCTTTTCTTCCCTTTGCTTCCCTCTTTCACCTTGAGAGCATTTCTGGTGCTGCTCTTGTTGTACTCCAAACCTTATTTGTTCTCTTCTTAATTTTATTTCTCATCATCATAAAAAAAAAACTTCTACATTGAGACGATAATATAGTAAATATAATAAGTCCTGCACCTAACAAATCAGATCATATACAATTGAGTAGGTAGTAGGTTAACTACATTGTACTGGATGTACACACTACTTCTAAATATACGTATGGAACCAATTTGATTGAAAATTGATGACTACTACAATAAGTACGACGAACTATTCTAAGAATTGTAGGTAAATCAAACTTGACGAGGTGGAACTAAGTGCAATCGAACTATCTTTTATTTAACTTCTTACATGTATAATTTCTATTTGGTGGTAAGTGGTAAGATTATTTTCATTCTACATTTTCACATGCTCGAAAAGTATTTACCCGGTGAGCCGTCATGGACGGAGCTAGCTCATAGAGAGAAGGGGCCATGGCCCCCTAAAATTTTGGATTTTAGATAAATATGGTCATGGCCAAACTCATACTTAGGGATGGCAATTCAACCCGAAACCATGGTATCCTACCCGATCGTAACCGGTTAACGTGGGTAATTACTCGTTTGACGGGTTAAGGGCCGGGTAGGGGTAAATTAATACCCGTTAGTAAAAATGCGGGTAGGGTACGGGTATGATAATTGCTAATATCCGCCCCGTTGTACCCGCACCGCTAACTAAAGGGTAGATATGATGTATTGTATTTTTGTTTGTGTGGATTGTAGAAGCAAGAACAAATATTGAACTTAGAACAAATATGATGTATTGTGTTTTTGTTTGTGTAGATTGTAGAAGGTAGAACAACTATTATGTGTTTTCGGTTTTTATTTATGTGGATTGTTGTAACTAGAACCGTTACAAGTATTCAAAATTTTTAACGGACAACAGTATGTATGTGCATATATGGGGTAAAATACCTTGAATACCACTTAAGTTTCAGAATTGGGGCAGGCATACCACTTAAGTTTGAATAGGGCGTCGGGTACCACTGAACTCTATTATTTGTGCACCCGGTACCACTTAAGTTTAATGTTAAGTGCATTCCGTTAAAGTTAACAGAATATTCTGTTTTCTAAATTTCTTTTCTAAATTTCTTATTTGGTCCTTCTACTTTTCTTATTGTAATAAATCATTTTGACTTATGAAAAACATCAATTTTTATTATTTAATTGGTATCCTCTTTTGAAAACTTGATACCAAATTAATTTTTGAATAGAAAATTTAAGATCAATTATCATTATGTTTTCTAATAATTGAATTATTCTCTCTTTTTTTTGTTGTTGAAGATTTTGATACCAAACCAATTTTTGAATAGGAAATGTATAATCAATTATCATTATAAGCCATTTAAATTATCATTATGTGTTATAATAATTGAATAATTTGCTTAACCAAATATACCCTATGAATTCTATACCGATATAAATAATATGAGGATGTTATATTTAATTCTCTTACATCATGTGGATGTTGTATAATTTTCTTCGTTACTTTCGTTCTATATCCGTTCTAAATTTTCTTCAAATACTGTAATATGTTTAATTCTTTCTGACTATGTTCCATTTATCCTTCTTTGGTCTTGATATATTGACGATCGATTAGATTCAATTTTAACTTTTTTTAATGGTACTTCTTATCGGATTATTGATTTAAATAGATCTTCTAATATTAATTTTAAATATTTATTATATATTTTATATATTTATTCTTCTTCTTGATATTTATTTTTTATTTTTACTAACTTATCTATTTTATTGAAAATTTGATTAGTCATTTTAGTAATATTATGTTTAGAAGATTTTTTAATTTCTATATTAGATAAAAACTTGTTGAAATATAGTTTTTGAAGTTTTTAAAAGTTTTGGGTACCAAAAAGTAATTAAAATTTTGGTTTGGATGGAAAACTAGACGGATGCACATTTTAGTGACTTTAATGATACCCGACGCCCTATTCAAACTTAAGTGGTATGTCTGCCCCAATTCTCAAACTTTAGTGGTACCTAAGGTATTTTACCCTGCATATATGTGTATAAGTTCATATTTTAGAATTCGTACCCGTGGTTACCCGAATACATGTGGTTACCCGGTGGGTAGGGTATGGTTATATCATTTCCATACCCGGTGGTTATTTAATCGGGTAATTTAGGAAGTTCTACCCGGCGGGTTAGGAGTTGGTATAGGGTGAACCACCCGATCCTACTCATTGCCATCCCTACTCTTACTATATTACCTCAGTGGCCTAGTGGTTAAAGCAGAGATCGTAGGTGCCGGCCTATAGAATTGGCCAGGCTACGATGCCCACATATGTATTCTTTTTTCTATGTACTTTCAACGCTATATATATGGTCATGGCTGTACATGGGCGATGGGTCGAGCTTGGGCCGGCACGGGCACGCTTCAGGCCCATTTATTTCGTGTCGTGCTTGGCACGACCCATCACTTTTCGTGTCGTGCCGTGAAAGCCCATTTGTTAACTTTGCTAGGCCCGGCCCATGCCCGAGCACGGTTGAAATCGTGCCGTGCCTATTCGTGCTTGTGTCGTGCTCGTATCCATTCCTATTGAAAATGAAGTAAATAAAAGAGAGAATGAAAAAGACGGTGAAAATTAGATGAAGAAAGATAGTATTAACTGAGAATGTTTAAGAAAAGTACCAAATAGGAAGGGGGGATTGGAAGTATAGCGGGTGTGATTTGGCTTTGTTTAATTCTTCGTCCATTTTTACTTATGGTAGTAAGTATGTATATATCTTTATGACACTTCTAACAACAAAAAATAATTATTTTTCTACTTGTATTTATAATATTTGAACCTATAATTCTTTCTATATCTATTTTCTATCAAATAAATGTTATTTTTGTGCCATGTCCGTTCTTATACTCAATAAAATCTCAAAAATATTAGGTCCAACACGGCCCACTTATATACTGTGTCGTGCTTGTGCTCGTGAAGTTTAGGCCCGGCACGGCCCATAAATTATTCGTGCTCGTGCCGGGCTGGCCCATTTATTTCGTGCCCGTGTTCTTGTCGTACTCTAACCGTGCCGTATCGTGCTAGCCCGTGGGCGGCCCGGCCCGGTGCCCACGTACAGTCATGGCCAAACTCTTTTTTCTATGTACTTTCAGCACTATATATGGTCATGGCCAAACTCTTTTTTCTATGTATTCTTTTTTCTATGTACTTTTAGTCTTTGTTGTGCTATTTTTAGTTCATTTTATGTTCATTTTTTCATTTATTTCACATTTTAAGGGGAAATTTTTTTATATAATTTCAAGCTTTGTTATCTCCATTTTTTCAGTTTATTTTACAATTTAAGGTATTTTCAACACTATATAATTGGCCAATGCCCACATCTGTATTCTTTTTTCTATGTACTTTCAACACTATATATATGGTCATGGCCAAACTCTTTTTTCTATGTACTTTTAGCACTATGGGAACAATGAAAAAAAAAGATATCTTGGTAACGAAAACTATAGGGGGCTATATTGGCGAGATCCAACGGTGAACAGCTTCCCAAAAGAAAGACCGCCTGGAAGTCTGAGGACCTTTAGTACCGTACCCTGCCCCTGAACCAGCAGCCTTCGCTCCAAGCAAGACCGCCCTTGCCCCTTTCCTTTCTTCATTCCCCCTCTTTCTTTGCTTTGTTCCAATGGAGTGACAGGCAAAGCAAAAGTGGTTCATATGCCTACTTTACCTACTTGACGAAAGGGAACGAGCTTTGTTTCGTTTCGGGGTTTATGGATTGGAAAAAGTAAGCGTCACGACATATTCTTTTTTCTATGTACTTTTAGTCTTCGTTGTGCTATTTTTAGTTTATTTTATGTTCATTTTTTCATTTATTTCACATTTTAAGGGGAATTTTTTTATATAATCTCAAGCTTGGTCATGTCCATTTTTCAGTTTATTTTACATTTTAAGGTTAACTTTATATAATTTCTAAATGAATTTTTATCGGGTTCTTATTTTGTTCTTACGATATAATGTACACAAACCCTAAAATTAATATGTTGCATGATGAAATACTTCGGACGAGATATATCATGATGTTTAGATTATACGGAAGTGATATTTTCTATTAGTTTGTTGCAATAAAAAAATTATTGGTCCCTCCTACCGAAAAATCCTGGCTCCGTCCCTGTAGCCGGTTTAGTCAATAATCAATTTTCCTGATCTTCATTTTCATCTTGCAAGCAAATGAGTTTAATCAATTTTGAAAATATAAGGATAAATACTTTTAGAAAATCCGAACTACAAAAAAATGCAACTTGTGTTCCGACCTCTTCAATATTTCATTAATGTCCTAAACTATTATTTTGTTAGTGTTGACCGGCGTTGACCGTTAGAATTTAACAGAAAGTCTAACCAACATTGATGTAGCATATGACATGGAATTTAAAATTCATTTTTTATCAAACAAATAAATAAAATATAATAAAAAATCTCTAAACTCGTAACCCACCACTCTCATCTCTTTCCACCTCTTATTATCCCCTCTCGCTGCAGGAGGCGCGGGAGGAGGTGGGAGGAAGGAAGAGGAAGTAGTGGTGGTGGATTTGGGGAAAGCAGGAGGTGGCCAGATTGACGGTTGAGCAGGTGGTGACCGGATTTGGAGTGAAGAAAGATGGGAAGGATGAAAATTTTCGAAGAGATGAATAATGTTCGGGTCGATCGGGTCAAATGGAGATGAAGAGAAAGAATTGGGTCATGGATTGGGTTGGTTTTAATGATGTGGCGAGTTTTAATGACGTGGTGGGTCGGATTTTATTTTTGTTGGGGCTGATTAGGAGATTTTGTTTGCCACGTCAAGACTTAACGGACTCCATTAACAAATTTGAACGGAGACTAACGAAGAGTGGCCAAACGTGGATTGTTAAAATAATTTTAGTGACCATTATTTAAATTAAATCATTTTAATAACCAAACATAAACATTTTAGTAATCTCAGTAACCATGTGATTTACTTTTAAGATATCTTTCATTGTTTAACTGCTACAATATCAAACCATTATAAATCCTTGTCATTTATTTCTTGATTTTTGTTGTCACGCCAAAAATAACAAAACACAAATTGAAAAGTGAACATAAAATAAAATTGTAGTTGATCATCTACTGAAACCTGAGCTTAGATGCCTAGAAAACTTTGACGATGGGCTCTACAAATTTAATGACTTCCTTGGGGAACCGGATGGACTCTAACAAAGTGGGCCTTAAGTCTATTATTTCAGAACTGGGCTCTTGTCTGCACAGGGCTAATGGACCGATCGATCCTTCTTTGGTAGCAGACTGATTCTTATTATTATTATTGTATTATCCTTTTCCCCCTTTTTGGTAATGATTGCCTAGTCTTATGCAAATTATGCAATCCAACTATTATATTTATAGGCGTAGCTTGACAGTTTGTAGCTGTTGCACTTATACAGAATTCAAACAACATTCAAGTGAATAAGAGCTTGATTAAGTGATAATATCACTAATCTTAAAGTTGGGATTTCAAATTCTATGCTTATTAGAAAAATCAACCGAGAAAAAAAAAAAACAAACATTCATGGTTACACTTTCCTTCATTCGTTATATGTTTCTTGATAACTCACTCGTAATTAGTTTCGTTTTAAGTTGTTTGGTTGGAACTTGGAAACAGGATCAATTTGATATGTGCACTTTGAAATCACACCCACTTATATTATAGTTAATCGGTGGTGAATCTGATGGTAAGATATGTTGGTTGAAATGGTGTGTTTATTATTCAAATTTGTATTGCTTAATTTTAGGAAAATCGTTTTGGTCATTATGGTTGAATTCTATACTCAAATTTTTAAATCTAACTTGACAATCATATGATCACTTCATTGATTTTCATAATACATATCGACATTACAATTTCTATATTTTTTTCAAATAAAAAATTTGTCTAATGGTACAACCATTGGTCTTTAACGTGGAGGTCTCGAGTTCGAATTTGTTAATTATCACCTAAGAATAAAAATAAACTTATATCAGCCTTCTAAAAAAATATATCTTATTTCTTTTTAATTCGTATAATTTTGTGAAATCAAATATCATAATTATTGTAAATCAAAATAATATACACTAATTCATCAAAAAAAATACAATAACATTACACAAATTCTTATCTATCACAAAATACACCAAATCTCAAAATTCATAGATCATTTGGATGGATCAATTTTGAACCGAGACCATTTGAATTACTTGGTTTATCCCAAAATAATTGAAATTGATTTAAAAAGAATTTAAAAATCTTCACGCCAAATTGATTCGTCCAAATTCTCTACTAACAAACTCACCAAATTTGATCTAATTGTTTCAAAACAAAACAATTGAATCAAATTCATTGTAAAATTCATCTCAAAGGACCCCTCAAATCATGTATTATATTCAAAAAGCCCTTTTCTTTTATAGGTCGTTTGGATGAGGAATTGTAACGGATCAATTTGACACAATTGTTTCGTTTTGAGACAATTGTACCAAATTGCCTCGTTTGCCAGCAAAAAAATTGGATGGATCAATCTGCCTGAGGTATTTTGAATTGATCCGTTTTGAGTCAATTTCAATTACCTGGGGTGGGGGCAGGTAATTCGAATTGACTCGTTTTAATTGCCTCGTTTATAAAAACGAGACAATTGATCAAATTGACTCATTTTTAGATTGATCCATCCAAACGACCCTAAGATAAAATAATTCTGCCTGTGTTTTGAGCCAATTACAATTGTTTGGAGTTGGGGTAGATGATTTGAATTGACTCGTTTTAAATGACTCATTTTGAAAAATGAGATAATTGACCAAATTGTCTTGTTTCTCAATTGATCCATCCAAATGGTTAGTTGATTTCCAGTATGGATTATAGTATTTTGTATTATGGGTCTCACAATTTTATTTTTCACCAACCAAATCTCAAATGAAATGTGAGATTTGCAAATTCATGGGTTCACCAATTTGAATATTAAAAAGTTTAAATCTTTGATTTCCTTCGATTTTTATAAAGAGTCGTTTGGATGAGGAATTATAAAGTTTCATTTTGAGACGGTCCTACAAGATTGATCTATTTGGCAACATAAAATTTAGATGAAGCAATTATGTCAATGAAATTTTAAATTGACTCGTTTTGAAGCAATTACAATTGTCTGGGGTGGGGACAGTTCGAATTGACTCGTTTTATAAAATAAGACAATTTGTCAAATTATCTCATTTTTTAATTGATTCAACCCCTTAGGTCCATCTCCAGTCAAACGAACTCACGAGAGAAACTCGTACCTATAAACTCTAGCAAATTGCCCTGGAAAAAATTCCTATATAAACAAGGGAGTGGGGGACACACGAGGGACGAATAGGAATATAAATTGGGCAGGAAAAAAGCAAAGCAAAGAAAAAAAAGGTGGTCAGCGTTCTTCATTTTGCCAAGAGCCTCTGTCCCCTCACACTCTCTGTTTCTTCGCCTTTTAACCATGGTTAGCCCTATCCACTACTAGCTCTCCTCCATCGCTGCTGCCGTCTTGCTCTCCCACTTCATCCTTCTCCTGTCTGTCCAAAATTTGTGCAAAGTTTGAGAATTTATTTACAGAAGTTGGCTTTCCTGTATTGGATTGATTTTGTTTCATCTTCCTCTGTTTTCTCTTCTCCTTCTATGCACGAAGCCACGAACTGCTGTTGTTAGTAGTATTTATTGTCCTGATAGAGTGAAGGGGAGAAGTGGGGGAAAAAAGGGGGATTTCTGGATTCGTATTATCGTGAAAGGAGAGATGGGTAAGAAGAAGAAGGCGCAGAAGACAAAGGAGTTATCAGTAGCCATAGCAGAAGATGCAGAGCATCATCCTCAGCCGCAAGAAGCAATAGAAGGAGCTGCTGTTTCTTCGCCGGCTCCCAGAAAGAGAGGAAGGCCTCGCAAAAATTCTGCGGCTGCTGAGCAAACAACAACGGCCAACAATAATGATAAGCAAGGAGGAGAAGAAAAGGAATCGACGAAACGGGTTAAAGTCAGCGAGAAGAAAGGAGAAGCTGGATTACAACTGGAACAGCAAGCTGCTGCTGCTGCTGCTGGTGTTAGGAGAAGCAGCCGCAGGAAGAGCAAACCCAGAAAGAGCAGCTGATAAAGATATCATAACACCAACCGTTACAAAAACAGAAACAAACACAAAATCTTTCGGTGTTTTTTCGTCTGTGAATTACTAGTCCCCTGTACCGGCAAAAAATGAGGAGAAGGTGGATTTCTGGATTGCTTTTTTATTTTTATTTTATTTCCACCCCTTCATTCATACTTCTGACTTCGCCACTGTGCAGAAAGCAAAGATTGTATTACCCTTTAGGGCATAGTTCAGAGACCATAACCCAAATCAATCATTATAACTTTTCCTTAATGGCTACGAGGTTAGGATTGGTGGAAACTGATGAGACACAGCAAACTTCAGGAACGAAGAGAACAAGCCAAGAAATCAGCAAACAACATGCACAGCGAACAAAAGCATGGCTGAAATATGTCAGCAGCTTCCCAGCCTCAAATTCAGTACGTTTGGGCTGGATGCTTGGTTATGGCCATCTACCAGTTCGCCGCTGGATTTTCATGGTAAACGAGACTGTTGCTGCTGGATGTTCTCGTCCTGGTGGCGGCTCTGCTAGCGAGCCATCTATCTTCTCATGATCGTTTTGGTTGCGGCCACAATCCCCCGTCGTCGTGCGCAACGGACCTGATCGATTTGTTGACGTCGGCGAAGATGACGTTGTACGTTCACCTCAAGTACTGGGACGCCGTTCCGGGTCTTGAGGTGAAAGATGCCCTCGTCGGCCTGTTGATGCAGCGTCGTCTGGATAGCCTACAGGTGCGCCTCGATGCTGATTCAACACATTGTGGGAACGTCGTCGTCGTCATCCTCCGGTGGTGATAAGGCGGCGGCAGCGACGAATTACAACACCTTCGACGAGCCCTCCGCCTCCATAGATAATGTTCGATCTTTGATGGACCTCCCTCCTCCTATTTCAGACATGAACAAGATTTTATTAAGTATTTACTCATTGTTATATATTTCCTTAATTAATAATTAGGAGTGATTGATTCTATATTTGTAGTTCCTTGAGAGTGATTATTGGTTAACCGTCAAACTAATCTCTAACCGAACCGATAAAAGATGGTTAGTTAATAAGGCTTATCGGTTCGGTTATAGGCATGAGTTTTTTTTACTTTTTGAATTAAACACTAACCGTCGTATCAATTAGTGGTCAACCGACACCATACCGATTAACATCCCTACTTGTCTCCACCCTACAACGATGACCGAGAGAATCACTGTGTACTGGGATTTCTGCCCAATCAAATTGGTTTTCCCTTCATTGGATGATAATGTGACTCGGTCCAGAGCCGATGAGTAGAGTCTTAATGATCAAAGAACCAAGCTATTACTAAGCCAGCTTTATCATCACGGAAAGTTATGATGAATCTTATATCACTCTCTATCACGCCCTCTCTATCAAAAGCCAACTCATGAACTTGAAATTTGCACAGACTTACCATAACTTTAGCTTTAATCAACGGTTAATATTGGAGACGTGAAGATTCGAACATACAATCACTTGGTCAAATCAGACTCTCAAACCATATCATAAACCAGTTAAATTATTATGAATTTTATATCACTCTCTAACACACCACAAATCTCTAACACACCACAAATGAGTACAGAAATTCCGCAACTCTTCAACCACCAAACTGGGTAAAACAGGATATTGTATGTTTATAAATAATTCAATCGTGACGAGAATCACCGCCAAAAGGCCTTGTTCGAGTCCCTTGTTTGCTGCCTCCGGGCTCGTTTGTAATTTTGTTATAGTTTACTATCCCTGACAGAAAGAAAAGAGAGAAGAAACGAAAAGCAGAGACTCTAACTCTCTAACCTGGTCGATCAGGGCTTTGGTCTATGATTCCGCTCTTTCCTATATCGAGCTTGATCGGGATCAAATCCACCTTCGTCAGCGCCATATACAGCCCATGAAGGTGTTGCAGCCATGTAATCCGTACTGTCGAAGGATTTCCCAGAAGCAACCTGCATAAAAGCATGGGAGGAAAAGGAATACCCTTCAGCTCTCTATCCACTTTGGCCAACTCGTTTAGGCTTGGGGTAACTCAGAATAGTTAACGGTTCCTACCAGATCATGGAATTTCTCGTAGTCTATCCAGGTAAACCACTGTCCATTCACTTTAAACCTGTCAGTTTTAGCCAGCAGGACACAACACGAGTGGGCGTGCTCACAAGCAACTTCGTACTCCCCTTCGCTCTTCAGTGCTATTGCCTCTGAGAAGGCCTTCACATCAGCATGCCACGGCACATTCTCCATCGTCAGTTTTGATGTTGCAGACCTGGATAGTGGTGATGGGGAATTATCAGATACAAGTGTCAGTGTGATTGAAAACTATGTAACATTGGAAGAAACAACTTACGATCCACAGTAAGTGACGCCTTTGATTTCGACAAAATCGGGCTGCCCAAGGCTGAATAGCTCAAAGTAAGCATCTAACTCCTCTGTGTTCCACCCTTTGACCAGTGTCAAACGGTACACAGTTCGCTGATGTTTATCCCTCAGAGCTGTCAACGAATCCTAGCAGTTGTTATAAGAAAATCATTAGTCAATTTATGAAAACTAATTATCTCCGTTCCATCTAATAGAACAATGCTACAGAAAAATCAGTCATCATGCAGTGATGCAGAGTTGGCAACAGTCAATTACATACAGTGAACCGCTCCCAGAAGTCTCCAAAGAGTGGTCTATCAACTGCTTTCAGACTTTCTTTTGTTGCAGCATCTACACTTACATATAACTGCGCACATAATCAATCAAGTTAGTTTCCAGTTTCCAACCAGATTGAAGACATTTGGTAATCAGGAACTAACTATTAAGTGATCAAACCTGAGTGATAGGTTTGAGCATTTTTATTTTGTCTGGGAACTGAGCATTTGTCACTAGGAAAGTTGATATTCTCCTTTTATGTAGTTCATCAACAAGAGTGTTAATCTCAGGATACATTATAGGTTCACCGACTAGTGATAAAGCACAATGCCTGGGAGAGAGACCTTCAGCTAATCGCTCCTGGGTAACACCTGCAAGGATAATTATCAGGATATGAATACACACAAAGTACAGAATTTACACAGCAAAAAACGCGTCACTTCATTTTTCCAATATCAAAACCTACCAGGAACTCCTTTCATTTGCTTGATCATCTTTCTATGCTGATCTAAGGCAGAATTAACAATTTCCAAAGCGTCATCCATCTTCCACTGCCAGCTCTTTCCTACAGGATTCGTGTGGTGCCTCCAACAGAAGACACACTTGTTGGCACAAGCCAAACTTGGAGTGGCCTCCATACACCTGTTCAATTCAAAATTTGGAACACATTTAGTGAACCAAATGTTCTAAAATCGAGAATGAGAATCAAGAAGAGATCAAATACTTAGAAACCATAATCCCTACGAAAGTACAAAGAATTCAAATTGCAAGTAGCAAACGCACTATACCTATGACTCTCTATCCCATAGAATGAATGCTTGTAGCAACCTCCTCGACCTCTGAGCTGAGATTTAGTCCATCTACAGATCTTAACACCACTATGCGAGCCAAGGATTTTGTAACCCTGCAAATGGAAAAAGAAAACTGAAACCAGAAACCTAGATAGCAAAAGCATTTACAGAAGCTGAATCAAGCTAAAAGAAGCAAGCTTTTCAAAGCAATCTCACCTGTTTTTCCAAGTTTGCTCTAATCACAGGAGTCACCATTTCTTTAGGGCCATTGCTCAGTTTCCCATTAGTTTGAGTGACTGCACCACCAGATTTCTTTGATGGGGCTTTCCCTGCTATATCCTCTAGATCAACGACCACCGATTCCAGGTCATCCTCCTCCTCCTCCTCATCTTCATCACTGTAGAATTCGTCACCAATTCCATCATTGAAGCTCTGCTCAGCACTGACCCCATTCTCCAACCCACTTCCCTTCAATGCCTTGACGATCTTCCTGCTCCATTCCTCAAAAGCGCTATCCAGCTCCCCACCATCGACATCGCCTTCCCCAATCGGCAAAATCTCATTGCCACCTAATCCTCTGAACCGTCTGCTGAAATCTCTAGCGACCGCATTATATGAATCGCCATAAGCTCCGCTCCCAACTCCAAACACCGCGAATCTACATTCAGAAAGCAGCAGCGAGCCGACTCTGAAATCATCGGCGCTTTCAGCGAGCCAATTGGCAAAGAATTTCGCATCCGCCGGCGGCTTCCCGTCTTCCCAAGTGGAAGCAATAATCAAAACTAGACTCTCCTTAGCCAGATCCTCCGGCTCGTAGCTTTTCACGTCGACAAGTGCGAACGGGATCCCGCTAGAGGTCAGGAGACCGTGGAGCTGGTGAGCTAGGGTTTTGGAAGTCCCGGTTTGGGTGACGAAGAAGAGCTTCCCTCTCTTCAAGGAAACATCAGGGTGACCATTGGACTGAGGAATAAGGTTAGCGTTTACGGAGAGCTTGAGTAGCTTGAGACGGCGAGACCTGTAGAAGCAGTAGATGGAGGTGGCCGAGAGGAGAGCGAGCAGGGTTAGTCGAGCCGGAGTTGAAGAGAAAGACATGGCGGGAAAATTGGGATAAGTTCTTTTCATTTATTCAATAAAGGGCAGAGTCCGCATGACGTAGCGCCGGATAGATTGAGAAATGGGAACGGCGCCATGGATACGTTTGTTGGAGACGAGAGTTTGCGGCGGGAAGACAGAGGAAGAGGAAGAAGAAGAAGAAGAGTACGATGACGGCGGCAATTCTTACTTCTTAATGACTCGCGCCACCGGTGGGCCGTTTTGGGCCGTTTCGTAGCTTTTTTGTTCAAAATGTTTTTGAAGTTTTGGGCCTTTCTGTGCAAAATGGTTTATATTACATTTGGCCTTGACTAATTATAAGCCCATAAGCCCAAGTACAATATCGGGCCCAATAACTCTAGCTCAAGTAGCTTTTGTAAATTGTAAAACTGAAGAGAAACAAAAAAAAAAAAAAAAAAATCGTGGCAGAAAAGAATCAGTAATTCAGTATGCATTTTCTATGTTCTGTCAAGGCAATGGAAGAAACCCAAAACTGAAACTAAGATGGCTCATAACAACTGCTCTCTCTCCCAAATCTCATCTTCAACTCATCTAAGTAAAACTTACAGGTACAGAATTTACAGTGAAGTTAAAATTTCCCCTCCATTTAGGGCCTCCACATGGTCTTTTGTGCACACAACATACCTTCTTTGTCCTGAGCATAAGTGAGCCTCATCTCCCACTTCAAGCTCTTCAGTATCCCTTCCAATGGAACCAGTATCTCAACCTTGTCCCTCACTATCACCCACCCGCCGGGTCTCAATATCCGGTCCATCTCCACAACTATCGTTACCGGCTGCTTACACCTGCCAAAAGAAAAGGAATGCCATGTTAGTAGAGCAGCCTGTAGGGATTCACAGTTGGGAGAAAAGATCAGAAATCCAGCAGATAATGAGCACACCTGTTCTTCAGCCGAGAAAACAGATGATCAGCGTGGAGAAGATCGTACGATCTTGGATAAGTACTGAAAGGCTCGCACCAATCGTGGTACACTCCGATGAGCCCGCGCTCGTATACTATGGGAAGTGTGTCTGGCGCATGAACCGGAACCACGTTCATGACCCACAAGTTCTTCTGCGATTGTGAAAGCGCTGCAGCAAATCTGTGTTCCAATATGTACCATGCAAGAAAAAGTTACTACCTAATACTATTCAAATTTATCAGACGTGTCCATGTACTAAAATCCAGTGCTTCTGTGCCACTATAATATGAAACGTGATCAAAGGTGTCCTTTCATCCAAGATTATTTTAGCAGAATCTTAGACCGAAGGACACACTTGACCACATTGTGTAGCATAAGGGAGCAAAAGTACTAAACTTTAGTACAAGACCATGTTTGATAACTTTTCAAACTTTCCATAATGAAGGGGCATAAAGTGCCTTTAACCCACAGATAGATTGGTACATCAATTGATATATAGTGACAATATTTGTAATGAGCATACCCTCCGTGGATGGCTTTCATGTCCATAACATTCCGTATGCTCGACCAGTCAATACCGATTCCAGCGAGATAGGACTTGTCGACTATTGCTTTCCAGTGGCTAGAGTCAGCAATCAGTCTCTCTTTGTTGCTCATCCACTCTGGATATGTCTCAAGCCTCTTTGGCCAGTCCTCTGGCCATTCTGTCCCACGTTGCTCAATTGACAATGGGATAGTGTGCAAGCAGGTTTTTATGGGAACATACCTGATAATATAGGAGCGGAAATTAATTCAAGAGAACAAAAGTTTTCCGGTAAATGTATACGGTGTTACTAAAGCTCACCAAGCAGCATCTGGATTTTCGGTTTCTTTGCAGATAGGCGGGTTCTTCTTCCTTCTGAGTTCATATATGTCATTTGAATCAGGCTTCTGATATATTTTCACGCTCACATCACTGTCCTCGTCGGTTTTGTGAGCCAGAATGTTCCAGCAGAGTGATGCTGTTAGCTTCGTCATGGCTGAAAAGAAGAATGGATAGGTGAAACAACGGATGAAGTGAGCTTTTAAGATAGTTGAATGCACCATAATGAAGAACCTGAACATATCAACGTGGATTCTGTACCAAAAAATGAAGAATGTGAAACTGACTACTGAGTTACTGACCATATTGTTGAAAATTCAAACACAAGATACAAGGTCAAGAACTAATTCATTCCAATCACTCAAACTTTTGGAGAGGGCCAATTGTGAATTCTATATCATTTCCCTAACAGAACGAAACTAGAAACTTAACTAAGAATGAAATTGTTCACCAGGGGTTACATAAAGCTCTTAAGATGCATGGCGAGGCATGAACCTGACCTTCTTCAACTTCAATGTTGTCATGCTTACTGGACAAGATAAAATATCCGCCGGGCCTCAAGAGTCTGTTCATTTCCAGAAGTCGCTTGCCCTCTAAAGAAACGTAGCAAAACGGTGAAGCCAGGACATCAGAACTCAAGGAATAGTGTGAAAGTTACTTGCAGGATGCCAGAAACCAAGAAAGCCAAAGAGCGAAGGACAACAGACCATTAGAATGCCAAGGAATGCCACAGCTGAAACAGTGGATAGCATCAAATACACCACTAGGGAAAGGGAGCCTTCTAGTCCCAAAAGGGCTGACTATGGCAGGAAAACCACGCTCGAGTGCAACCTGAGCTAGGTCAACTAAATCATCCTTCAATCCAAGCACTAAAGTCAACACATCTTTGTCAAGCAGGGATGCTTCAAAGCTCGAATCTCCACATCCAATGTCCAAAACTATTCGAATGTTCTTTCCCCATTCAATGTCTGGTACCATCTACCAAAACATCACCATCACCATATAAACATCAACTTCCAGTTCAAGAGTTCGAATCATATTCGACGAGCATATAACCTTCAACATATAGCAAGCAACCTAAACTCTAAAATTCATACTCTATTGCTTTAACTTGAAACCATACCTCCTCAATGAAGTCAAGGTAGTGCCCAACTCCACCCTTGAATTCAGTCTGGTTCTGAGGAAAGGCAAGATATTCGCCAGACTGCACTAACCAACTGCTTCTCTTAACAAAATCCGCAAGCTTAGGATGTGCCACATTCTTGTACAACACCTACAAACAACAAACACATAACAAGCTAGATTGTATCACCACTACCACTAAATCCTTAAAATGGCTAGACAACCCGCCCTATGTCTGTTCATACATACATATTACCTTAAGTTTGCTCTCAGGCCAACGAACTGGAGTCCCATACCCTTCATGAGGGAGAGGAACAAGGCACATTGGAGAGTTTCTTGGACAACTCCTCTCCGTATGCCTATAGCTTTGCAACTTCCCACTGCTGGTCTCCATATCAATGCAAGGAATGTAATTGAACTTGCTCCTCGTGTTGCACAATCTCCAACTGTAATGCCCATTTGGATCAAATACAGGACCTTTAAACTTCTGCTTCTTCCTCTTTTCGACCTTCTCGGAACCTTCATCTTGTTCTTCCTCTTCGTTCTCTACTTCAACCAAATCCCCATTCTCATTTCTCTCTCCCTCACCTACTTCCTCCTTTCCATCCACCACTTCCCCTGCCTCTTCTTCGTCTTCATCAGTTGCAGAATCCCCCTCTTGCCCATTTTCTTTAACCCCCTCGGAAGATGGGACCTTTTCGGAAGTTCCATGTTGTTGCCTCTGTCTCTTGACAGGTTTCGCAGTCTCCTGATGATGATGGTGATTTTGGTGGTCTTTATTGCCGACAGGAACAGACCCATTATTCACCTTGTGCGTCTCTTGTTGCTTCGACTCCAGAGCTTTCTTAGATTCCGAATCAGTGGAGGGTTGATTCGAATTCGACTTGTTGACCGGTGGAAGCGGTATGGACCGGGAGCTGGAAATCGGTTCCGCAATGTCATCGAAGCTCTCCCTTTGAGTGGTGACAGAGGAGGAAGGAGAGGAGAAAATTGACCAGACGAAGATGAAGCAGAGACCCAGTATTCCTACAGCCGTCATTTTCGCACAGAGCCCAAATGGGCGCTTGGCTTGGCGAGCTAGTCGAGTCATTCGAGCCAACGCCATGGCTCTTAGCCTCTCCAACTACAAAGAATCAGCAAAAATAAAAATAAAAAGTAATAAAGGTGGAATCTTTGAATTTCTAAATCGGGAAGAAGGGGGAAACGGAAGTCGGGGAGATCGGGAGAAAGATTCCGAGTTGCGGGAACAAGGTGAAGATCGAAGCTTGAACTGGGTAAGAAGAAGTCATCATTTTTGGGGGATGCAGAGAGCAAGATTTCTTCTGAAGTAAGCTATAAATAAAACAGAGGATGTGCAGACAGAGATTTCAGTTGAGACAGACAACAAAATCAGGAGATCTCTGCATTCTGGGTTTTCGTTGGCTGAGGATTTCTGTCTAGATGTAAAGGGGGGAAAGACGGGGATTGAACTTTGAAGAAGTGGAGTGTTGGGACTGTGGAGATGAGGTTTTCAGGTACGTCATTGGTTTTTCCGGACAGAACCAGATGGTAAAGAAAGCGCCTTTGTTGGGAAGTGTTTTAAAGAAAGACCGAAGACAGACGGAAGAAAAACCGGCCGAAATTCGGGGGGAAATGTGCCAAGAGGCGGCGGCGCGTGGCGGAATTGGGCAATCGGGCGGGCCGAGAACTGGTGGACTTGGTTGGCATGGGCTCGCTTTCAGTGTTGGGTATGTGTGGGCTCTCCAGAGTTTCCTTTTTCCAGAAGATAGCTCTTACATAAGGAGGAATACAAAGAAGAAGACGATCTACTTCAAATTTAAAGAAATAAACTCAGAAGCTAAGGTGACAAACTCGAGACATAAGCGCGACGGATTCGGAACACAATAGAACATTGGGCTGTATTTAAATATAATATTATATATTGTAAACAAAGATAGTTAATCTTTAAAAATTTTAGTATTTCAAATAAAAAAAAAAGTTAGAAAATTACCAACGGTAACAGACAAATGGCTAAAATTTTGATGCGTTACAAAAGATTTAGCTAATATTTTGTATTTCGAAAAGTTTGGCTAATAATTTGGAAAGTTTAAAAGGTTTGACTAATAAATTGTATTTACCCAAAAATATATGATAACAATAGTTTTCACTCATTACAATGCCAATTGTAATAGAATGGTTTTTTAATTTTGCAAATCCATCAATAATATAGAATCTCCATCCATACCAATAACATACTCTCTCACAAAGAAAATAGCTAAGCAAACAACGAGAAATTCATCGAGCATTTTGTTGCGCAAATTAGTTTTCACATATTTCATTACTTAAAATGTTCTCTCCATGGTAGCCGTTGAAATGGGCAAGGTCAACACTAGACGAATCAACCAACAAATCAATTTGTTTAGAGGGTTTTCTTATTTCAATGAAACTTTATACACTCTTATACATTTTAGACCCTTAGGTTTTATTGTTTTTTTTTCCAATGAAAATCATTCGGGCTAGAATTCTTAGACTAAATTGAGAGTAATGTTTTGCATATGTTCATCTAGACCATTTTTCTAACTACACAAAATTTATTATAAATAACATTCGACCGAACATTAAATAATACTGGGCCGAATACCTAAAATAAAAAATTTATAAGCTCTATACTAGCTCTGGATCCGGCGGAGGGTTGGGGTGTGGCCCGGGTTGGCCCAGCCCTAGATCTGCCGATGGCACATAACCAGTCATCATATCGGCTATCTTATTTTCTAAACAGTCCACAAACAATAACTTGTAATATGGTGCTCCATCAAGAAGATGATGCACTTCCACAAAAAGTACGCTAGTCCTTGTGAATACAATCCTAAAGAAAGACCCTAAATGCATGGTAGTGATGAGCCAAAGTCGCACAAACGCGCCCATTTGAATCCTGCAGAACTATGCCATCAAAATAATACCAAAAACTCGTATGATTGGCCAATAGCATTTGACCAACAACAATGTGATCTGAAGCGATGTGTACAGAATATTATACTCTTTTCACATACGAAGAATGAGGTTACTGATTTTTTTTCATCCAATCAATCTCGATATATTATGGACAAATAGTTTGAGATGTTTTTCATGAATAACAACTGATATTCACAAAATGCGTTAAAAATATTCATGACACATATTAAGAGTTTTTATAATATGTATTGAGAGAGAGTCACGTAAATATTAAAAGTATTCATAATGCGTGTTAAATGTATCCTCAACATGCATTAAATATATTCAAGATAAATAAATCTAGTGTGTTGTATGAATATGTCAAGTGTGATGTGTGAATAACTCAATCTACACACTCAAAGCACCTAGAATTTTTTTTCTATAACATATCAACATGACAAGATTGATGTCATTATATGCAAACAAAATATGGATATTTTATGTACCAATTTTTTTTAAAAAAGAATATTTTTAACTAAAATGTAATAAAAATTTCCAGCATGTCCTCGCAAATATCATCACCATGATATTCAACGGGGAAAAAACAAATATCACCATGAGCACCCTAACCGCATTGTGGTGTAATTGTGTAAATGTGTCTACAACGACCAATGGACTAGTTTGATCTTATTGTAACTTTTCCATTGAAAGCTTAACACCATCAGTCCAGCACAATGCTAGTCCATCAGCCTCAACCCCTTCTCCATTCTTGAAACCCAATTGCATTTGTAGACCATTCCATTAATATTATTTCATATTTGTTCCCGTCAAGAAGAGGATTTGAGGAGATTCTTCCATCACCATATCCTTTAACTCTGAAACATCAATTTCGGAGTCCAAACCCTCGTTGTAACGTCACTAAGTGAGCAAAGCAAACATCGAAGGAAAAGCCGCCATGGAGAGTATAAAATGAGAAAAATCAAGAAGTTGAGCTAGTTGAAATTGTCGAGAGATCATAAGACAAGAAAGATCGAAGAAGAAATCAAACAATAGAAGAGTTTGGGAAAGACGAAAATTACTCATTGTCATTTGTTCGTTTGTCACCAATCCATTATTTCCTTAGATTGATTGTATTATATCTTTAAAACAAGACACATGAAAATATACTTCTCCCCTCTCTTAGTGCATGTAAAATTAAACGACTAAAAGATATGCAAAAAGGAACATCAAGAAGATTACATACTTTCCCCCCTCTCCGTGTCCAAGTTAAAAATACTAACAATACAATTTGAATACATGAATTTGCATATGAGCTTCCTCCGTGCTACTTGTATCCCATCTCGTACACAGGCTACCATACCTTTTCAAATATCAACATGTACCATAACAAATTCTTAATATTTAATAAGAAAAACATTATATTAAGCACCTAAAGATTTTACATTGTGTTCTATGGTTGGTCTATTTATAATAATACTTCATTATATTATTGTCTTGATTTTGTGTTCTGTGGTTGATGTATACATTAGTTTCATCCAATATCTCTTCCTGAAAAGAGAGACTACAAAATGAATTTCATGAGATTAGTCTTCAATAAATAATGGTAAACTATATAAATACAGGATTTAGCGCATGTTATAGTCCATGCATCCTCTACAAATGTAATTAGATAATTTTATCTAGGCAAAATACTGTTGTATATCCACAACTATCAGGTTTGTGACAAATATATCCACAACTATCGAAATACATGAAATATCCATTTCCGTCCCCTCCGTTAACTCCGTCAGTTAATTTGATGACTGGACAGACGATGGATGCTTAGTTGGCGTGTTTCTGACCCCACTAAATGACGTGGATTAAAAGAGAAAAAAATTTAGGGTACGGATTCTTTCAAGATTCTTATTACAATAATATCGCATTTAGCCGTCTAAGCCCGCTCAAGGAATCTTCCAGCCATGCCAATAATATTAGGATGTCAATTTCGACTTGATCTGTTTTACCTGACCTGTTTAGTCTGTTTTGGGTGGGTCCGACCCGTCCCGTAGGCGTGGCTGTACGTGGGCACTGGGTCGTGCCGCCCACGGGCTAGCACGACACGGTACGGTTAGAGCACGGCACGAGCATGGGCACGAAATAAATGGGTCTGCCCGGCACGAGTACGGATAATTTATGGGCCGTGTCGGGCCTAAATTTCATGGGCACGGGCACGACACGGTATATAAGTGGGCCGTGTCGGGTCTAATATTTTTGAGACTTTATCGAGTATAAGAACGGACATGGGACGAAAAATAATATTTATTTGATAGAAAATAAATATAAAAAATTATAGGTTCAAATATTACAAAAACACAAGTAGAAAATTAATTATTTGTTGTTGTTAGAAGTGTCATAAAGATATATACGTAATTACTAACATAAGTAAAAAATGGACAAAGAATTAAACAAAGCCAAATCACACTCGAAATACTTCCAATTTTCTTTTCCTCCTCAATTGTTACTTTTCTCAAACATTATCTATTAATACTATCTTCCCCCGTCCAATTTTCACCTTCTTTTTAATTCTCTCTTTTGTTTTCGTCCTTTTCATGAAACACGAACACGAGCATTGCAAGAGCACGAATAGGCACGGCACGATTCGAACTGTGTCCGGGCGTGGGTCGGGCCTAGCAAAGTTGACAAATGGGCTTGCATGGCACGGCACGAAAACTGACGGGCTGTGTCAAGCACGACACGAAATAAATGGCCCGAAGCGTGCCCGTGTCGTGCCAGCCCAAACACGGCCTGACGCCCATGTACAAGGGTGGCAGGGCGGGCATGGGCACTCTCATCGACCCAATGGATCGACCTGCCCCGACCCGCGACCTGTAATAAATTACCCAACCTGCCACGGGACGGATCTGGATACCAAGAAACCCGCTCCGGACCTCCCCATTGCCAATCCTAAATAATATTCACGCAGGCTGGATTACATGAAGATTAACCGGCAAGAAGTTAAAAAGTAAAACTTAAAAAAAAAGGGTTATAGGTATAATATGCCCCTCTACTATGATGTTTTATCAAACATGCCCCTCTACTATTTTTTACATCAAATATGCCCCTATACTTTGAAAAAATTATGAAACATGCCCTTCTGTTAAAATTTTCATTGAAAAAATCGTCAATCGTGGTTGAACCGAGATTTAGATGACCGACATCGGCAAATGGGAGGAAAAATGTCAGTTTTGTCCCCTATTTTATTTCCCTGGGTCTTTTCAAAGTGAAATTATTTGAATGATTTGATTATACAAAAGAACGAAAAAAATTCTAAAGTGAATTTATTATGGATATTTTAGTCATTTGTGTTGCCCAAACTAAAGTTTGGCCTTGGTTAACGGTTTTTAGATGAAATTTTTAACAAAATGGGATGTTTGATCATTTTTACAAAATACAGGGGCATGTTTGATGTAAAAAATAGTAGATGGACATGTTTGATAAAACGTCATAATAGAGGGGCATATTATACCTGAATTGCTATTTGTCGCCCTAAAATTTAAATTTTATCGCCCTAAATCACACTAAATTGACACATTTACCCCTAATCTCCATTTCTAACCTAAATCCTAAACAACCGCCTACACAGAGCCATGGAACTGCTTCCTCTTCGCCTCCGATTCCGAGGAAGTCGATCAAAACGCGGCGGGCGGTTCTTGTAGAATGAACGAACACGGAGGAGAGCATAATCAAGCAAGATGACCGGCGATGGCGACAGAGGGAGAAAGTGGCGAGAGCGACGGAGAAGCAACAGTTGCTATGCTGGTTTCGTGCAGAGAAGTTCGGAATGGTGTGCGTTTGTCTTCTTTCCTTGCGGGAAACATAAAATTGCTCAGCTGTGCATATCATTCTTCTTTTGCAGTTATGGGATTTGAGTTTTTTGTTTTTAATTTATTATGAAACAAGTATCAAAATAAATTTGCTCCCCGCCGATCCCACTACCCTCATCCGTCGCTTCTTTCTCTCAGCCACCCACCAACAGGATTTCAGCTGCCGCTACTGCCACTCCCACAACCGTTGATACTCTGTTTCCGGCAGTCTGCATGTTGTTGAAGGTTTGTGTTTGTAAGAAGAAAAAAAATAAACTAGGGACATTAGGGTAAATTGATTAAGCGTTAGGGCGACGAATAACATTTTTTAGGGCGACGAATAGCAATCCCCTATTATACCTATAAAAAAAAATGCTCAGCGCCAATAGGCCCAGACAGCCAGCGTCACGGATAAAAAAGCCTATATGCTACACCCATACGACCCTCCAGGTCCAAGGCCGGTTGTAACTACTAATTTCTACGATTATAGAATTCGGTAATTCCTAACCCGACCCAACAAGGATTCCATTTTCAAAGAAGATATTTAGGAGTCGTTTGCTTCATGGATTTAAAAATGAGGGTTTTGTAATTTAAAAACCCAAGGATTTATCAAGGATTTGAGGCATCATGGATTTGTAACAATCCTTTGTTTGTTGGGATGTTTTTATTATGGATTTAAATGTGTGGGATTTACTACTTGAATTCAAAAATTACATTACTGCCCTTTTCTATACGTTTGACATGTTTATGATATGTACACAAAACAAGGACAAAACTTCAAAATTACCTTACTATCATTTTCTATATGTTTGACATGTTTATGATATGTACACAAAACATGGACAATACATACTAATAAGCATAATGTTGCCACATGGACAATAATAATAAACGAGAAAATTCCGTTTTAACTTTTAACGTAACATAATCAATTACCAATTCTTTGTCCTCCTTTTCAAAAGTGACATATAACAACATATATTAGAATCGGGAGAACAAAGAATTACACGTTCCATGAAAAGGTCAAAGAAAACTAGAACACAAGAAATGATATAAAAAATCTAACTCATGTTTGCACCTTAATTGAACGTTTATATTATTCATTTATTGTTAATTATAATGTATAATAGTTAAATTTGAGAGCAACCTTGGAATATTAAAAGTTCATGAGGGTATATGGGTAAAATCTCATCAAGGATTTATGCCATATTCCAAATCCCACATCAACATGTGGGATTTATAAGTCCGTGGGGTCCACGGATTTGGACCATTAAAATTCGTGGGCTCCACGGATTTGGTCTCCAAAAAAGGTGCAAGCAAACAACGGATTGTACCTAAATCCTTGATAGTTGGTTTTTTGGTACCAAATCCATATACCAAATCCTTGAAGCAAACGACCCCTTAATTGCTGTACATAGAGGTGGAGAGAGTTAACCGCAACCTATTGAATATATTTTGATTCGATTTTGTTCCTATAAATTATTTTAAGTATAAAAAAAAGAATTTGAATTCGAACTGGATCGAATCAGACCAAATAAATCAAATATGTTATTTCTTATTTGTCCTATGTTTTTAGTCTGGTCCTATCTCAATTCCATCCGATTTATGACCAATGCCCTCCACTAGTTATAATTACATGTGGTTTAAGAGTTGTTTTATTTATTCGTAGCCGTATTTGTTCCCATGTAACTGAATGTAGACCTGGCAATCGATTCGGGTCGGGTTTAGGATCATCTTGGATTATGAGCGTTCTCAATTCTCATAAACAATATCAAACAAACCTTTTAAATTTTTAAAGAACAAATTTTTTTACATATCAATGACAATAATTTACCTAACACATGTCAATTAACAAATACTCAAATCCTTTCATACTAATGAAAAGACACAAATCGTAACAAAAACAATCACAATAGTAAAACTACTGCAATACAATAAAGCACAATGTTGCTTGATTATCATTACACTCCAACATATTTCTCCGGTTAGGGATTGTCCAGAGCTAAGGATTGATACTCCCCATATTTCTGGTTGATCAGACGAGATTAGATAATGTAACGATATCGTCTGATGGATTAACCAAAAAAAAAAAAAGATTGAAGAACACTTACATATATGAGTCGACTACCTGCAGATGTGTGAAGAAGTGGACAAGCAGCAAGAAGGAAAGAGATGTCACAACCTCCCCAAATCTTCGCACCGCACGGAGCATCTAAACCCACCGTTTCTCCAACAAGCATAGCCACCCAAAAACATGATCCTGACGCCGACGCGGCCCACAAACGTCCACCGATCCCTGTGCTTTTTTTTCCCCACCTCTCGACATGGCCAGCCCTGCGTCATTCACACAAAGCACGACAAAACCAAAACCAAAACCAAAACCAAGTACTCGTTTGGACTCTAATGCAAAGTAGTAGTAACCATATCTCTTACCAGCCTCTTCAACCCACCGGGGAGTTGAGATTTTAGGAAAAAGAGCAGCCACCCTTTTCCATGGGGGATCTTTCGCCTCTGTTGGGGGACTCCTGAAAGAGACACCACCTCTCTGGGGAAGTCGTGGACAAGCTTGTTGCCTTCACTTTTATTTTCTTTTGGGGGAAGAGAGAAGGGATAGAGGTGGCCTGTGAAGCGTTGGTTATGTGTGTGGCTCTTGTTTTTTCCCTTATCCCCCGCCTCCTCTGCCTCCCTTCCTATATTTTGTCTCACCGCATTATGCTGCTGCCGTTCTTTCTTCTTCAATCTCCTCATTTCAGCTCTACTAATCCTCCTCCAGGTTTAGTCGCTCTGCATGCTGAGCGTCGTCGTCTCTCTTACTTCTTCTTCGATGAGCATGTCGAGCGGGAAGTTGCAGGACGAGTCTCAGTGGTCGTCAGAGGAGCTGAAGCTGTCGCAGTTGCTGGACACTCAGGCGGTGAGGGAGCTCCACGTGGCGATCCAGAGCCAATGGGATCCCATCCGGCTGTCGGCGTGCCAGACGGCGGCGGGGAGGGCGCTGTGGAGGCACGTGATCCACGACCCGCTGGCTGACCTGCTGGCGGGAGAGACGTACCTGAGAAGTCTGCACCAGAAGATCAAGAAAGACCTGCTCAACAATGCGAGGGAGACTTCCGGGGTGATCCTCGCCGTTCGGACTTTGTGGTTCGATTCCAAGATCGACGCCGCCTTGAGTTCGTTCGCCGGTGAAGCTCAGGTAGTTCTCCTTGGTGCAGGTTGGTGATCGTCGTACCCTTCTCTGTTCTCTGTCGTTGTTATTTTAATCAATGCCTATCCTCCATTGCTCCTGTCCTGACTCCTGAGAGTAATGCCATATAACCTGTTACAGTACGAAGACCCAGAATGCAAGCAGAATGTTAGTGATTGGACCGAATTTAATGTTGAGGGTTACTAGGATCTACATACACTGCCTTTCGATCTTCAAAAGTTCTGCTATCTTGCCGAGAAATGATTCACTCGAACAGTTGGACTAATTCTAGGATATTATGAACATTCCTCAACAATTGAGTGATTGAAACGAACTAGTTCCTAATTCACAAGTCATGAATGGATTACCAAAATCCGATCACACGACATCTCGGTGATAAAAAAAAAAAAAATTCAGATATCATGTTAGTGACCAACTTATCCCGTTGTTAACATGAATGAACCTTCTAAATTTTTACCGGAACTTTTACATAATAGGCAGATATCTTGGGTTCATTGTCATGCTAGGACTGCTTTGTTTATAAAGTCTTCACAAGATTGTAATTAAAAAAATAGTAGTCTTCACAAGATTGGCCTCAAGCAAAACCAAAAACTTAGTGATAATATATTATGTGTGTGCAATATGACAGGCATGGATACAAGGGCGTACCGGCTAACCAGCTTAAAGCAAACTGATGTCTTTGAGGTCGACTTCCCCGACGTCCTGGAAGTGAAAGCCACCCTTCTGGAGGCAGCAACGGAATCGATGAACGAACACAATCCCCCCAAGATGACAGCAAAATCCCTCGAAAGGGTAGCTGCAGACATCAGAAATGCTGATTGGGTTGAGAAGCTTAAAAGATCAGGTTTCGAACCAGAGAAGAAGACGGTATGGGTTCTAGAAGGCATCCTATATTACCTGTCCCATTCACAAGCCTTGCAAGTACTGAAGACCATAGCGGACAAGTGCTCCCTTGCCCACACTGTCCTCCTCGGTGACTTCATGAACAAACCATCGACCACCATGTCTAGCTCTCTCTTTCACTTCTATAGTGATTGGCCCGATGATCTCCTCCCGTCTTTAGGATTCTCCGACGTAAAGTTGTCGCAGATCGGGGATCCAGACGCTCATTTCGGGCTCATGGATGATCAGTTAAATCTGTTCAACAAACTCCGCGGCTTGCCAAGGTCAGCTCAGATCCACCCAGATGATGGAACGCCTTGTTGTCGCTTGTATTTAGTGCAGGCTTCAGGCCTGCCCAATGAAACCAACATATAGAACTTGTACAAATGATGCGGGATCCACATTAAACACTATAGCATAGATGCCAGCATTGTTGCCATTTTGTTTTGTTCAATAAATGCAAGATGCAATCTTAGTTTTGCGACATGTCAAGCAGTTCATTTTTTGACGACCTCTTCAAATATCCGCCAGAGCCATCAACCATGAGTTGCTTGTGATAGAAAGGTTCTAGTCTCACCAAAATGCATGCTACAGCAGTGTTACCAACGGCAAAGAATAACATTGCTCTATAGAATTCTTCATTTCCCAAACTGCAAGAACTGCCATCTGAATTTGGAAACTTCTACTAGTCTCAAAACTGCCAGAATAGAGAGACCACTCCCAAGAATTCCACTGAAGCCCATTATATGAAATGAGGCTGAATGTGAGGAGAATGATATACAACCAATAACTAGTGTCAATGTACCATTTGTTCTGAACAAGAAGGGCATTGCATGAACAGTATGCTGGTCATGATCAAGCTTCAAGGCAATCCTTCACTCCCTGCTCAAACTTGTCCAACGACGACAAAGTATCCATCACTGCATCAGCAACCTTCAATCTGCATTTAAATTACGACGAAAAAACTAGCATGCTTCATTCCCAGTAACACGACATTCAGCCTTCCTATATCCCTTCTTCTGTTTCTAACAAAGTAATGCAAATCCACAAATTAGTGCACATACCTGTCAGAAGAGAGTTGAATATCCATTCCATTTATGACACCGCTCAGAGAAGCGAACGAACTGGAGCACAAAGACAAATTGCACAATCCGATTACAGCACAAATTAATCATCAGTCTGAGTAGCATTGTTCAGAAGTTCTGGCAAACAATGAGATGTACTAACCTTATGAGATTATTCAATATGGCTTCACCCTCCAGCTTGACAGGATCATTTTTATCAAGCAATGAAGCAGCATTCTTCAGAATCAAAGTGAACGTGCAAACCTGTGCATCACATCCAACCAAAGTTCATAAAACTGTACGCCATGGAATTTGATGTGCAGAAATTGACTAGCTACATCCATAACCACACCTCTACTCCAGTATTGGCCTGGAATACCACAAACGAATTCCTCTCTCGTGGAACGCAATCTCTAGCAGAAGAAACCAGAAGCTTTTGAACTTCCCCTAAATCGACGACTGTGAGATCAGATCCCCCAGCTGCTTCACCGCCATAGATAGGTTCACACTCCAATTCAGTTTCGCTACACAAGTCAAATCCGAGGGGAAAAAGACGATTACTAGAGAGCTGTGAAGATACTTACTGAGTGCCAGATAGACGGAGCGGAGACTCTCTCTGGAGGCATCGATAGGCGCCAGCAGGTACTTCGCCGCCTTCCTCTTCTGCTCTTTCAGCCAGTCCTTCGGTCCTGCTGCGTGGCCCAACGGAAATCGAAACGTTTCGTTTAGTACTGAAATTGAACTGGAGAATCAACAGAAAAGTTTTGTTATCGAAGGATAATTTGCGATTCGTGCTTACAAATGCCGACGGAGAAAGCTGCGGCGGGAGGCGGCGGTGCAAGGAGCGGGACGAGCGCGACGAAGGGGAGTAGAGCGGCATCTCTGCGGGAGATCTTGATTGGAGGTGGAAGGCGATTGCTTCCGCGGCGATCGACGGTGATCGGAGATGAAATCACTGGAAGTCGGGAATCGGAGGGGAGAGCGGAGCTGGAAGCGGATACGATCCGGAGTGAGAGTTCCGATGGCGTAGCTCTGGCTATCGTCATGGTTGTTTTTTCGCGCCGTCGCCCCTCGGCAGCCTCGACGGTTTGTAACGGATAGATCAAGCCTCTAGGATTGGCCAATCAGGCCAATCTCAACCTCTGCTTGTCAACGTGGCGCCTCATGATTGGGTGACAGCCAAATATTTCCCTTTGGTTTCGACAAGGTTAAGTTGCAAGAGAATTGACGAAATATCCATATGATGAGAGCATTGCACAATGTTTTCTCTAAAAAAAATTATGCAAAATTGTGGTGGGTAGAATCGGGTTCAATTAGTACCGGTTACAGAACGGGCTAACATCGCAGAAGTAGGAATAATGGCACCAGAAATAATATTGTTGCCATAAAGTAGAGTTCCAGAAATACTATTTATTGTATGACAAATATGACCGAATTTTTAACATAATTTTGGTGAAATTAATTAAAAATAATTACTTGTTTTATTTATTTATTTTGAAAGTTAAATGTTGATGCTATTATTTGGATTCAAGTATGCATATGATATTTAGATGTTTATGTTATTTGTTAATTCCAGTATAAACTTTTTGATGTTAGCGTTAAATGTAGTATTTAAATATGAAGATTTCTCATTTTATTTGGAACGTTGTATTTTATTTAAATATGAATGTAAATTTTAGATACATTCTCTTCAAACAGTGGCGGATCCAGGGGGTGGCCACCCCGGGCCACGGCCCAGCCCTCCTCCGGATCCGAAGTTAGTATAGCTTTTATGAGTTTATCGAGTTTAGCCATTCGGCCCAGTGTTATTCTATTAATACGATTGTGTGTAATTGAGAAAATGGGTTAGATGAACATATTCAAATCACAACTTTAAATTTAGCCTAGAAATTCTAGCTCTAGTGATTCTCTTCTAAAGAAAAACAAACAATGTAACCTAAAATTCTAAAAGTCTAAAACGTAAGAGACTAAAAGAACAATGAGGTTTGTTCCCTTGAAAAATTACTAGACCAGCTGATGGAAATAGGGACGAACACACAATACAAATTGATTAGTCGATTGATTTGTCTAGTGTTGACATTGCCCTTTGCAACAGCTACTATGGAGAAAACCTTTTCAACAATGGAACGGGTGAAATATGATTTGCGCAACAAAATGAGCGTTGAATTTCTCACTAATTGGTTAACTATATTATTTGAAGGAGAGTCGTATGCTATTGGTATGGAGGTAGACTCCATTATTGATGAATTCGCTATATTAAAAGATTGAGATGTACAATTGCTATTGTAAAAAAAACTATATATTTTTTTACGGTATCTAATTTTCTAATGAAATGCGTCTCAGTGCTGCTATGTCCTCGATCCACCGGTGTCTTCAAATATGTTATATATGTGCCTAAATGCTTTAGTGCTGATAATTTCTCAATTTTTAAATATTTATTAAAACCTACATAAACTAGCATAAACCGATTGTACTCATCGATCGAACTAATAACACTTGTCAAACCAAGATAATGAACATCTTAACAACCTTGCAAAAAGAGGGAAAAATCCAAAACTACCACTGTTTAAAAAAAATACAAAAATACCACCCATTCCCAATAATTTCCAAAAATACCATAGTGTATATAAAACCGCGCCTCAAATGAGCGGTTTTTAATGAAACCGCGCCTCCTATCAGTGGTTTATAATATAACCGCCTTGCCAAGAGGCGTTTTCAATTTCCAGCAAAAACCGCTTCTGGAAGGCGCGGTTATAGGCTAACCCTACCACAAAACGCTTGAAGAGGGAGCGTTTAAATGTCGGCATGATAAACCGCCCACCAGGCGGCGGTTTACCATGTCAGGACATAAACCGCTGCCCCAAGGCGCGGTTTGTGCCTAGTCACCCGACAGCAAACATATCGGACATGTCTGCATGCAGGGGGTAGGGCTGCATGGCAGACCTAAAACCGCTCCCCCCCCCCAGCGGTTTTGCTGCAAAATTTGCCTATAAAAGGCTGTTTCAGAGAACTCAATTCTTCACTCCTCCTCTTCCTTCTTCAAATATCAGCTTTGCACCTTTAAATTATTTAGTTTTTGCGATTAACGTTAATTCGTAAGTTTGTTTCGTAATTACTTTTCATTGTCCTTTGTGATTTTATGTTAGTAACTTAATTACTTTTCATTGTCCTTTGTGATTTTATGTTAGTAACTTAATTACTTTTCATTGTCCTTTGTGATGTTATGTTAGTAACTTGTATTACTTTTCATTGTAGATGGCATTCCAAAGGTTCGCGCTTGGGTTGCGGTGGAATGGTTACACGGAAGAGATCGAAAAGGGTGTAAGTTACGTCGGTGGCAATTTTTATAAAATGAAGGTCCGTACGAGACCGATGCTTGAAGAGCTCCATCAAATGTGCACTCAGATTACCTGCATGGATGGCACTAGAAGAGTTGATCAAATGGTGTATCGATATCCAAACAGACATGACGGGTCGCTGTGGAATGAGGAATTCCTCCTTACCACTCAGGAGGACGTTGATGTCATGGTCCAATTTTTGACCACCAATAAAATTAAGCAAGCGGAGATGTTCGTTTACACCGAGGTCGTCGAAGGCAGTGTAGGTCATTCTGGAGATGGCCAAACATCTGGTATCCACGGTGGGAGTGTATTATACGAAGATCATCCCCACCAGGATTTCCAAGACTCGAGCTGGAGGCAGGAGTATCATCATGGAACTGGAGGAAGTCATCAATCCTTCCCTTCATATGAAGAAGAAGCTCAACAGGCGGATCACAACCAACAAGCAGGCTACCAGTACCCACCCGAGTACAACTTCTATCAAAGCGGTGTTAGTTACCACAACTACCATTACGGAGCTGGTGAAGGTGAAGGTGCCTTTCATGATGATAATCAGATGGAAGAAGAGGTCAATCCAAGTCCAGTTAGTGACCCTGAGGTTGAAGAAGAGGAAGGCGAAGTTAGTGCAGACAGCTTCGATCCGCTGGAAGGTGCTGATGATTCCGGTCCAGATTCAGACGCAGATGGTGATGAGGTACCTCACGACCGTGTACCTATTCCATACTAATAAACATTAATTTTAACATAACTAAATAATATTATAAGATGCAATATTAATTAAATCAAGATTGTTTTATAGAAATATACATTATCTAATAAACATTAATTTTTAACATAGCTAAATAATATTATAAGATGCAATAATAATTAAATCAAGGTTGTTTTAGATAAATATACATTATCTAATAAACATTAATATTAACATAACTAAAATAATTTTCAAAATTTAAGTATAATTATTTTTTGTACACATACACATAAAATCAAATATATTATTTTGTTAATCGTATTGATTATTTTCAATAATTTAAAGCAATACAAGTACACTCGTAAGACTCTTAGGAGAGGTATACATCTCCTTAGAAACACAGTTTTTTTGACAGAAAAAGGGGGATCCGAGGATCGCTTAGAACCCGATTTTCCCAGGTCATGGGGGGATCATGATGATCGCTTAAGTCTCCATTTCCTTAGACATGCATTTCTTTATAAAGAGTCTAAATAAGTGTTGTATTGTATTGATTTAAATTATTGAAAATAATCAATACGATTAACAATTAAGTAAATTATTGTACAAACAAATAAATTACTTTAGCAAAATACAAATTACAAGTGATGATAAATAATATGTACCTTGTGGTCGTTCCAAACGTCTCTTGAACGATGATTTGTTTGATCGTATAAAACTGTCGGATCAATCGGTCCTTGATCAACATAATATCGTTGATTGAAAATATCAACATCCGGCCCAACCTACGATAGCATAACAATAACATAAATCAATTAGTATATAAATTAAATAAATCATTATAACAACAACAACAACAATTGGGAAAAATGAGTACGTACCGTTTGATAATCATCATAAAAAAGGCCCTCTTCTTGGGCGAAATCGGCCATTTTTTCGGAATCCGGACAGAGGTTCGACAGTTTTTTAGTGAAAATCAAAGAAAAAGTTTTTTGAAGGCAGATCAGACTTAGCCGCAACCAACAAAATAACTAATTATAAGGTTTTTGGGTGGGGAGGGGGGTGGGTAGACTGTAGAGTGAGAAGTTAGAAGGAGAGAGGTGGGAATGGGTTTGGTGTGCAGAAAATGGGAGGGGGAAGGGGGGTTTATATAGGGACGAAACCGCGTGAGGGAGGGGCAATTTCGTCCTTTTATCCTGCCTAAAACCGCGCATCCAGCACGTGGTTTGCGTTCTCTAACAGTCAAAACGTGCTTCGGGGGAGCGGTTTGACTGAGCGACGCGAATCGCTGAGCTGGCGCGCGGTTTGGCCGTCAGATCGCTCCCCCATCGCGCAGTTTGATGCACCGCCACGTGGCCACGCGTTTTGAAAGCCATGCAAGGTCAAACCGCGCTTTGGAGGCGCGTTTTGTGCTATAACCGCTGCCAGGAGGCGCGGTTTCAATTAAAACCGCCAATTAGAGGCGCGGTTTTATATAAACAATGGTATTTTTGGAAATTATTGGGAGTGGGTAGTATTTTTGCAAAAAAAAAATTTAAATAGTGGTAATTTTGAATTTTTTCCGCAAAAAGAGGCATGTGAAATGAGGTCTCCTTATGAGTTTTTTTTTTTTTTTTAATGTTATTGCTAAGGGTGGGAGGCTGGGAGCTATAAGTGGACATAGTACAGAAAGTCTATGGGATGCGCTTGTCGTTTGATTGTATTGGTCGGCTGTAGATGAAAGATCGATTGATTGAGCATACTTTGACAGTGCCGTAGCTGAGTACTCTCAAGTCTCAACGAATCGGCTTATATTGCTGTCCCTAATCTACACGAGAACAACGAGAATGAAAGCTGCTTGGTGATAGTCGCAAAAGACAAAAGGTATACATCCTCCCAACTTTGCACTCTGTATAAGTGTGTTTAATGGGTTGTTGAAAGTGCTGTCTTGTAAAGAAACGGTTGATTCCAATAAATTGAGTTGGTGGGAAAAGTTTCAATCGTGGACGGTATATTGTTTACTAACACATCTTCACTAATGAAAACTACCATATATGGGTTTGAGGTTTGCACAGATCCGGACACCATGTGCTTAACAGAACAGATGAAGGTAATCGAGATTTGAACAGAAGACCTTTCGGTCACAAAAGGCTCGAATACCATGTCAAGAACCAATTTATTCTCATAACTTGAGTTATTGGCAGAGGTTTAATTATATATCATATACCATTTAATATTAATGGATTTTTATGTTCGATTTTTTTTTTTTGAGGTAGCCAATGCCATCAGCGCATCACTTTTTCATTTTCACGTGTTGTCGACTTGTCCTATTTTTCTCTTGCATGCATTTTCCTTCCATTTAGACTTACAAATAGGTATTAGTTAGGAAAGATTCTAGAACGTGAATATGATTCTGATGTGTTGTGTTATTAGGTTTGGCGCATTATTCGTTAATGTCAGAATCAAGTTTTGGCCAATGGAAGAAATGACGAACAAGCATCGAGAATGACATTAATCTTCGATTATGAATTGTGTTATTGTGAGTTGATAGATTCCACCTCCACTTGATGCTAATCTTATCTTGTTTGTACGAGCTGATCAACTTCGTCCCATCCATGTTTCACGTGTGTTGTTGGCTTGTTGCAATTTAATTGTAAAGCTTTTAACAACTCGAATGCTCTTTCACAACGCCTCAGAAACAATATCATGTTTTTTAACTTTTGAGTTATGGATAGTTTTGCTTGAGACCGATTGACAAAGAAGAGAGGATCAAACTATAGTTGGGGTGGGGTGTTAGAATATGACTTGAATTTGATTTGGGTTTGTTTTGTGTTTTAGGCCTATTTTGTTTGGGTTTGTGTTTGGACTTTGTTTGACCTTTTCCTTGTATGTTTGGGAAAAGGTGTTTGGTTTTCTGTTTGGGATTAGGAGAAGAGTTCTATAAATACTCTTCATCACCCTAGCATGTAGTTGGGGTCAGTCAGGTTAGTTTGTTTGGTTTGTCCGTTTGGAATTTGGTTTGTAACATGTACTCTCCTCAAATTAGTGAAATTTGTTCCCCCCTGCCCGTGGATTAGCTAGTACACATTGTGTTAGTGAACCACGTTAAATTTGTGTGCATTTGTGTTGCTTTGGAAAACGATTGCACGCTTCTGTTCTGACAAGTGGTATCAGAGCCTGGTTGATCTTTGGGTTATTTGAAACTGTTTTGGCAAATTTTTGGGATCGCGCTGCTGGTTGAGCTTGGCGTATTTGAAAGTATATTCGTCACCTCTGAACTGACGTTGCAGTTGGCGGATTTGTTTGTCTTTCCGGCTTCGATTTGGGTAAATATCTCCTGGACTTGAGAATTTCTGTTGGTGGCATCGCAATTTGTTTATATCTCTCGTCCTTGGAAGATTGTTCTCTAAATTGGATCTCGGAATTGGAACGCGTTGTCGTTTGTTGTTTGGGAAGCCGCTTGTATTTTGGAACAAGTTAATTGTGCGCTCCTCAATTAGCTTTGGAATTATTGAGTTGCTGCTCTACGTTGGTTTTTTTGTTTTGAAGCTGGAAAGTTTGTGGTGTTTACTAATTGCAATTGGGGCTACAATTTTTGATTGGACGACACATGGTAGAAATTGGGAGTACTGGAAGCTAATTTTTATTAGTTGCTGGTGTTCGTTAATTCTTTGTTCGGCGACAATTTGGTATTGAGCGGTGATTCCAATCTTTCACCATTTTGGAGTCGCATTGTTTGGTTTGTCGAGAAGAAAATTTGGAATTTGCGGCAGAGAGCTAGTTGGCGGATCAATTGGAATTTGGAAGCAATTACTTGAATTTATTGTGTTCGGTAATAGCTTGTGGTTTGGGGAGAATTCTGTTTGTTGCCCTTGGTGGTGATCAAGGTTTTCGATCACCAAGGATGTTTGTTCTGGATTTAAAGATTGAGAAGTCGATTTGGAGTTGCAGGTTTGGAGTTGGAAGTAAATCTGATGTTGGTGTTATCGATGGAAATAACACCAAGTTGGTTATGCATGGCAAGTCCCAATATGGGTTGGACTTGCTGCATGTTTTAATTTGTTGATCGCCCTTAGGGGCATTTGGAGGCAGGGGAGGTTCTGATACATTTGGAAATTTGGAGAGTTTGGTACTTCTGGAAATTTTGATTGCATCTGAGTTTGGCGATTTTGTATCGCGTTTGAGTTTGGCGGTTTCGATCGCATTTGGATACGTCTGGCGATATGTATCGCGGTTGGGTACATTTGGCAACTTAGGTTGCGTCTGGTACATCTGGCAACTTTGATTGCGTCTGGTACATTTGGTATTTGAGAGAGAATTCAAGTCAAGGTGGAGATTGTTAGAATATGACTTGAATTTGATTTGGGTTTGTTTTGTGTTTTAGGCCTATTTTGTTTGGGTTTGTGTTTGGACTTTGTTTGACCTTTTCCTTGTATGTTTGGGAAAAGGTGTTTGGTTTTCTGTTTGGGATTAGGAGAAGAGTTCTATAAATACTCTTCATCACCCTAGCCTGTAGTGGGGGTCAGTCAGGTTAGTTTGTTTGGTTTGTCCGTTTGGAATTTGGTTTGTAACCTGTACTCTCCTCAAATTAGTGAAATTTGTTCCCCCTGCCCGTGGATTAGCTAGCACACATTGTGTTAGTGAACCACGTTAAATTTGTGTGCGTTTGTGTTGCTTTGGAATATCGATTGCACGCTTCTGTTCTGACAGAGCGAGTTACAGATTTATATAGGAATTGAGTTGAGGTGGCGAAGAGGCGAGATTTAACTTCAAACTTTAGAAATCATAATATTGGGGCAACGAGTAAATGCACGACAATGCAAACAGAGGTTAAATGACTTCTAGTTTGGATGGTAGATGTTGCTAGCAGTGAGTTATAACTTAGGACTCGAAAAAATGGAAAAGATGCTAACGAGACACAAATTTGTGTGTGTTCAATGTCATAAGTTTATATCGTTTTACGAGAATGAGACAACGAGAATTAAAATATCAAAGCATACTGAATTGTGAGATAAAACACCATAATTAACTAGACTAAGCAAAGTGTTACATAATAGCATCAAGACAATATCATTTTTCACATGGCAAGATTTAATTCAATTCAAACCAAACATCGACCGTTCATGAATAACGACTCCATACTCCAAGAAACCGGCCCTAGTGTCCACTCCTGCTAATAATTAATTAATCAAACTATTCTCTGGCCATCTCTCACATTTGTGAATAATAATGTTAGGCAACGAGTAAATACATGACGATGAAAACAGAGGCAAGAGATCAAGGTTGTCAAACCGGTTTGTACCGTTGTGCCGGTTTGGCAAGTGGAATGGTACGACTGGTGGTATATCCAATTTGTGCCGGTTCATGCTGGTCTAAAAAAATGTGAAAACAATTAATATTCAATATATATATATATCCATCAGTCGAGCAGCTGGAGAAACCCTAATCCCTAATTGGAAAATCGCCGCTCTCTCAGTCTCTCACTCTTTTTTCTCTTCTCAGTTCTCTGCTCTCAATCGCCGCTCAATCCATCGATTCGATTCCCCCCGTGAAATTCTCTCCATCCGGGCTGTCAATCATTCATTATCCAGCAATCAAAGCCTAATATCCTCGTTGATTTAGGCAAAGAACAACATGCAAAAGGAGAAGATGACTGTTCCAATCTCCGATTCGAGGTTATTGGGAGGATTTGTCGTTGATTATTGTTACGATAATCCAGAACTCGAGATAAGTACCTTCCAATTCAATTCTTCTTTCTTGTTTCAGTTTCTTGCTTTAGTTTTAGGTTCGTTTAAATTAACTCGAGTCGATTGGTTCTTTCTAGGGCTCTTCAGTTTCATCTTCATCTGCACCTGCGACTACATGCTCTGATACTCGAGGTAATCCCTAATCAAATTTCCTTAGTCAGTTAGTGTTTAGTAATTAGTAGTTTGTTGTATTGATTTTGACTCATTGGATTATAATGTTTCTACTTTTGTTTGAGTTTTTGCAGTTTTGTATCAGGCATCAGTTCACCATCCACAACTCTGGACAATAGACCCCCTCTCTCCAGATTCGAGGTTAGTTAAGGAATTAAGGACATTTTACTTAATTTGGTTTGCATGTATTAGGCATTAGGGACTCGATTTTCTGTTGATTGCTTGGGTCTGCTCATGAATCATGTCTTGTTTAGTATAAGTGTCTCATCTGCATTTTACAATTGAATCTAAAAGACTATACATTTGAACCTAGAAATCTTATAGCTAAAGCCTAAAAAGTAACCAAGCAATCCTTTGATGTTTATACTCGTTTATCTCAATGTCAGATGGAAGGTGCATCTGAAAATGTTGTCAATGCTCCTGTTCCTCCACAACCTGCCCCTGTTGATCAAAACAACCAACCTGAACAAGTTGGTAATGGTAACGGTAACTTGGCTAATGAAAATGCTGAAGTGCTTGTTGAAGAATGCAAATTGAATTCTGATGTATGGCCTCATTACATTAGGGTTAAGGTTAATGGGTTTATTAAAGCTAAGTGCAAGTACTGTCAAAAAAACCTTGGTGGTGATACTCGTAATGGAACCTCGCACCTTAGGACTCATGTGAAAACCTGCATCCAAAAAAAGATACATGATGGTGTTCAAAAAATTCTTTGCCCTAATTACAAAGCAACTGGAAAACCCCAATTATCTGCTACACAGTTCAACTCTGATGTGTCTAGGAAGGAGCTGAGCTCAATGATTTTGGTCCATGAGTACCCTCTTAGCATCGTTGAACACTTGGGTTTCAAGCGTTTCTGTTGTTCTTTGCAACCACAGTTTACTGTGCCTTGTAGAAATACTGTGAAGAAAGATATATTGTCTTTGTATGGGGTTGAAAGGAGTAACTACCAAAAGGTTATTGATGGTAATTTGGGTAGAATTGCTGTGACCACTGATTTGTGGACTGCCCCAAACCAGAAGAGGGGTTATATGGCAGTCACAGCTCACTTTATTGATAATACTTGGAAGCTTAGAAACTCAATGCTAAAGTTTTTGTATGTCCCTGCCCCTCATACGAGTGAGAGGCTTGCAAGAAAATTGTTTCAATGTCTTCTGAATTGGAACATTGATGGAAAGTTGTCTGCAATCACCTTGGACAACTGCTCCACTAATGATTCCATGATTGCTCACCTTAAGAATAAACTTGTTTTGAATGACTTGTTGATGGATGGTAGACTGGTTCATATGAGGTGTTCTCCTCATATACTGAACTTTATTGTGAAAGATGGTTTGGATGTGATAAAGGATGGAATCCATTTGATTAGGGAGAGTGTGGTGTATTGGACATCCACACCTAAGAGGGTCCAGACTTTCAATGAAGCTGTTAAACAGCTTAAGTTGGCTGTTGGGAAAAAACTTGTGTTTGATTGTCCAACAAGGTGGAATTCTACCTATGATATGCTCTTTATTGCTCTTTTGTACAGAGATGTCTTTTTTCGTTTAAGACAGATGGATAGTCAATACACATCAGTTCCTACTAATGATCACTGGGATTTTGCTGCTATTGTGATTGATAAACTGCTCATTTTCAGTGAGATGACTGCATTATTTTCTGGTACCAAGTACCCCACTGCCAATCTGTTTTTCTCTAAGGTCTGTGATCTGCGATTGAAATTGAGTGACTGGTGTGCTGATCTTAATCCTGTTATTTCTGCCATGGCTGGAAATATGTGGTTGAAATTCACAAAGTATTGGGATGATATACATCTTGTTCTGGCAGTTTCAGTGGTTCTGGATCCTAGGTACAAAATGCATGTCATTGAGTATTATGCTGCTAAGTTTGGCAGCTCTGATACTTACTTGGTGGCTAAGGATCTAAAACAGCTGATTTGTGGTTTGATTAATGATTATCAAACCAAGGCTGAAAAGAAATCTGGTTCTTCTGCCAATGAACCGATTGGAAATGCAAATGCCTTTGTTTCAGCAACTGATCTTGATTTCGAGTTGTTTGTAAGTCAGAGGAAAAAGAGCAAAACAACTCTGATTACTACTGAGTTGGACCATTATCTTGCCGAGGAACTTATTCCTCGTGATCCATATGTTGAATTTGATCTCTTGATGTGGTGGAAGTTGAATGGCCTTAAGTATCCTACTTTGCAAGCAATTGCAAGGGAGTTTTTGGCTATACCAATAACATCAGTTGCTTCCGAGAGTGTTTTCAGCTCTGGTGGGAGGTTGTTAGACCCCCACAGGAGCAGGCTCGACTATTCTACTGTGGAGGCTATGTTGTGCAGTTGTAGCTGGGTTAGGGAAGTCTGGCTAAGAGGTAACCTGCAATATATTTGGAGTTTTAGTCTTAGTAGTAGCTTTTGGTTCATTTAAACAAGTGAGTTTGTTCTATTTCTGCAGAATCAGAGGCTGCTGCTGCTGTGGAGGCAATGGATGGATTGTTTACTGGGCTGTCAGTTCACGATTCAAGTGTAGAAGATCAGGAAAATGGGGGTAAGTTAGTTGGTTTTTAGTTGGTAAGTTATGATTTATGAACTGCATAAGTGAACAAAGTTTTTTTTTATATTGATTGCAGTCCAGGAACTTCTGAATCTGGATTCACCATTCTCCTTTGATGACTGATTATTGGAACCTCAGAAGATAAGGTATATAATACATTCAAACTGACTTTTCTCCTTTATTGTAAGCTTGTATCTGTTCCTTCATATTTTTGTTTTCTTGCAGGGAATGAATGTCAATTGTCAATTTGTCATGTGCTGCTTGACTGCTTCTGTTCTTCAAATCTGGTTGCTGCCTTGCTGGTGCCTTTGAGAGTTTGGCTTACTGCCTTTGAGAGTTTGAGTGTGCTTTATTTGTTCCAAATTTGAACAATGGATTGGTGTGTGGCTTACTGCCTTTGAGAGTTTGAGTTGTTTACTTGTTTTTTCTTTGTTACTTATGACTATTAGACAATTGATGAACAATTGAGGAACTCTTGAAAATTCAGAGTTCTGGGTGGTGGGTGGGTTGCAGCCTTATAGGCTTTTATTTTAAGCTGCTTTTGATGGTGCTCAACTTTGATTTTGAACTGAATTACATATTTTTTCCAGTTATTTTATTGTTTGAATATGTTAATTATTTAGTGTTTCTAGCGGGTAACGGGGACCCGTGGTTTCCCCGAATCCGTTGCTTCACGGTGACGGTAGCAGTTTTGGCCCCGTTGAGTGGCCGGGGACGGGGTCGGGGAAACCCGACACTGCTCATGGACGGGGAACGGATGGTATGAATCCGTCCCCGATCCGCCCCGTTGCCAACCCTAAATATATTTAATCATATATAAAACATATTTGTGGACAATTTAGTTACAATCCAACAAATATCATCAACTTTTAACTATTAAATTCAAGAAACCGACCCTAGTGTCCACTCCTGCTAATAATTAATTAATCAAACTATTCTCTGGCCATCTCCCACATTTGTGAATAATAATGTTAGGCAACGAGTAAAGACATGACGATGAAAACAGAGGCAAGAGATCGAGTTGATTTATATTTTAGTTGACTTCTAATTTGGATATTAGATGTATCTGGCAACGAGTTACAACTTATGACTTGAGAAGCCGAAAAGATGTTAAGAGGAGCTGGGCGTGAATGACGAGATGACTAATAAATGAACATAAATGTTGGCATGTTGAATGTCATAAGCTTTCTCTTCTTTTACGAGAATGAGGGGACAAAATGTTTTATTTTAGTGCTAGACAACAAGAATTAAAATAGCTAAGTCCACTGAATTGTGAGATAAACACCAGATTTTTTTTTGACAACAGAGATAAACACCAGAATTAATTGGAATAAACAAGGCGTTAGGCAGCTAGCATAAAGATAATTCAATTTTTTTTTTCAATAAGAAAGATTTAATTTCAGTCCAAACCAAACATCGACTATTCACGAAGAATGACTTCACGGTACAAGAAACCTACCCAATTCCCACTCCTTCCAATTATTAATTAATTACACTATCCTCCAACCATCTTCTACTACTATGAAGGAGTGGAGTTTCCAATAAGACTAAAAGTTTGATATCGGTATTTAAGATATATCGAACACTGTATTGAACTTATCATTGTTTGGTATTATCAAATGGCGAATACTGAGTTGTTTTTGAGGGATTGGGATTGATATTTTAATATTGAAATGTTATTCAATATTTGAGATTGTGGGTATAGGATTGGAATCTTTGTATACAGAAATATCAATAAATACCAAACATTTTAAAAATAATTAAATATAGTCCACAACTTCTAGTTATTCTTACACTTTGACAACTAACAATCTCTACTCTATCCAAGCTTAGCTTCCAAGTTTACCAAGATCACTCTCGTCTTTCTCGATCTATTGTTATTTTCAGGGGAAAAAAACAAACACTTTCATTAGTCTTTTCTCACCCCTTAAATCCATCGTATCAAACATTGCAAAGGAAAATGTTCAGATATTGTCATCTCGTCTCTTCTCCTTGTCCTTGCCTTAACTTTAGGTAGACTCAATATCCTCTGCTTAGTCTCGTAGCCTCTAATGGAAACATGTAATGAATCTATTTAATAGAGACTTCAATTGAATCTTTTCAATAGAGGCTTTTGATTAGTTTTTATCATAATTTCCCCACCTCAAATTTCATTGTTGAGGTTTTCAATCATGGGATTGAACTTACAAGCAGGCACTATATAAAAATGTTGAGGATTATAAGTATTCAAACCATTATTTATTTATGTAAACATTGAATTATTAGTCGTAAAAATAATTAATTTAGTATTCAGCAATATCGATACTGTACCAAAATATTATGCAATTGAGATTGTGATACCGAAGTTATTTATTTAATATATGATATTTCAATATTTAGCCGATACTCTATGGATTTCTAGCTTAATTTGCAGCCACAAACATCCGCCCGCAACTCGGAACCCGCCACGTGTCAATTCTCTTCCTAGATCCTCGAGAATCCCATTCCGCTGCGCTTCCAGCCGAAGGTAGTCGCCGGAGGAATCTCCCCATTCTTGCTCCCTCCCTCCTTTCCTTACCCACTTTCCCTCCGTCCATCTCTCTCCCTCCGGCCACGACGGAGGCGGCCGCCGGTGAACCGCAAAACCGACCCGCACCCATTTGGAGCAATTAAATGAAACTCCACAAAAGCAAAACCCTTTTGCGTTAATTATCTGGTTTCAGTTTACTCCAATTCCCAATAATGGATAATCCAATCCCGGAATCGAATAATGCCTTTGCGCTCACTTTATCCTCTCCCCCAACCCCAAATTCCTCCTACGACTACAAGCTTTTATTAGATTAGATGTCTCGTGGCTTCCCGCCGATTCCCAACCCTTGCTGCTGCTGCTGCTGTTCATTCGTCCCCGCCCCTTCGCCTTCTTCTTCTTCTGCTCCCTTTTGTTGTCCCACAAATTCCCTGGCATCGGATTCGCTACTGATACTGTCATCCCCCAATCGCCATCCCGCCTCTGCCTCTGGAACATGTCTATTTAACTCCACCATGCGCTTCCCCAGGAACCCAGCCGTTGCCTTTTGCCTCTCCATCTTCTTCTCTCCCAACCTCTCTCGCCCTGCTTCTCCCTTCTTGTCTTCCTCACGGAGCGCCTGCACCAGCCGCCGATACTCTCTCGGGAAGAAGAAATCGTTTCACTCCTCAGGTCAGCTTGCTTCACTTTTCTGTCTCTCATTCACAGTTTCTCTCCGCCCATTAGCCCCGGTTTTGAATTCGGGAAGCTCTCTTCTCGAAATTTGGTTGCTTAGGGGGGGGGCAATTTGTTAATTTTCTGGAGGTGGGTTAGTTTTGGAAGGAAGGCTGTGTGTGAATGGATGAAATTTTGATTGAGGGGAATTGATTTTTAGGTGTTACTACTTGGAGCGTGTTCTTGGAAGGTATCTTAAGGGTTGGAACATAAATCCTGCTGCAACTTTCACTGTGTTTGCTCTCTTTTGATTGACATTTGCAGGTAAGCTGGTTTTTGTACATATTGTTTGTTTCCACTTTCCTCCCTCTTTCCCCCTGGGGTAATCTTCAATTTGGTACTGGTAGATAAAGCAGTTGGTTTCATTGCTGAAATTAATCAACTGTAGATGAAGGCATGAAGCATGTATAGCTTATATGTAGAATGGTCAACTTGACAACTTATAGAAATTTCAACAACTCAAATAAGCTGCGTGAAGCAGGGGACTTCCTGTTCAATAAGTTTTGGAACCTACGTGGACTGTTAGTTTGATGTTGTAAAGTCTAAAGCTTGAACCTTTTGTGACATTACTTCAAACATGTCAGGGGCTATTCTACCACACGCTAGCTACACCATGGATGAGGTTCACAGAACTGTTGAAGGCAATGATGGAACGTCAAAAGGACCACATATATGGGCCTCGCCTGAAGGAGGTAGTGATATTGAAATTGCAAAGCAGATCTTTTGCAACCGATCATTGAATATGAGGAACATCGTGGCTGTTGGTTTTGATATGGATTACACATTGGCACAATACAAACCCGAAACCTTTGAGTCGCTTGCATATGAAGGCACAATCAGAAAGTTGGTCTATGATCTTGGTTATCCTCCAGAGGTTTGTTTATTATTCCACCGTTTCTTCTCTTAATGAAATTGGGTTGCAGCTTTAATAGCATGATGATGGTTTTTAATGCATTGCTTGTCTGTTCACAGCTGCTGCATTGGACGTTTGATTGGACTTACATGGTTAGAGGCTTGGTTCTTGATAAGAAAAGAGGGAACATCTTAAAAGTGAGTTTCAAAATTGACTTAGCTCCTGGATGGTTTTTATTTCAGGCAGGCTTTTGAAAAACTTTATGCCTTTTTCAGATGGATCGCCACAAGTATGTGAAAGTGGCTTACCATGGCTTTCGAGAGATGTCCAAGGAAGAAAAAGTTGGCACTTATGGGAGTACTTTGATACGAGATTCTTTCGATGAACCAGATTATGCTCTAATTGATACTCTATTTTCATTAGCTGAAGCCTACTTGTTTGCTCAGCTTGTGGACTTGAAGGACAAGAATCCCGGAAAAGTTCCTCAAGGAGCTGAGTAAGTGTCTGCAAACATGCACGCACACATACACAATGACATGCTTATATTTTTCATTCACTACTCTGGCAACGTAAATTTGTGCTTCTCTGCTTGTTAAGATATTATTAGTACTGCTAATACTTGAAGTGTTACTATATCATAGATGTTGCTCGTTGGAAGTCCTCTTGCTGCTCTCTAGTTTATCTAGTACTGAAGCTTCTTCTTTGTTGTTCGTTGGGCTGCAACCAATTTTCAGTTATGCTCGTATGTATAAAGATGTTCGAGCTGCCGTTGATTTGTGTCATCGTGATGGAACTTTGAAGCAAATGGTTGCCGAAGATCCGAAGAGGTAAGAGCCCGAGTTTACTTGAGAACTGTTTGAGTGTTTAGGAATTCTGAATTGTGGTTTAAGCTGGATCACCAGGATTAGAATTAAAAGTTTGGCGTTTCTGCTTCGAGAACGTATCTATCAGTTGTCACTAAGACCGAACACTTGCCTGTATGGCAGAATAGAATTCAGTGGTTCTCAATGTAACTCTTTTGTTTCCAATTATTCTGCCAATCAGATACATTAATGAGGACACATCTATAGTTCCAATGCTCAAGATGCTTAGAGATTCTGGACGTGCTACGTTCTTGGTGACAAATAGGTGTGTATGTTCTTTCCCTTTTCCTTTGCTACATATTACTAAATGCAGTTGCTCTAGTCACTCGAGCTATAGTGGCTTAACTTCTTGGCCACAGCATTGCTTTGTATGTGTAATCCATGATGCCATATTTAGTAGTTTCTTAATGGGACTATTGTTTCATCTTATGCAGCTTATGGGACTATACAAATATCGTGATGAATTTTCTTTGTGGAGGTCGTACAATGCATGGTAGTGACCCTTGCAATTTTGAATGGCTAAAGTACTTCGATGTTGTTGTCACTGGCAGGTAACACTGCCTTTACAAATTTGGATTTTTTTTTTTTTGTTGCTGATTTTTCTTGGAAGTGTACATAATTTGTTCTTCTGAATGAACTGGAATCCAGTGCAAAACCAGGGTTTTTCCATGAAGATAATCGTGCTGGTCTGTTTGAGGTTGAACCTGAAAGTGGGATGCTACTGAACACTGATAATGGAACTCCTATGCCGCAGGTTAGTGAATTAGCTTCATTTCATTGTGATTTTGGTTTTCCTTAGAGGAACCTGAACGTTTGTTTATTATTGTTGAAGGTGGGGAACACAGTGCCAAGGATTGTACTGAAAAAGGAGCTAAGTAAACCATGCAGAGTCTTCCAGGTACCCTTAAGGAAACCAGGTTCACTTTTTATTTATTTATGAAACTGATTTGGGTTTACCAAGTTGGTCTTTACTTGTTAAAGGCTGTTGTTTGCAAATATAAATACTCATCCTAGTACTGATGCAGGGAGGAAGTGTTGGTCATCTTCACAAGTTGCTATCAATTGAGTCAAGCTCTCAGGTAATCGTTTTATACTGTTGTATACCAGGTTCTCGTTCATATCTGACATTTACGTATTTTAGTAGGTTCTTTATGTTGGTGACCATATTTATGGAGATATTCTACGCAGCAAAAAAGTTCTAGGTATGCTGTTCTCATTATCTTATGGATTCTGAATGGAATGCTTATGCACAAAACATGTACAAAATTAGGGGTCTGTTCAAAATTAGAATTATGTTTCAACACTTACTCCACTAACCAACCCCCTGACTGAAATATGATTTTATCAAGTGTTTACTTGTTCATGTGTGCTTGCAAACAGGTTGGAGAACAATGCTTGTTGTTCCTGAACTTGAGAGGGAGGTTGAACTTCTTTGGCAATTAAGGGATACACGCAGGGTAAATTCTCAACTTCTTTACTAATAAACCTTGATGAATTGTAACGTCTCAGTTTTCCTCCCTCATGCGATTTGTCATTTGCAGCAACTTAGGTTGTTAAGGAATGAACGTGATCATATTGAAGATGAAGTTCATCACTTAAAATGGTCTCTCAAGTAAGTCCAGCCTTTTGGCAAAGGGACAGCAGTGTTATAGTGAGATAGTTCTACCTCTCATCCTTTTGAATATGTTTTTGTCCTGCAGGTTTGAGAACCTAAATGCTGATAGGAAGAAGAAGCTATGCGGTACTCTTGATCAACTGGAGGTAAGCCCGTAGTTTCGTAACAGCACTACGTTCTGCAAAGATGTTTCTTGCCTTCTTTCTATTGCTTTGCTTCATCTAAGTTGTTTTTCTTCAAATAAACAGGTTGAAAGAGATAAAGTAAGAATCACTCACCAACAGGCTCAACGGGAGTGTCACCAAAAGGTGAAAGTTACTCAGATCTTCATGTATAGGATTTATGTGATTGAGATGATTAGCTTCCTTACATCTATCTCCTTGTTTAACCTTCTCCTCCCTAGTTCCACAAAGTATGGGGACAACTTATGAAGACCGGGTATCAGAACTCTCGGTTCGCCCACCAGGTAAACATACCAATTCTGCCTTTATAGTTTACTCTCAGGATCTGAAAACCTATCCCATGGAGGTGGACCAAAATTTCTGCAACACTGATGAAGCAGCTCCATCTCGTTCTTAAACTTGTATCCGTCATGCTGCAGGTTGAGAGATTTGCTTGCCTGTACACTAGCCAAGTATCGAATATAAGCTTGTACTCGCCGGATAAGTACTACCGACCCAGCGAAGATTTCATGCCCCACGAGTTTGGTATTCTGCCACTCTGAATGCTAAAGGAGAGCATTTCAGGGAAAGAAAGAAAGGCTTCTTTTATCGTTTTGGGTTCTTGGAAAAGGGTTAATAATTTGAACACAACGGGTTCATTTTGTTTCCTTCTGTTACTTTTGACAATGCTCCCGCCCTGTCTAGTTTGATTCAATGTCACAAGGTTCCTTCTTTTTTCTCGCGTCAACTCGAGACTTTGCTTTTTATGAATGTTATAATAAGAAACGCGCAGCAATCAATCTGATTGCTCATAGCCATTTTGTGTGTGCTTGCACAAGGCAAAAAGGCTTCTGTCTCATATTAAACGAACAGAATGTTCTCTTCTTTAGGGGTGGGGGTGGGAAAATGATTGTGGTGGTTAAAACCAATCGCATCGAGTAAGTGTGGTTTGTGGTTAACAACTAATCGTTTATATGGGGTCTTATCGGTCTTGGTTAGTATGATAGATGGTTTTGGCAGTTTGCGGTAATAAAGACAAAAGTGAATAACTAACCCATATTACAGTAAACTACCTATTAAGAAATGCTTCATGTCAAAAGGAAACTGAAAGACGGTTCTCTTCTTCCACCGTCACCGGCGATCGCCAGAAAACCGTCCACCCAAAATTATCCAAACTTTCAAAGGGCAAATCACATTGCAGTTGTGAGAGTTCCGGAGCGGCTGTTACCAACATCATCGCAGGCAACATGTTCCAGCACCGCCAACAGATCGGGATTTCCTCGTCGGCCGTCGTCGGCCTTTCTCCTGTCTGCCACCGCCGCTGTCGAGTGACTGCCTTCTGTCAAACATCATCGTAACCGCAACAACAAAGTCAGCGTCGTGACGGTCAGACATCTACTACATAATGGGAAGATATGCCCAGAAAACAAGAATTCACAATGCTGATCTCAAGAAGAAGGCGTCGTCCATCCTCCCCGGTCTCCATAATCGCCGAAGTCGATCTCTACAATTTCGACCCCTGGGAACTACCCGCTTCGTTACAGTTTCGGAGGCGCACCAATACTGCTGGTCGAACTCCGACGGTTACAATTCAAGAAGCAGATACAACTATGACAGTTACACTTTTGGGGGAGGTTCTTCCGCTAATCTCGTGTCAGATAAGAAGTTCACGCACTAACGATGATTCTCGATAGAAGGGTCGAGTTCGACGGATTTCGATTTTCACTCTTTTCCGCAATTGTGCGCTCCAGCAATTTGCTGCCCAACGCCCTTGTGCATAGCTGCTCGTGGTGTTTCCCCATCTCTGACACCCTTTCCGGTGAGTTTTACCTATCTTTTTGCAGGAGTTGCGGGCTGGGATCTTCGGTGAGTCTTTCCAGCGGGTGACGAGTCTTGCCGACGATCGGCCAGGCTAGTGGCTGCAGTTACATCTTTGTGCAGTTACCTCTCCCGTGGCTTCCTTCTTGTTCAAAACGCTCCGCCTTCGGACGGTTATAATTTCATGACCATTAAAATTCTAATGGATAGTCAGTCACAATTCCAAACACGGATCCTATCTTGCATTCAGATAAGTCTATTAATTCTTTCTTCAATTCATATTTAATTATTATTATGTTTACGATTGTGTTTGGTATTTTTATGGGAGTTGCAATTGTTTTGTAATTCGATGTCTTTTAATGATAGGGAGGATTTGGTTGTCGTCGGACATGGAGTATATTTCTTCTACTAGTTGGCTTTGCCATTTTTGTTTTTGTGCTGCAGAAGGCATAGTTTGTATAGCTTGTGAGGCATTTTCGGTGGAGGTCCAGTTGTATTTTAATTTTGTTTGTCCCGTTAGGGGTTGTCTGCGTGTTATTTTGTAGGTACCTTGCACATCCAATCTACTGCTGGGCTGTTGGAACTCGACGAATTGGTGCTTGAAGGAGTTTGCTGAAAGAAGACTTTCTTTGCGTTTTTTGGTTTATTTATGTTACTAGGCATACTAACAGGGCTGCCCATCGCGTGGCACAAACGGCCCCTGCATCGGTAGCAACCAAGTTGGTTGACTACCGCCTTTATAGTTCCAATGCATTGTAACACTCTATCTATTACAAACTATCTATGACAAAAAAAAAAATGCTTCATGTCGATGGGCCCAACAACCACATACCCTCTTTTAGCATGAGTCTAATCCATCCCACCATAGTTTCCCATTTCGGAGTAGGGGTGGGCATTCGGTCGGTTTGGTTTTGACCGAATCAAAATTATGAATACAGGGTCCCCGAATTCTCTCAAACCTCAAACCGAATTCGAATCGAATTATAATTCGGTTCGGTCGGTTTAACCGAATTATAATTCGGTTCGGTTCGGTTATTTACACAAACCGAATTTGTGAAGCTACTTGTATTTTCTCACTTTTAAATTATTTTTCACCCCTAATATAAACAATAAATATCAACTATATGCATCATCAATGATAAAACCAAACTTTTCAACACATAAGTCTTAAAACATTTCAAATATTTAAGTCTAAAAACAACTACAAACATAAAAATCCATCATTTGGAGCTTGCAATTATAGTATTTCGGTTTTTTGGTCGGAAATTCGGTTCGGTTGAAAGAGCCCTGATTTCCGAACTATCCATATTTTCCTTTCGAATTCCGAACCGAATAGCATTAATTCGGTTTCGGTTCGGTTTAATTTGGTTTAGGTTCGGTTCGGGTTTACCGAACCGTTTGCCCATCCCTATTTCGGAGGTTCGACAACCTCTCAACCAAATTCATTTTTTTATATATTTCTATATCCATCGTCTTTGACTGTCATGTTTAATAGAAACTAACCGCAAATCGCAGTTTGTGATGCAGTCACGATTGGTGATTTGGATCTCATTTGGTTGCGCTTAACCGCACTTTTCGGTGCAGTAACCAAAATCGCACCGTTTCCCACTCATATCTCTTCTTGTCAACTAGGCTTAAATATTAGTAGAGAGCAAGATTCAAAATGTTGTAAGCGTTAGGTGTAAGGTAGGTGTTGAGAGAAAATGCAACGTGGGAAGTTAAAAACAACTAGAACTGAACATTCTGTAAGTCAGCTATCAACTGATATAGAAAGTCAACTCAGAATACGCACGCCATGACTGCACTTCAATACTTCATCATTCTCACCAGTGCCCTCCCTCTTCAAACAAGAAAGAGCAAAATCGAAGAAAAACCCAACCAAAATTCAATTCACCATCCTCATCACTTCGTCACTCCCAGTCTCATTTCCGTTCGGCGACTATGAATCTTCTCCACCCTCTCCTCCTCACGCCGCTCGCCGTCGCGATTTCCTTCCTCCTGATCAAACTCGTCTACTCCGTCCTCTGGCTTCCTTTCGCGATCCAGCGCCACTTCAAAACCCAAGGAATTTCCGGCCCGGCTTACCGCCCCATCACCGGTAACTCCGCCGAGATCCGCTGCCTCTTCGCTCGAGCAGCTCAATCCAAGTCACAGTCAACGCCGCCGGTAGAAGGATTCCACCACCGCGATGTCGTCGCCAGGGTTTCCCCATTCTACCACGCGTGGTCGCGCGCGTACGGGAAGACTTTCCTGTACTGGTTTGGGCTCAAGCCCAGACTGGCCGTAACGAGCCTGGACGTGATCAAGGAGGTGTTGCTGAACACGAGCGGGTCGTTTGGGAAAGTCGGGTTCAACCCGCTGTCCAAGTTGCTGTTCGGGGCTGGGCTCGTTGGGCTCGAGGGCGATAAATGGGCCCTTCATCGACGGATCACTAGCCAGGCCTTCAACATGGAGAGAGTTAAGGTACCAAAAGGTTAATTTTTTAGGCTCGCCGTAGTTTAGTTCTTTAAATCTTTTCCGGTGACAGGAATGGGTGCCGGAGATTGTATCCAGCGCCGGGAAAATGCTGGAGAAATGGGAGGAGATAAGAGGAGGAAGGGAAGAATTCGAGATCGACGTTCACAAAGAAATCCACCTCGTCTCCGCCGATATCATTTCAAGAACTGCGTTCGGGAGCAGCTTCGAAGAAGGGAAACGGATCTTCGCAGTACAGGATCAGCAGCAGAATCTGATTTCTCTTGCCCTAAGAAGCGTCTACATTCCAGGTTTCAGGTTCCTGCCGACGAGGAAGAACAGGGATAGATGGAGATTGGAGAAGGAAACTCGGGACTCGATTAGGGTTTTGATTCAGGGGAACAGCAGGGGATTGGGGAATTCCAGAAATCTGCTTGCTTTGCTGACGTCTTCGTACAGGAATCAGGATGGAGTGGAGGAGAAATTGGGGGTGGAGGAAGTGATAGACGAATGCAAGACGTTTTATTTTGCTGGGAAAGAGACTGCTGCCAATCTAGTGACTTTTGCTCTGCTTCTGTTGGCGAATCATCGGGAGTGGCAGGAGAAGGCTCGAGAGGAAGTGGTTCGTGTCTGTGGAGGAAGAGACGAAGCTCTCCTTGCAGAGAATCTGAACGACCTCAAGATTGTAAGTTCTCAATACCTTGACTCTCAAGTTAAGTCTAGACTATGAAAGTTTTAAACTTGGCAGGTTAACAGCTCACTAAATTTTGGTAGTTTGGAAAGGTTCAACCAAAGTTGAACAATGAACATAACATTTAAAGAGTTCATTCATTCAACTAGTAGATATGTGTCCAACTCTGGCATTGACCTCGACTTGAATCCATTCGAATGTAGAAACTTATCATTGCATCCATTCCATTTTAACACTCGAAAATCGACATGATGACTGAGTACTGATCCATTGTGATACATTTGGAACATTATGATCCTTTCCACTTTGTGCAGTTGAGTTTGATAATCAACGAAACTCTGAGAATGTACCCTCCGGCCGTGTTACTAATGAGGAAGGCCACCAAGAAAGTCAAGCTGGGCAGCCTGGAAGTTCCTTCAGGAACACAATTGTATATCCCTGTGATAGCCGTTCACTACGACCCTGAAATATGGGGGGAAGATGCCGACGAGTTCAATCCTTCACGGTTCAACGAGCCTCGAAAGCATATGGCTTCGTTCTTGCCCTTTGGAATGGGTCCCAGGATCTGCGTGGGTCAGAATTTAGCCATCGTTGAAGCCAAGATAGTGCTGGCTACCATCATCAGGAACTACTCTTTTGTACTGTCCCCTACTTATGTTCATGCCCCCATGCTTTTGATCAGCTTGCAGCCTCAGTACGGCGCTCAGATTGTTTTTAGAAAGGTTTCTGGAAATGGAAGCTCATAGGCTATGAGTGTTGCACAGACTCGGTTCAGGAAAATGTTTAGAGATGGTTGCCTGACCATGATAATAATTATGTGCGACTGTCGTAATCTGTTTATTATTTACATGTACTCTATTTTACAAGCTTGAATGGTTTATCGACGGTTTACAGATGATTCTATAATGATGTAAGTAATAGACCATGATCAAGTAATTGTTTTAATTTCAAAAGATAATCTTTGTGTCAATATTTATGAAAATCGCCAGGAAAAAGAACTAGTCTCATTTGGATGAACCATTGCATTGATGAGATATTTGAGCCAAATTCCTTATTTAAAAATTCACATGTTTTTTAATGGAAAATCTAAGAGGTCGTTTGCTTTAAGGATTTGCATCATGGATTTGGTACTAAAAAACAGGGCTCGTTTGGACGGATCAATCTATAAATGAGTCAATTTGATCAATTGTCTCGTTTTATAAACGAGACAATTAAAATGAGTCAATTCGAATTACCTGCCCCAACCCAGGTAATTGAAATTGACTCAAAATGGATCAATTCAAAATACCTCAGGCAGATTGACCCATCCAAATTTTTTGCTGGCAAACGAGGCAATTTGGTACAATTGTCTCAAAACGAGACAATTGTGTCAAATTGATCTGTTACAATTCCTCATCCAAACGACCACTTAACTATCAAGGATTTACATACAATCCTTTGTTTGCTTGGTTAAAAAATGTTGAAACAAATCCGTGGGCACCACTGATTTAAGGTTTTTTTCCCCTCCAAATCCGTGGGGCCTACAGCTTTACAAATCCCACGTGATTGTTAGGAAATTGGTGATGTGCTGAAAAACCAAAAGGCCAATTGACACTCCTATCCTCATTCTTTTTCATTAAACCAAAATTGCCCTCTTTATCCCCACCATATCTGTCGCTTCTACTTCCCATTCCCATTCTTTACACACCAAACCAAGGAAGCTGCGAAGAGTTCTTCAGTTCCTTTCCTGGAAAATGGCAGCCCCCACCAACAAAGGAATTCTTCGGCCGACGTTGAGTCCGTGTGCAGCCGGCATCAACCTCCGACACCAAACCCGAAACCCAGATAAGCAGGACACTCCCTTCTTTAGTGAGCTTTTGCAAGTCATAGGAATCATATACATACAATTAACTACTCACAATTTCCTCTCTGAGACCAACAACAAATATGCCTCTCTCTACAAATAATGATTGTTATGAGCATTACTTTTCCAAATATGCCTCTCTCTACAAATAATGATTGTCTCTGAGACCATTCCGCCATTCTTGTATCTTTTGGTGCTTGTATCAGCTGCTCGTGCCATCGAGTATATTTTATGAGAAGGCTTTTGTAGCTGCTAACAAGGAAAGAAGGGAAACAAAAGACAACGACAATCCCTTCCTTTTAATGGGTTAAAAAAAGGCAATAAGGTAAATGTAGATTTTTATTCTAAATCCCAAACCATTAAATCCATGATCAAAATGAAGAAACAAACAAAGGATTTTTTCAAATCAATAATGCGCCAAATCCCAAATAAAACCTTAGGTTTTTAAATCCCACATTTAAGTAAAAACCCTCATTTTACAATCCTTGAAGCAATCACTGAAAAAGTCAAATGATTTTTTTTGACATTTCTACCTTTCTGCTTAGCCTTTACACAGAAAATCTAACAACACCTGTCGTTCGAATTGAAGAGCCATTCGACGATCCCTCACAATAACATTTGAAATACATGTACAAAGATAGAATGAGAACGGGAAGATGATGAGCCATAAATTGCATTAACCTCAAAATCAAGAAGAACCACACCAAATTGATGAGCACTGCCGCATGCAATGACTGTTAGAGTGTGGTATAAGATCCAATATAACCTTCTCCCAACAACTCGAGTTATTGGGACTAAATGGTTTATGACATGGTATTAGAGTTGGTTTGACCAAGTGGTCGTGGAGATTCTCCCAATATTAACAGTTAATTAAAGCATAAGGTATGGTAAGCCTGTGCAAACTTCAAGCCCGTGAGTTGGCTTTCGTTTGAGGAGGCGTATTAGAATGTGGTATAAGATCCAATATAACCTTCTCCCAACAACTCGAGTTAAATGTTGAGAACTTGATCTAGAAAATTGATCTAGAAAATTTCAGTTTTGCCCCTTGTTTTGACTCAAAATTGAAAACTTAAATAACAAAAAGTCAACTAGATGATTGTGTACATCTGAAGTGGAGAGATCCCCTGCCACAAGGAAATTACGCATGCCATGACTTCACCACCTTATCATTCTCAATGTTCAATCAATATTCAATAGTATAGTACCCTTCCTCTCCAAACCAAACCATAAAGACCAAAGGTGAAAAAGTCAATCAATCAACTTCACATCGGGTCCTCGATGGTGGCCGGTGCAACAAACACTCTCATATTCTTCCTTCCGTTCAGAAAATATGAATCTTCTTCACCCTCTTCTTCTCCCTCTGCTCGCCGTCGCCGCTTGCTTCCTCCTGATCAAATTCGTCTACTCCGCCATCTGGCTTCCCTTCGCGATCCAGCGCCACTTCAAAACCCAAGGAATTTCCGGCCCGGCGTACCGCCCAATCACCGGTAACTCCGCCGAGATCCGCGCCCTCTTCGCTCGAGCAGCTCAATCCAAGCCCCGGTCAACGCCGGCTGCGGCACCGGGATTCCACCACCGCGATGTCGTCGCCAGGGTGTCCCCATTTTACCACGAGTGGTCGCGCGCGTACGGGAAGACTTTTTTGTACTGGTTTGGGCTCAAGCCCAGATTGGCCATAACGGGCCCGGACATGGTCAAGAAGGTGTTGTTGAACACGTGCGGGTCGTTTGGGAAAGTACCGTTCGACCCGATGTCCAAGTTGCTCTTCGGGGAAGGGCTCGTTGGGCTCGAGGGCGATAAATGGGCCCTTCATAGACGGATCACAAACCAGGCCTTCAACATGGAGAGAGTTAAGGTACCCATAAGAAGAAAAAAAAACAAGATTTACTTTACTCTTTGGCTTAGCTCGCCGGAGTTAGTTTAGTTCTTTGCTTGTCGTTTCCGGTGACAGGAATGGGTGCCGGAGATCGTATCCAGCGCCGGGAAAGTGCTGGATAAATGGGAGGAGATGAGAGGAGAAAGGGAAGAGTTCGAGATCGACGTCCACAAAGAAGCCCACAATCTGTCGGCCGATATCATCTCCAGAACTGCCTTCGGTAGCAGCTTCGAAGAAGGGAAGCGAATCTTCGCTCTCCAGGACCAGCAGCTGCATCTCGTTTCTCTTGCCCTAAGAAGCGTCTACGTTCCAGGGTTCAGGTTCTTGCCCACGAGGAGGAACAGGGAGAGGTGGAGATTGGAGAAGGAAACTCGGGACTCGATTAGGGTTTTGATTCAGGGGAACAGCAGGGGATTGGGGAATTCCAGAAATCTGCTTGCTTTGCTGACGTCTTCGTGCAGGAATCAGGATGGCGGGAAGGAAGAGGAGAAGATTGGGGTGGACGATGTGATCGACGAATGCAAGACGTTTTACTTTGCTGGGAAAGAGACTACTGCTCATCTATTGACTTTTGCTCTGCTTCTGTTGGCTAATCATCTAGAATGGCAGGAGAAGCTTCGGGAGGAATTGTTTCGTGTATGTGGAAGAAGGGATGAACCTCTTGCTGCAGAGAATCTGAGGGACCTTAAGTTTGTAAGTTCTCAATACCTTGAATCTCAAGTTAAGTCTAGACTGTGAAAGTGATGAACTTGCCAGCAAGCAGCACACTGGTCACTTGACAGTTTGAGTTACTGCAGTCTGAGTATGGGGGGAAGGTTCAGCCAATGTTGGACTCAGAGTTCGATCTTAGTGACATAACCATAACGTTTTTAGCACGCGACATGATGCCTAACTACTGATCCATTGTGAGAAGTTTAGTACTTAATATTACCCTTAGAAGAAGTACTAACAGTATGCTTTTTCTGCAGTTGAGTTTGATAATCAACGAAACTCTAAGAATGTACTCTCCGTCCGTGTTGATAATGAGGGAGGCCACCAAGAAAGTCAAGCTGGGCAGCCTGGAAGTTCCTAAAGGAACACAACTCTATATCCCTGTGGTAGCTGTTCACTACGACCCTGAAATATGGGGAGAAGATGCTCACGAGTTCAATCCTTTGCGGTTCAACGAGCCTCGGAAGCACATGGCTTCGTTCTTCCCCTTTGGAATCGGTCCCAGGATCTGCGTGGGTCAGAATTTAGCCATCGTTGAAGCCAAGATCGTGCTGGCTACCATCGTCAGGAACTACTCTTTCGTATTGTCCCCAACTTACGTTCATGCCCCAATGCTCTTGCTCAGCTTGCAGCCTCAGTACGGCGCTCAGATTGTGTTCAGAAAGATTTCTGGAAATGAAAACACATAGGCAAGTGTTGACAGATGGTTCCTTGATCATCACAGTAATGTATGATTGTAATCTTTGTAAAGATCATTCGCATTCTGGACAACGAAAAACATCTGTAGTAATCATAACATTGCATCGAAAGTTCGTCGACATTCGAGTAAAGATGGAACATGGTTTCATTACCCAGCACAAAAACACCTTCATTCATTCTGCAGCAACTCTTCTCCACCCAGTCAAATTCACAAACCCAGAAGAACACAAGAAGAAGGGAAAAAATCAACCAGAGAATTGCTTTCCTTCAAAAGTTTGACCAAAGAGCCAGCTGGGCGGTGCCACATTGTATGAGGTAAGCGTTTTGCCATCACTGGTAGTGACCTCAAACGAGAGCGGCTGACCAATCAGGTCAACGTAGCACTGCCAATTCTGGCCCCAATTCCTCGCCATCGGAATCCACCCGGTCCTCGACCCTTTCACCTTCACCCCGACCACCTCGCCGTCGCCGCCGACGTTGGTAACCAGCACCTGGTAAAACTGCCGGCTCCCGCTCGCCGTGAACCTCAACCCGCCGCCGCCTCTGCTCCCGCACTTCACCCGCCGGTACTGGATGGGGACGATGTCGGCGGCCTTGTCGACCTCGGCGATCTCGGCGAAGGCGGCCTCGGAGAGCTCGAAGTGCTGCTTGGGGAAGTTACACCAGCCGCCGTAGTCGGAAGGGAGGGCGTAGTTCGGCGGGCAGAAGTCGGTGGCGGTTAGGGTTACGGCGGGGCTCCCCTGGCGGCACCAGAGGATGTGGTCCACGCACCGCATTTGGAAGCACGCGCCGCAGGTGCGGCCGCGATTGAACAGCATTGCGCTCAGGCCGGCGCTGTACATGCCGTAGGTCACCCAGTGGAATACGTCGCCGTACCCGCAAGCTCCCCCTGCGTTTTTTAATCAACGGGGAGAATTTTTTAGCCTAATATAATCGATTCGTTTCCCAGAAAGGAAAAAAATTGAAGGAGTTGGAGCTGACCCAGAGAGATGGAGCCGCCGTCGGATTGTTTGACGTAGGTGGCGGTGGCGGACTTCCATTGGGATTCTAGGCCGTCGAAACCGGCGCCGGGGGAGTTCCCTGCGTGGGAATCGTCGTAGGTAAAGGCGCAGCAAGTGGTGAAGCAGAGGAAGCAGAGGATTGCTGGAACAGAGTACTCCATAATAGCTTCTTTTTGGGTTGTGTCGTGGGCTAATATTCTAACTAGTGAATGGAAGAATGGAAGCTGAACATTGGGAGGGAGAGAAGAAGAAAGGGTTTGGATGTGAACCCAAGACAGAAAAAAAGGCGCCGCAGAGGAGTTTGCAGAAAGCCTGGCATTCAGGAAGCAGGGGATTGCTAAAGAAGGGCCATTTTTCTTTCTTTTGTCTCGTAAAAGTAGTCAAGAAAGAAAGAGGAAAAGGGAACAAATCATGGATTCAAGAATTTTCTTATTAGTCTCTCTCTCTCAATCTTACTTTCCCATATCCCAATCTTCATTTCCCATGTCCCACGCTGACAATGGCGCAAGGTAGCAGCACTTGGCCCGAAAGAAGAAAAGATGGAGCCACACAAAGCTGCTCATCATGTCGTACAGGCAAATGAAGGCCTAATGTATACGATTTTTTTGGTTCGTCTACCTTCTACAGCTTCCTTATCACCTTCTACAGCACAATCTCCGCGTAAAAGCAACGATTTTTGGCAGAATGCTCAACCGGATTACCTCTGGTAATTCACTGATCCGATCCACACAGCTTTCTTCTTCTTCATCCGCTTCTACTATCTTCCTCTTCTTCGCCTTCTGATGTGTAAAGCTAGGAGAGCGTCATGCCATGGCGTCCTCCATGTTTTTTCCCCTATGCTTGTTTAGTTGTTTTGTTTCTTAACCGAACTTTGTCTATCAAAAAGTGCCGGAAACAGAGCATCTGACACTCATCTGTCCTTTGCCAACTTGGAGGAACTTAGAAGAGTTCAGCACAAGTGTCCATATAATGGCGAAACAAGGTCTTTCATGTATTTATACAAACAACCACGTGTGAAATCAGTCTTGTATTTCATTGTTAGTATTGTGTCTGTGAACTTTATGAAAAAGGTTTTCCCAGATTCGTATATTCTGTATATGCGTTCTATATTACAAGTATGAACCGTTATATGAACCATGTATTAATGATCAGTTATTATTGAAATATAATCCACCAGTTTTCTATTCCAAGTTGCGTCCCGATCCAATTTTTAAAACAAACCCGGACACGTTTCTAATATCATTGGATCAACAGAAAGTTACAATTCGATCTGCAACATGACATGGGAAAGAAAGATCCAACACAATTTTCCAGGAGAAAAGCCCAATAAGGAAAATGGGTTACTGTTATTGAGATTCCTGTCTTAGTCGTCGTGGACTCGTGGTCAGAACTCAGAAGCGGGAGAGCTGTCATTTGATTTGCAGATTTATTTGGCGCATCCGCCACAATTTATGATCGCTACCTAGCCCCAGAAGGAAGTCTGCTGCTCAATAATGTCCGAAAATTGGTTCTTTTCATGGTAAGAAAAAAAGTTCGACTTTTTTACTTTGTGGGTTTGTTTTGCCATGCCATGTCCTCAACTGGGCTGGGATCTGATTTGATTGGGTTGACCAAGGTTTTTTCTTCATCTTCTGGGTTTGCAGCTTTACGGGTTTGGTTATGCAGGGCCGTTAGCGCACTTGCTGCAAAAGCTATTGGATACTATTTTCATTTTTCAGGGGGCGAGAAAGATAAGAAAACCGTCGGCAAGAAGGTATGGAAATGCTTACAGAGCTATGTGTGCAGCCCATTGGTTCTAATGTTGTTTTGATTTTGTTTCTCTATCATTAGATGCCTCCTTGAACAACTGATTGTTTCTCCATGGAAAAACATGATCTTTATGCTGTACTATGGCTTGGTAATGGAAGGTAACAATGTTCAACTTACTAAGCCACTTCTTTTCAATTTATAGCAGTCAGTAATATCTTCTGTTACAGGCTTACAGCCCTTCAGCTGAGCAGTCTGCAACATCTCGTTTTTAATCTTGGGTTTCAAGCTGCTAGTTTGTTCAGTATCTTTCTTCCTTTTCAACGTTCATAGCTAGTGTAATGTTGCTATTCCTCACTGCATTGGAAAACCGGGAAGGATGATTTTGCATCTGAAGTGCTATTGATCAGTAGGTTGATTGTATAGCAATCGATAGTGAAAGAGATGCTGTAGGTCGATTCTTCAAGGATTGAGGAACCCCGATTTCAGTCGTGGAAAATGAATGCGAAGTTCAGTCAGTCTACTTATACTATACCAATATAACTAACTATCTTAAGGTCATGAGAGCTTTGATTACTTACAACAGTTGGCGCGTTATTTGCAGGACAACCATGGAGGTTTAGTGAAAGAGTAAAGTGCGGAAAGATTTACCTTATGTTCAATTTAAAAGCTTGCGCTTTTACGCTTCTAGGTCACCAAAATGTTTCTACGTGAATTTGTCGTTTCTATAACTAATGTAGTTAAAAACGCGCTTTAAAACTTATGTTTTTATGCTACTAAGTCACCAAAACGCTTTTACGTAGAAACACAGTTTCTTACTATATTAAAGTGAATCGCTAGTATTATCCCGTTGCAGTTCCAAATTGTGTATGATAGCATCATGGGTGCACTCTGGTATGACTCCTTCGCTTCTAACTTCATGCTTTGTCACCTGGATAACTTTGTTCAGTGGAGATCACTGTAATTTCAATGAATACTTGGTATTTGGGAGACGTTCTCAAGTAAAAATCACATCTTGAACTCAGTTGGGGTTATCCTATTCCTTTGGCTTTTCAGGGCGATCTTCCATTGGGCCTCCGAGCATCCTTTTAATCTTTTTAGCCCAAACAAAATTAGCCTACTTGTTTTGTAACAACGATTTATTGGGACCGGTAATCCGGTATATGTATTACTTGGATAATGTTTTTTTTCCCCAACTATGGTGACAATTGAGGTTGTTTATTTTACAATGTGGCATCACAAACAATTTTCTAGAGGTTGTACGATAGAATTGGATGAGACAATTTGGCTCAATTATTTCATAATAAACAATTCAAAGAAATAATCTCGTTTGGCAACACAAAATAAGGGGACAACAATTGGGACGTACCAAGCTCAATTGCCGTGTTTTGCACGATTTTGAATTGAGAAAGGAGGTGCAAGTATTGAGTGAAATGATACATTTTTATAAGGCAACAATAAAATAATGTAACTATGAGTCAATTGGGTCAAATTGCTATCAAAGCGTCGTATTACATTTTTTCTCAAAGGTGACTGATGTTAATGGAGCACAATCTGAAGTTTACCAAATTTGTAATATTTGCATAGATAATTTAAATAAATTTGTTAGGGCAATGGTTTAATGATTCGGAATTTAAATATATATTATTATTTATAATCCAATAAAATTATGAAGGAACATGATTTGCTAAGTATTGTTAAATTTTAGGCCAAATTGTTTAGGAAAAATATATACATGAGTGGTCACTCCCATCGCATGATATGATAAGTGAGACATTAGTTGGGTAGCCGAACTAGCATCGATTAATGCTTTGGTATAAAATATTATTCATGGACACAGTACACACGAAATTCTTTTATTCGGACACATACAAAATTTTGTTACCAGAAAAATAATGAAAGAAAGAAATTCGCAGCAATAAATATTTTCATGTACACGCCCGCCCAGTTGCGATTATGGTGTCTTTAATTATGATAATAATAACAATAATGATAATTTAATTGATTTTGAATAAGCTAATTTCTTCATAAAAAAGCTAATTCAACTGTTCCAATAATTTGGGTGGGCCGAGTTGAAGGTTTGGATTTTAATATATTTTGTCCGGTTATCAATAATGGCATGGTCTTGAGAAGCAATGTTGTTAAAGAATCAAATGACATTGCACTTTGCAGACCAGCCAATGCTGCTAGTTCAACGACTTTGTGATATCGATAATGGAGTTAATTCCCTAAATAGTGTTTTTTTTATTTACCACAAATATAGTGGTTTAAAAACTATTTACAAGAATATTGTGTTTTTTGGTATGGTTTAAAAACTATTTACAAGAATATTGTGTTTTTTGGTATGTTGAAAGCGCTCAAGCCTTAGACTCAGGCGCGACCGCTAGGTGTTTTTTTTTTCAATAAAATCTAGCGGTGGCCCCGAGACTGGGGCTTTGGCGCTTAAAAAGGAGCAAAAGCGGCGGCGTCCCAGACTGAGGCTTTGTCGTTGCCTTCTTTTCTTCCACTCCAGCACCAATATATATACTCCACATTTCCTTCGGTTCTTCACCACCATAAAACTGAAAGAAGTTCCGAAAGAAGCTCTGGTGTTGCTGTCTGGTTGCTGGGAATATGGCTAATAATAGGTAGAGACGTATTTATTTTTTTAATGTATTTTTCATAATGATTTTGTCCAGTTAGTAATTAGTGAGTTTGTTTTTTATGTAGTGGTTTTAGAAGATTTGAACTAGCTGTTCAGTGGAAACCAGAGAAAGTAGAGGACAATTTGGGTATCCATTTCGTTGGTGGTGTAAGTTTTCAGATGACTATTCCATCCAGGGTGAACTATCAGAAACTTTGTGATAATCTGATTCGGAGAATACGGCGTAGAGACGAAACAATACAAGATAGTGTTGTGATTACAGGTTTCACTTACTGTCTTCCAGAATGGCAGAATGGTGTTTTATTTCATTATGCAATGCCTATTGTCGATGATGATAGCTTAAATGTGCTTTGGAATTTTATGGCACAAAATCCTTATTGTTTGGGTGCTGAGATACATGCTGAGCTCAGTGAGGATCGGGGTGGAGAGGAAGAAGATGACACATGGAGCATGTCATACGATCATGACTATGATGACAGAGTGGACGAAGACAATAATGATGATGATGAGGAGGAGGAGGAGGACGACGACGACGACGGGAAGGAAGGAGAACAACCTAATTATCCTCCATATTTTTACTTGTAGGGTAATGAAGAGGACAAGGAATTATCATATGCTGATTCATATGGCGTAATTCCAAGGCCTATTGTTGGTGGTTTTGATGGAGAATTCTACAAGGGGCAAATATTTCACTCGAAACAAGCTGCACAGGTGGCGTTAAACACTATGCACTACAATGCAACTTTCAGTATAACATGGTGGAGTCGTCACCTTCAATCTGGAATATCAGATGTTTGATGCACAAGGAGGACAAATGTCCTTGGATGGTGTGGTTTGGATGTCGAGATGTGGGAGGCGATTGGAGCGTGAGAAAGGCCGAGTTGGTGCATACTTGTAGCAGTACGACTCAACCGACGAATCATCGCCATCTTGATTTCGACGTTATATCTGAGTCCGTGAAACACTTGGTACGTGCTCAACCAAAGTTGAGTGTTCTAACTGTGCAGGTCGAGTTGAAAGATAAGTTTAATATGCAAGTTACTTACAAGAAGGCTTGGTATGGGAAACAAAGAGCATTGGAGAAGTTGCATGGAAATTGGGAAGAATCCTACGATTTTTTGCAAACATTCTTGCGGGTGGTCAAGAGAAAAATGCCAACATCGGTGATTGATTGGGTAAGAGTTCCTTCGACTCAACCAGGTCATTCGATATTTCAGCGAGTATTCTGGGCTTATGGACCTTGTATAGATGGATTCAAGAATTGTCCAGGCATCATGGTTATTGATGGAACATTTCTTACTGGGAAGTGTAAAGGAGTGCTACTCATGGCGAGCTTATTTGATGGCCGGAAGAAGATTTTTCCAATTACATTTGCCATAGTGGAGAGTGAGAATACTGATAGTTGGCCATGGTTCATAAGTCACGTTCAGGGTTTGACTGATCGAAATGATGTCCGCATTATCTCAGATAGACATGCAGGACTCTATGAAGCCATGAATAACATCGGAAGAGGTTGGGAGTGGAGATGGTGCATGCGACACTATGCAAGCAATTTGCAAAGGAAGACTAAAAGCAATTATGTATAAGCAACTATTTCAAGTCGGTAAGCCTTCTTCATTTAATTTTGTTATTTATTTTCATGTAATTTTGTCATGAATTTATCTAACCCGTGTGGTTGTTTATTTTGTTAGCCGGAGAAAAACGCTTGGAGAAGTTCGATCGTCAAGTTGAGCAATTTAAGTAGGTGGCCACGGATAGAAATATTCCATGTGATAACTGGGTGGACCAACATCAAATTCGTTGGAGTTTAGCACATGATAACTACAATGGTGTGCGTCGTTGGTCTATCCTGACATCCAACATGGCAGAAAGCATCAATGGTGTTTTCAAAGGTATTCGTGCACTTCCTATAGCTTCTCTTGTGCAACATACCTATTGGCGATTGGTGGAGAAATTCGATAAGTACAGGTTGGAGACAGGAGCAGAAATTAGAAGTGGTCCTTCACAGTACTCCACCAAGTGCGAAGAGCTGATGAAGCCGTGGTCATAAAAGGCAGTTGGACATTCCGTGATAGCTCTTGATCGATGTCAAGGCATCTATGTAGTACAGACTCCTCCCAACAATTTCAACATGACGGGGTCAAACACACTCACAATGCACTTTGACGACCCCAACCGGGCAGAATTTTGCACTTGTGGGAAATTTCAAGGAAATAAAATTCCTTGCTCTCATGCCATTGCAGCTTGCAAACGAATGGGGGCTAATCCATATAGGTTTGTAAACGACGTCTACAAGTTTCAAACAGAGATGGCTTGTTATGGGACAAGTTTCACTCCTCTTGGTGAACCTAAGGGTTGGAAGAAGCATAATGACCCTACTCTCCATCCTAATCTGCACATGATTAGAAAGCTGGGGAGGCCAAGATCAATGGTTTAATGATTAGTAATTTAAATATATATTATTTATATTCAAATAAAATTATAAAGGAACATGGTTTGCTAAGTATTGTACAATTTTAGGTCAAATTGTTTAGGAAAAATATATACATATGAGTGGACGCTCCCATCCCATGATTTAAAATAAGTGAGAAATTAGGTGGGTATCCGAACTGGCAACGATTAATGCTTTGATATAAAATATTATTCGTGGACACAGTACACACAAAATTCTTTTTATTTGGACCCAGAGCCAGACGAAATTTTGTTACCAGAAAAATAATGAATGAAAGAAAATTCGCAGCAATAAATATTTCCATCTACACGCTCACTTGCTTGTCAATTAAAGGTATAACCAGTTGCGATTTTTTTTCCTCCCCCCATTGAATACCAGTTGAGATTTTGGTTCCTTTAATTATGACTAGATCTTTTTGCCCGCGCTCCGCGGCATGATGGTTGTAATAATTTAATTTAACATAGAAGCGTAAAATTTCAGTTTTTCATGAATAACCTTACAAAGCTTAAATATATCATGATTATGGGAAGCTTTCTTCGGAATTTCTAATTAAGATGCTTATTTCAATATTTCATCATATGAATTGAGGTTATGACTTTTGAGTGAAAGTATCGTAGCTTGAACTGAATCCGTGGAACTGTGTGTGGAATTCATGGATCCATTGTCAAAGTTAACCAAATTAAATGAAGCCCAATTAGCTGTCAAACAACTTTTGTAAGTTATTGATTTGATTTACATAGATCATAACTTGTTCCCGTAAGTTCTTTCTTTCTTCTATTTTGGCGAGATTGTTCTCCAAAGTTCAGAAAAGGCGAGCTAAAGCCCAGAATTAAACATGGACAAATCTCCATTTCAAGTTCGGGAATTTAAAGCAACATCAATGTTATATACATGGTGAGTACATAAGAGAATCTACCATGTGATACCTTGCAACGTAGTAGACGTGAAATCATTAAAAGTACAGTACTATCAACAAACCTAGATTCTTTAAGCTAATACTGGAAGCAGTACCGTGGAGAATCACTGATGAAGTATCATTCCTTATCAGTTTGTCAAACAAAAGAACGCCATATAGCAGGTCGATCGTGGCTTATGCGAAGAATGCAGAATGGACAGTAAGAAGCTATAAGATACAACACATTAAGAGAATTCTAATCAAATTGAGACACCAATGTGCAACTTCTTTTGAGTTCCTCTACCTCAGTACAATGTAAAGATATAAAGAACAGAAGAGACACCACTTTACTATCACAACCATTAAATTTCCACAAAAACACATAATAATTACATACATTCTGAACTTGGTCAGAAGCACACCATAGATCAATTACAGGCTAACATTCATCACATCACACCCAATTGTCCAAACAAAGAGCTTTCGAAGCAAACAAAAGCGAGGAGATATGATGCCCACCTATCAGCAACAAATATTACTCCACAAAAGGTAGTTCCCTGATCAACCCATCAACAATGAGAGATCAACTCTCACTTGCTTAGGAAGGAACAAAAGAATAACAAACTCCAACATAAACAAATCCTAGCAAGTTTGAAAAACCAAAGAAGAAAGAGCCCCAAACCACTTTAATCGTGCTATTTCATTTATGTAATGAGAATCATGGGTGCAATTAGGTGTAATCTTAAGTTTCACTAAGATGAATGTTGATGAAAGTCATCCTCCCTGACGAACTTAATTAGTCAATTAAGAATTAAAAAAAAGCAATGTGAACAATATTAGTGGAATGAAAATCTTTGGTTCAACAGCTTCTAAAAGCCAACCATTAAGAAACCAAACTGGGAATGTAAACCTTAGGAAGCTAAGCATCACCAAAGGACAACATTTTGGAGAGCAGAACATATTATGTAAACAAATAAAAACTTACAGAGCGCACACACTTGAAGAGTATAAACATTATCCAGAACGAACTTGAATTTTGATTCTTCAATGCTAGAGAACATGTTGCTGGAAGCTCCAAGTCATCAGCAGACTTAACTGTATCGCTCTGGGGACCCCATGGCATCTCACATGTCGGTCATAGATTTTGCAGGAAGAGACCACAACTGCCTCTTGAATGATGGGTTCAACTATGTACTCAATTGCCCTGTAATAGATCAAGCGAAAGTAGAACCGGGTTAACGTCAAATTACAGAGAAAACAATATAGGTACCGAGACAAAAATGGAGAACAAATCAATGTACTCTCACAAGAGAGGAGATGATGTCAACAAAATATGGGAAGGAGAGCCTTAACTGGAATCCAACATATTCGACTTCTTCTGAGCAGAACTGAGAGATCTCTTCGTGTGGTCAACCAGATTAAAGAACTAATTAACTTTGATAGTCTCAATCTGCACAAAAAATACCCAAAGCAACATCAACCGAACCTGACTTAAAAAAAAAATTACAGAATGCCTTATAAAACGAAAAAGATCAATGAATTGTCAACTCTGCCGCTCTCCCTCCTTTGGCGAGTCCGTATACAAAATTTAGTATAGCAAACTCGCACAATGATTGCCAAATCCTAGTTTCACATGATTTTTTATGTGAAATCTCAGCTTCAAGAAATAGGAGGAACCAATTAGGGTTCTAACAAATTGGGGGATACTTAGTTGATGCACCTATCTACTATTAATGCTGTAAATGGAATATGTCACCAGGGAAAGAGCATGAAGAGCAATCCAAGTCGACAAACTTTTTAGATTTAGATCACAAACAAATAGAAATGACATTGATAAACCAATGCGTTGCATACACAATCTAGGAACTATATTAACTTGTAAACAAAAAACTCAAAGCTACCTAAAAGAATAAAACAGGGGAAGTATGTAAAAAACCCATAGCAACACAACTATTCCAGATAAGTTCTTTATAGAACCTAGTCACCATTCATACAGATTGAGTTTGATAATAACTTGCAAGCACAAACTGAGTAAATTTGAAGAACCTAAAACTAAAACGCAAAGATTAAGGTCTGCATGATAAAAGCTTTTGGGAATGTGGCTCCAAAGTCTAAATTTGCTTGGACTATGACCAAAAATCCTAGCTCCAAAACCATAAAACGAAATAAAGGAAGAGATTAGGCTTCATAAAAAAACCATGGGCAACAAAGTTAAACACACAAAGGATAAAAGCTATTAGGAACTTGCATATTTGTGAAGGTTGTGTGCTCTTTCCACATTGATGAGTAGAAGGCATAGAATGATTGTGAATTCCTCACAAACACATCATCGGAAATCTAGGTTGCCGCCTCTCAAATACTCTTGTTGCCCAACGATCTCCCCCAGACTCCAAACCCAACAATTCCAGTCCCATACCAGACACCATTCCCATTTTCATCAAGTACCTCCTCTTCTCCACCTTCAGCTTCCTCACCCGTTTCTCATACCCGTGGCAGAACCAAATCCAACACCCAAGGAAATACGTACCCTTCCATAACCATCCACCATTTCTGCCTCGTGTCAGTAGAATCACGTTACCCAGAGGATTGAAGAGCTCGTGACGGTGCACCATAACCCCTTTGGCATCATCGAGGTGGGAAAATCAAAACACCTTTCAGATCTGCAAAAACTCATAAAACAATCCTCCATTTCATATCATGGAACTCACTAAACAATACTCAAACTCAACAGAAGCAAAGAGAAGGAAAATTCACCTGAAGCCAAGAAGAACCCACGATCCGAGTCTTCCCCACATACTTTTTTTTACATTAAAAATCATCCTTTTATTCCACTTCAACTCGAGAGACCAATTACACTTATCAAAGGAAATCAGAAATTAAGTCAAGAATACTAATTAAGTTAACTGGGAGATAAGATCTAGCAAGTGATCGAGCAACCCAATCCGCTCTAACATTAAATTTTCTTGAAACTGCCTTAACCTTCACTTGAGGATTCGACCGGAGGATGGAGATCATTGATCCAATCCAAGCTGATCCCCGCCATGGCCAACATCGAGGATGTTGATCAAGAGCATTCACTAACACCTGGCATTCAGACTGGACAACACATTCAGTGCCATATTCTTGAGCTAATTTTAGACCTTCCAACAGAGTTTTGTTTATGCTTCGAGCGGGGTGGAACAAAGGAGAGTATCAGCTTTCCCATCACAAAATTTTCCATGGTGGTTAATGACCACAACACCATATGCCGCCGGCTGGGAGTCGCTTAAGAACGACCCATCACAGTGAATCACCAGATTATGATTGCTTGGAGGTGGAGAAGTGAGTGAATGGGATCCCCTGAGTTGATGAGGAGGAGAATCGTTAGGGGGGCTCCTCGGGCAAGTTGTCCATTCGATGAACTCCTTTTAAGTACGCAAAATCACGTTCGGATGCCAAGGGATCCAATTCTTGAAAACACATTCATTTCTAGCCTTCTAAATATTCCAACAGAGGAAAACAACATGAATAAGTGCTCCTGGATGGATAGACTCCTTGATGGAGAACAATATTAGAGGAAAGAAGAAGACTGAGCCGGCAGAGGAAGGTTTGGGAATACATTGTTCTAGGATTCCCAAGCGTGGGGACACGAGAAAAGGCAATGATATAGGGACTCAACGGGACACTGGCACACTTAGCAAGTAGAGTTGGGGGAGCATTTCCTATGGAAGATTCTCTCTTTTGTTGCAAGGCCGTTTTTAGCACATCTCCATATAAAGAACTTGAGATTAGGGGGAATGTCAAGATTCCACATCCATTTCCACATCTCAATACTACTCATCGATTGGGCAGCAGATGTAGACTTGTGGACCGCATGATATGCCGACTTGACGGTAAAATTCCCATCCTCATTTAACCTCCATGCCCAAAAATCCTTTGAGTCCTCCTCCCCAATCGGGATTCTCAAGATAGACTCCATTTCTGAAGATGAGACATGTCCCTCGATTAAGTCATTCTTCCATATTCTATCTCCTAGATCAATCCAGGTATTGACTCTTGTATGATTTTGGGGTCCACTCTGAATGCTCGCCTTTTGAAGGAAAGGAACCCAAGGGTCTTGATCAATCCGTGTATCCTCCCCCATCCCAATCACTCTGATCGCTCCCAGATCAATGACTTTTTTGGATTCCCACAAGCTAGCCCAGATCCACGACGGTTTGCTTCCTTTTTTGCCGTAAGGAAGTTGCCTCTCGAGAAGTACAATCCTTTAAGCAGCCTGCTGAACAACGACTCAGGATTGGTAAGAAGCCTCCAGGCTTGTTTGGCAAGAAGTGCCAAATTGAAGTCTCTAAAACTTTGGAATCCCAATCCACCTTCTGACTTCGGGGTACAGAGGATCTCCTTTACACCAGTGCAAAGAAATTTTTTCCATCGATCTTGACCAGAAAAAATTGCTGAGAAGAGTATCTATTTTCTTGGTGAGGGAAACTGGCAGAAGGAAGAGGCACATGATGAAGGATGGGATGGCCTGAATAATAGACTTGAGGAGAACTTCCTTTCCTCTGTGTGAAAGAAGCAGGCTCTTCCAAGTTTCTCCCATCTTTTCCATCCTTTGAATGAGGAAATAGAAGGTTTCTTTTTTTGAATTTCCCCATTAGGTTGGGACTCCAAGGTATTTTGAATTGCAGTTGGACGGAGAAAAACCAATGTGATTGATGAAGTCATTTTTCTCTTCCGCTGGAACATTTGCGCTGAAAAAGACAGAAGATTCGTTGATGTTGACTTCCTGGTCAGTGATTAACCCATAATCGTTGATAATCTCCATAATTCTTTCCGCCTCTTGGATGCTGGCTTTCCCAAAGATAACTGTGTCGTCAGCGAAAAGACAGTGAGTGAGAGAGGGGGATCTCATATTGAGCTTAATTCCTTTGATACGGTCTTCTGCCACTGCTTTGTCAATAAGGAAAGTGAGGGCATTAGACATTAAGATGAAAAGAAAAGGGGAAAGAGGAAAGAGGATCTCCCTGTCTAATGCCTCTGGAGGGACAGAAGCTTTCTGACGCTTCTCCGTTGAATAGTACCGAGAAACTGACCGACCGTATACAGCTGCTAACCCATTTGCACCACTTCTCATCGAACCCATATCTTCTAATGAGAGTCTCAAGACATTCCCAATAAACCATGTCATAAGCCTTCTTCATATCAAGTTTAAGCATCATATCTCTTCTATTACCGAGTTTGTGGTTCTTGAAATGATGAAGAACTTCATGGACAATAATGATATTGTCTTGGATGAGGCGACTGCCTGTGAATGCTGTCTGAAGCTCTGAGACCAGAGAAGGAGTCCATCTCTTAAGACGGGTAGCCATGATTTTCTATATGATTTTATATCTAAAATTGCAACAGCTAATGGGTCGAAACTGGCCAATCATTTCCGGATGGTAAACCTTTGGAACCATTGCAATATGAGTTTCGTTTCATCCTTCGGGCATTGTTGATGTCTCAAAGAAATCCTTATCCCAATACCTCCTGTAGAATTTTCCTGAGAACCCATCTGGACCCGGAGCTTTACTGGCACCAAGCGAGAAAATTGCTTTCCTGATTTCCTCATTGCTTACTGCAACACAAAGATCCTCATTCATCTCGTCAGTTACCATCGTTAGAAACCCTTGGAGGAGGTGGGTAAAAGAAATAGAAGGTCTAGCTTTGAACAGCTCTTTGTAGAATCCAATTGGCATATCCTTCAACCTTGTCTCATCTTCCACCCAACTCCCCCTCTCATCTTTAAGACAAAGGACTCTATTATTATGTTTCCTATGGATAGTACTTGAGTGGAAGAAGGAAGTGTTTTGGTCACCTTTGTGTAGCCAATTGACTCCAAAAAGCTTCCTCCTCTAGCCATAATCTGGTAAGTTCTGCAGTAAGGCCCTTTTCTTCCTCGACATTTTCATTCATCCGAGGAGGTTGTTGGAGAATCTCAAGTCTAGAAACAATTTCATTCTCCCTAATAATACTGTTCTTATGGAAGTCTTTTGACCAAGCTTTCAATTCTCTCTCGCAGTTTCTCAGCTGATCACTAGAAGACCCACCTTGGTCCCATTCTCTGCAAACAATCTCCTTGCATCCCTCTTTCTCCAACCATCTTTCATCTACTCTAAACGATGTTCTGCTTCTCCTGCTACCCATATAGTGGAGATCAATTCTAAGTGGACAATGATATGAATCCACCATTTTTTCATGGAATACCACAGCTTCTCCAAACTCTGCTCTCCAAGATGGCGAACACAACACCCTATCCAGTCTCATTATGACAAAATTTGGACCAGTTCGTTTATTTGACCAAGTGAAGGGGTTGCCTTTGAAGCCGATATCAATGAGTGCATTTTCAAAGATGAACCTTTTGAAAGGTTTAACATTCTCGTACCTAAGCGGGCATCTCCCTTCCTTTTCATTTACGTAGATAGAAGCATTAAAATCCCCTACAATGACCCAGTTGTCATCCCTACTACTCCTAAGGGTACTCAAGTGCTCCCAGAAATCCCTCCTACTTACAGCAGTGGTTGGGGCATGAACAAAAGTACAAAAGAACTTTTTCCCCGTGTCAATACTAATATCCATATAATACTTATCATTACTAAGTACATTAATACTAATGCCCTCCTTCCACCATAACGCAAAGCCCCTAGACGAGTTAACCGGTTCAACATACTCCTTATTAGGGAAAATTTTGATACTTCTTCTTTGCTCTTCCATGAAAGCTTCATCCTTGCTTGTTTCCCTAAAAAAGACAATAGAAGAGCCATGACGTCGTATAAGACGTTTTGCATAGCTTCTCATAAGGGATTGGCCAAATCCCATACAATTCCAACTTACAATACTCATGGGATGTGATGTGGCTTATGGCGAACCACCGCTGCCGTTGTGACACTTTCTTCTTCCTCACGAATGCCTCCATTGGTCTTGTGGGCTTTAAACTTGTGTTGTTTCTTCTTTTTTCCCCTTCCACTCACCCCCTCAGCAAACCCAGAATTGGTTGGGCTCAAATTGAGACAGACCCCTTCATTAAAACCATGTTCAGCCCCTCTTGGGCTTATGAAAGACAACCCTTTCCTTTTCTTTAATGTTCGGCCCACTTCTCCCTCCAACTCCTCCTGGTTATGTTGATATGGGCTCTGGATGTGCAAGTTAGTTTGGTTGGGCTCCAAATTGGTGTTCCATTGGGCTTGAAAGTTGGGGAAGCTAGGCCCGAGGGATAGTTGGGAGCCCATCTGGTATCTCCTGTCCATCTGACTTCGGCTCCCTTCTTCCCCTTCGATCCTCAACCTCCCCTGTAACATAGCCGCCACCGACTCCATATCCACCGTTAGGTCCATTGCCCCCATCTCCTCCGTGTACCTTCTCTTCAGTCTCCCAACATTGTTCCTTTCCTCCTCCCTAGCCTCCTCCTCAAATTGACGAATGGTGAAGCCCGGTGGAATCACGGGATGATTTCCGCCCACCTCTCCTGTCTTGGTGAGCTCTACTCCCTCTGTTTCTACCCTGCAAAAATAAGAATCACCAGAACTATAATGTTTCCTCCAAGAATCAGGGTCGGAGCTGTGATATCTTGGTTCTTCTTCTTCTGTACGGCCCCTGCTTCCTCTCGATCTGTAGGGAGAGTCAATCCCCACTTTGAGCTCAGAAGTGTAGATCTCCGACAGCTGGACATATCCTCCCTTCTTTCTTTCTTCCTTCATTCTTGAACAAGTCGGCCAGTTGTGACCAATTCGCCCACAGAAATAACACAGCTCAACCAACCTTTCATATTTGAATGAAATCACTTCACAGTAATCTCTTCCTGTGGCTTCATCAGTGGATGGAAAATTGAACCCCGTCAGAACCGGTTCGCAGAGATCAACTTCAGCCAACATCGTAACAAATCTTCTATATCCATTGAAATGGATACTAGCCCTATCCATATCAATGAATTTTTTGAAATAGAAGGTACCAATGGATATGATGTTCTGTTCGCTTCTTTGGTTTTGGTGAAGACCATGAATCTGCACACAAACTGCAAGTTTATTCATAGGGACATCTTTGGGTTCTCCTCTTCCTTCACACTTCTCCACTGCTGTCATTGTGTTGGAGAGACTCCAGGGTCTTTCGAGCCATATCCTTTCTCGTGTTTTGGCATCCTTGAAGGTGAAGATGAAGAGGTTCTGAGATTGGGTTGGCTGGACTCCAATTTCACCATACTCCCCCCAGGCATACCTTGCAGCCCCTGCTGCCTTCGCCAAGGCAACTTTGTTCTCACTTAACATCTTCCCCAACAACATTGAGATACCTCTCCCAGCATTGATAGTGAGCTTGGGACGGTCCCCTCTGCCTCCAGATGATGAGGGTTTGCTTCGCTCCGTGCTCAAGCGACCGACTGTCTCAGCAAGGGCGTTGATATCCATATCGATCAGGTTCCTGTTAGTTTGGTGGAGGCTATGTTTTGTGAGAATTTTGGGAAACGGTAGAGCAAGCGGGGAATGAGAGGATGGGTTCTGTTTCGGTTTTTTTTTGTGGGTACGTAGGGTTGAAGAGATGTGAAAGATAGGACTCTGCTTTGGGAGGCTTTTTGGTTCAGGTATAGAAGGCGATAGATGTGAGGAAAAGCTCTGTTTTGGGGTGTTGCTGGGAAGATGCAGATTAGGCGAGGGATATAAGAAGTATTTTCCAGAAGCTCTTAAATTTGTGAGCTTTGCTTCTCTCCTTCCTTCCCTCTTATTAACAATACCTCTTAAAGACAGAGGATTTACTCCCACCAATCTTTGGTAGTTATCCCTATTTCCATATGTTCCATCATCTTTACTGAAGCTACTAGGAAAAGGTATGCTCTCTGCCTCTATATTTACTCCTGCTCTTGGCTCAATGTTCGGCGATGGCAGATTCAGAACAACCGCCAAATCTTCTTCTGCTATAACACTTACCCTTCTCCTGTTCCATCTCTCTTCCATTACTCTGCGATGGGTCCTTTCTTTCACATTAGGAGGAACCCATTGAAACTCTTTTTTCTTCCTTTTCTTCCTGAATCTACTAACCCCCATCTTGGCCTTTGATTTCTTGAATCCATGGTCCTCCCTGTTTCCTTCTTCCCCTTTGTAAATATTATATGCGAAGTGATGTGTATCAGAGTAGGTGAGGATACTATCCCTACTGCTATTAGCCTCCAGAGATCTCTCTACAGGAGCAGGAAAAGTCTCAAACGAGGAGACGGAAAACAGAACCCCAAAGAGTTTAGAGAAAAGAGCCGTTTGAGAGAAGGTCATTGTATTCCAAGAAGCGAGAGATGAAACTTCCCCACATACTCTCTGGATCATAAATACCAAATGTCCTCTTTGTTGAAGACGACCACGGAGCTGAGATGAGAGAGAGAAGAGGGAGAGATGAGATGCTGCAAGGATATTCAAAGAACTGAGAGAGAAGAGTAAGAGTGCTATCATATTAGTAAGAGGGCTTTCCAACTTCCACCATGTTGCAGTCAAAAAGTAATAATGAGGGAGACGGAAAAAAACATGACGGGCAGACCTCCCTGATATATCCAGTCACTGACCTATCTCTCAATCCCCTCAAAGGCTCCCTGATCTATCTAGTCACTGACCCTCTCTCAATCCCCTCAAAGGCAGAGAGAAAACCCCCCAGAGCCTCAGTCGAGTTTTCCCAAAATCAAGACCCCACTGCCATCCTCCATACATCTGAAAACCCTCCCAGGACCTGACTTCGTGCCTCTCCTCATGACAACCGCAGTCACCTCCAATACCTCGAGCCACGAACCGGCCCAACTCCCACCTCCAAACTGAGACCACGTCACCCTCCAACTTCTCCACTCCAGCGATCCCTCCCCAACAGAACACCCAAAGCGACTCGATCCGCGCGCCCATCAGGACAAAAGTTGCTTGTAGATATCTGATGACTAAAGCGCATCAGAGCCACCATCCGACCCAAGACAGCCCAACCAAAAGCCAACGACCAGCCCCACCCCGACCGAGCCCCCAAACTCTGTAAGATCCCAATGAGGCCTCACCCAACTCCAACCCACACGTCAACCCACGCCAGGATGAAATAGTAAATCTCAGTCACTTTGCACAGTAAAATGTGTTTGCGTGTACAGTACCAGGGCATGCGGCGGGTTTCTTTCTTACAATGATAATAATTTTCAATCAAAGGTATAACGATAATTATCATTATAAAACATATAATAATGATAATGCTAATGATCATTTATTTGATTTTAAATAAGCTAATATCTTCATAAATTAAGCTAATTCGGCTGTTAAAGTAAATTGGGTGGGCCGAGTTGAAGGTTTGGACTTTAATATATTTTTGGAACGTTATCAGTAATTGCATGGTATAGAGAAACAATGATGTTCAGTCGAAACGACATCGCACAGACTTGCCAATGTCGCAAGTTCAGCAACTTTGCGATATCAATAATGTCACGAGTTTATATAACATCGCAGTTGGTTAACAAATTCACTAGTCCGACGATATCATGACTCAAACGATATGGCGAATCCAACAATATCAGGGAGTCATTGCCACCGCACCATGCTAATTAACAAGAACAATTAATAAGCCATACCCAATTCCCCTAGTCGAATAGAAAGAGAAGCAGACTGCAGAAGAATGGAAGAAAACCTGAGATCATTTTAGGGGTTAGCTATATTATGTTTCACGAAAATTAGTAACCAAACTAGGAAAGTCGGCACTGCGCATTCATCATTCAATTCAGATAATTGACCGGACCGCCGTGGGGAAGCAGCTAGATAGTAGCCTAATAGTAGAAGCAGTAGGTTAACTAGTTTACAATTACTAATTAATTATAAAAAAATCTACCGTGATAATCCAATACTTACTCATGAATATAATGTGGCGAACAGAGTTGGCGGTAGTGGTGGCGGAGGCGTAACAGAGAGGGTGGATGATTCATCTTGCAGCCTTGTTGTCAAGAAGAATGGAGGCTCTGCTGCCGATGAAGAACGAAAAACAGATAAGAATGCAGAGCCTCATACGGTGACGTTTACAAAGAGACAGAACGAAGTGAAGTGCACTGTTTTGGCTAATAGCCTCAGTTCTGTTTTAGCCTCAGTTCTGTTTTTACTGTATAGTTTACACGTGTATAGCTGTTATTGTTTCATTTCATTTGTTAGTTGTAGTTACTGTTAAGTGTAATTAGTAGACTGTATATAAGCTACTTCAGCATCAATGGAAAGCTCTAACGAGCAATTTCCCCCAAAACTCTGATTCTTCTCAAGCGGGTGCGGCGGTGGACATCAGTAAACTAAATGGTGGCCACGTCCCCTACTGTCCTTGCTGCATGCATGCACGCATTTGATGATCAAGAGGAACTCTTGAGATCCAACGATGAACTAAACAAATAATTTTATGTCCTTAATTAATAATTGTTATTTCAATTCAAATTATTTCAATCTTATATAGTGACTGCTTCACTGTAAGTCTGTAACAATTACTATAATCACTCTCTTATCCTTGAGTTAATTCCTACATCATGTATGTCATATAATATCAATGGAAATTAAACGTCTCACTAAACGTAAATTTAGTTTGGCGCATTCACTAGGTTGGAAGTTTGGTACCGGTATTTGGGATATACCGAATACCGTACTGAATTTATCGTTATTTGGCATCACCGAATACCAACTTATTCTTTAGGGATTGAGATTCATTTTGGAGTGCTATTCGTTATTAGGGATTACGTGGTTGGGATCGATATATACAGAAATACCGAAAATTTAAAAAAATAATGAAATATAACATACAACTTTTGGTCATTCCTCACTCTTTCACAACTTAAAAGCCCCTATCCAACAGTTTGGGTTCCTATGCTTAAGCCCAAAAGCTTAAGCATATGCTTAAAGCAATTTTATTGGTTGTTAGATAATTAGGTGGTCAATTAGGAGTTATTAGTTAGTAGGTAGTTAAGTGTATTGAGGTAAATGGTGTATTTTACTTATTTCAAATTTAACCTAACAACTTAATGAATACAAAACTAATCATCTACCTAAATAAGCAATAAAACACAGAAGGCCGGCGGGGAGGGTTTATTTGTTCGGCGACCTTCACTCTTCCCAGCACCGCTCTCGCTCGCCGTCTTCCCCCCTCTCGTACATATACCAATTGTCAAATAATTTGTTTGGATATTAATTACATTTGATATTTGGATTTTTGCTACATTCATGGGGTGATTTCTAAATACAAGTCTAGTGTATTACCTGTCAACTTCATATACATTCCATCAACTAGTAATTTGAAATTATTCCTAACAAAAGAGTGGACTTGTTTGTAACATTTTAAAATTTTAGGTACTATAGTGTGAGGAAAAATATATAAAAGCACCAAAACATAATTTTACCACCAAAATTTTAGGACATTTTTGTAAAATTTGAAAAGTTAATATACTAAATGTAAAAAAATTGGGTACTAAAATGTAGTGAGAGAGTGCGCGATCTGAGTGATTCCGGTTGCGAGGGTTTACTGATCTTGTGCGCCCGCTGCCGGCTCCGACACCTGCGCCGGAGCAGCCTTTTCCCCCTCTTTCTCTTTTCTCATGAGTGGTGTAAGCGAGACGGTGGCCGCTAGCTCGGAGGCGTCAATTGGCGAGGTTCAAGGGGATCCCACAAAACCCTAGGCTGCGCTCTTTGGCATCTCGGAGGCCAATCGTCTTACGTACATCAAGCCTGAAGTGATCAATGGAGGGCTTTGTATGCCTAAAGTGGTTCGTGATACTGGGGCGGCTAGATGGAAGAATTGTTTAGTCGGTCAGTTTCTGCAAGATCCGCCTTCGTTGTACGTTCTTCGTCGCTGGGCAAACAAGCTATGGGGTCGCAATGGTTTGGTTCGTGTCTCTCTGCTCTATGATCGTATGCTTCTTATTCAGCTGGCAAATCCAAAGGTTTGTGAATGGATTCTTGAGAATGGGTCATGGTTCTACCTCAACAATCTGCTTATCTTAGGCCGTGGGTGCCAGGCATTAGTCTTGAAGATCTAGGGCAGAAAGCGCTTCCAATTTGGGTTAACCTTGCGAATGTGCCACTTGAGTATTATGATTTTCAGGGGCTTAGTCGAATTGCTAGTTGGTTAGGGGTTCCATTGGCTATTGATCATACAACGAGAATGGGTGATCGACATGGTTATACAAAGGTGTTAGTTGAGCTTACGGTGGATAGTGAGTGCTCGGATCATGTGGTGTTGTGGCCTGAAGATGATCACTCCTTGAAGGTTGGGGTTACCTACTGTAATTTTCCGCCCATTTGCCCTGTTTTTCACTTGTTTGGCATAAAGGGTGATTGTGCAGCACACCATAATCAACAGGTTGTTAACACTGAAGCTCCAGTGCAGCAACCTTCTGATGCTGGTCCATCTCAAATGCAGTCCAGCAATGCCAAGGGTACTGATAAGGGCAAGGAGATAGTGATAGATGATAATGATCCCCAACTGACTGTTATGGTGGGGGCGCCAATGGAAGGGAATATCACTCCATCAAATCTTGAAAGCTCATTTCAGGAGGTAGCATCTCCAAAACTGCCGTCTGAGGCTGAGTTTCAAAGGGTGGTTCATGGAGCCAAACCCCGTATCTGGTCACCGAAATCAAGTCCTCAGGATATTTTTCAGGTATATGCTTCTACATTCAGTATCTTAAGTAAGTTAGAGGATAGAGAGCCAGTTAAATTGCAGGCAGTTCCTAAGAAGAAAGATGGTAAGAAGGGAGGGGTCAAACCCTCGTCTTCTAGATGCTTGTGCTCTTTTGGAATGTTAGAGGATTCAATAAACCCTCTAAACAGCGCGAATTATTAAGAGTCCTGCAGAGTAATAAGGTGGATATTGTAGCAGTGTTAGAGAGTAGAGTAAAGGCAAATAAGGCAGAGAAGGTAGTAGAGGAAGTGTTTGCGAGGTGGGAGAAATGCTTAAATTGTGTGGACTCAAAGTTGGGCAGAATGGCTTTTCTGGGATCCAATTATTAAAGGTAAGGTGTTAAAACCGGGGAAAAACTTTATCCATGCAGTAGAGGAAGGGTTGAACAAGGAATCCTTCTTTTTAACTGCTGTGTATGCAGCTAATGATGAGGAGGAAAGGCGCAACACATATGCAGAAATAGGTAAACCGAGGGTTGCTGATCATCCCTGGTTGTGGGTGGAGATTTCAACTAGTTCGAGTACCAAGTGAAACAAGTAATCAGCAATCACTCACTTCTAGCATGACATATTTCAATGATTGGATTGGGAATATGGAGTTACTTGATTACAGAACCACGGGTACTCAGTTCACATGGACAAATAGGCAACAAAATAACCCCATTGCAAGACGGTTGGATAGAGCTTTGGTGAACTTGAAATGGATAGAGCAGTACCCTGATTGTGCTATTGGAAGAATGATCTTATAGGGTCTCCACTACAGATTGTTCAGGGTAAGCTGCAAGAGGTCAAGAGGGCCTTACAACAATCCAATAAGGATATGTATGGGGATTTACAAGGTCGGGTTAAAGTAGCGGAAACAAATCTAATGCAAGCCCAAATGTTAGCCCTATCAGATCCTACTTCGGCTCACTTTGTTGAGGTAAACAAATTACAAGCTTAATGTGCTCAACTCCAGGTAGCCTATGAAAGTTTCTGTTGGCAGAAGTCAAGAGTGTCTTGGCTGAAGCTAGGAGATAAAAGCTCGGGATGCTTTCATCAAGCAGTTAAAATAAGATCTTCAAAGAGGGCAATTCGAAAGCCGGTTTCTACAACAGGGGAAGAGATTGTTCAGTTAGATCAGATAATAGAGGAGGTGATTAGCTATTATAAAAGGCTCTTGGGTGAGATTAATCCAGAGATTAATCCTAGTAGTGAAGAGGTAGCAGCTCTGGTCAGAAGTACAATCATAGATGAGCGGAGAGATCTTCTTGTTCAACCTGTTAACGCTGATGAGATCAGACGAGTTGTCTTTGGGATGAATCCTCAGAAGGCCCCAGGGCCAGATGGCTTCTCAGTTGGGTTCTATAAGCGAACGTGGCACATAATTGGAGAGGATGTCATCAAAGGGATCCTTGATTTCTTCCAGCAAGGTAAACTTCCTAGTGGTGTAAATTCCACGGCGGTTTCATTAATTCCTAAGATACCAACTGCAGATACACTTAAGAACTATAGACCTATATCTTGTATGAACCTATTATATAAGATTGTGGCTAAAATTCTTTCAAATCGACTTAAGGAAGTTTTGCCAACTATTATTAGTCCCTCACAATCAGCATTCATTAAAGGCAGAAGCATTATGGATAATATCCTGCTAGCTCAAGAGCTTGTTAGTGGATATCATAGACAGGGGCTTTCATCTAGATGTGCTATCAAAATTGACATAATGAAAGCTTTCGACTCTGTGAATTGGAACTATCTGTTCCTTATGATGAATGATATGGGTTTCCCTGAGCAATTCTGGAAATGGATTAAATGTTGCATTCAAATTGCACATTATAACATAAATGTCAATGGTAGTCTTTGTGGCTACTTTCGAGCTAAGAAGGGGGTTAGACAGGGTGACCCCCTTTCCCCGTACTTGTTTACAATAGTTATGGAAGGACTCTCTACTTTGTTGATGAGGGCTGGTTAGGAAGGGAGAATCCCTTTTCATCCACAGTGCAAAATGGTGGCATTGAATCACATGTGCTTTGCTGATGACATCATTGTCTTTACAAAGGGGTCAACCCAAGCCATTCTTCAGGTTAAACAGGTGCTGCAGCAGTTTTATGGTATTTCTGATCTTCAATTCAATCCATCCAAGTGCGAAGTCTACTTTGGAGGGGACTCTATTAAGTACAAATCAAATGCTCTTACGCTTTCTGGATTCCAAGAAGGTAAGCTTCCTGTTCGTTACTGGTTGACAGAATCACCAAAAGAATAAATACTTGGCGAGCTAAAAAGCTCTCTTATGCGGGTCAATTGCAATTATTAAACTCTATCTTGATGGGGATAGTGCATTTTGGATGCAACCTTTTGTTCTCCCCAAAAAGGTACCGAAACAGGTGCAAAAGGTCTGCTCCCAGTTTCTGTGGCATGACATTGATGAGGGGAGGACAAAGATTGCTTGGGAGAAGCTAGCGTTTCCGAAGAAAGAAGGAGGACTGGGGGTTAAAGATCTTCAGGCTTGGAACTTAGCTAGCACTGCTAGAATGTTATGGTTGTTTCTTATTAAATCTGGGACTCTCTGGGTAGCATGGATGTATGAGTATAAATGCAAACAGGGTGATTTATGGTCGATGAAATCTCAGTACAGCAGTTCCTGGACCTGGAGGGAGATTACTCAAAACAAGAGATAAGCTAAGGCCATGGATACAACAGAGGGATGGTGAAATCTATTGGGGAGCAAAGCTAATGCCTGTATAATCTGTTCAACATGTTTGAGAGTCTTTGCGTGCAAAGCAATCAGAGGTGCCTTGGTTTAATCTCGTATGGAGTAAGTTCTGTCCCCCTCGTTATAGTTTTATTGCATGGCTTATCGTGAGGAATGTTATTGTGACGAAGGATAAGCTAATGAGATGGCGGAAGTTGATGATTGCTTCTTGTCCATTGTGTACATTTCCAATGGATTCAAGAGAACATCTTTTCGTGCACTATTCCTTTTCTCGCAGCCTTGTCTCGAGTTTAAATTGCAGGTTGTTTGATGCTAGGGATTGGGATACAATGCTAGCTACAGCAAGCTCTATGGTTCGGCCCTCAGGGAACGCGAGTTGGCATGGGGTTGTGTGGTGTATGGTGCTGACTTATATATGGAGAGAGCGCTGCAAAGTTGTTCATGGTGGCACAAGACCGGATCCTGAAAAAGTTGCTGCCTAGCTGCAAGCAGATTTACAATACTTAGTTGCTGGAAATGCTATGCTGCAAGGAGACTTAGCACATTTGGGGTATCTTTAAACAGACTGTGGTGTGTTGATTTTCTGTTTTGAAAGTTTTGGTTGGTAGCTGCTATAGATAATTTCAAAGTAGAGTATAGTCGTAATATGTTCTGACATAGAGTCTCAGGGCTTTGTCTTCGCTCTATTGGTTTCCTTTTTCGCATTAATAAGAGAGAAACTGATTCAACGAAGAAAAAAAATATATGTAATTTTCCAAATTTTATAGTAACTAGTAAGTGACCAGAAAATTCAAAATTAAAATAAAAAATCTAAAAAACTAAAATACCAACAAATTACAAATGAGCAACCAAACAACAAATTTGAATTACATGTATTTCAAATGCTAGTATTTCATATGCACACATTTTAAATACATGTATTTCAAATACATTACATTTGAAATACACATATCCAAACGCACCCATAGTGAATTGTGAAAGATGGTAGGGTGTGTTTGGATAAAATGATTTGAATTTGGTATTTGTGGTTTGGATTTATAAATGTCAAATCATTTGTTTTGATATTAATCATATTTTGGTATTTGGATTTGTGGCAAATTCATGGAGTTATTTCCAAATATATGCCTAGTGTATTACTTGTTAACTTCAAATACATTTCAATAACTTGTGATTTGAAATACCTTCTGACAAAAGATTCGATCTTTTTGTCAAATTTTAAAGGTTTAGGTATTATATTGTGAGACAAAAGCATATAAAGGTACTAAAACCTAATTTTATCATCAAATTTTTTGGACCTTTTCGTAAAATTTTAAAACTTAATGTACTACATTGTAAGAAAAATAAATTTGGGTACCAAACTATAATTTACCAAAATTGTAATAAATAATAAGAAAATTCAAAATTCAAATAAAAAATTCATAAAATTTGAAATACAAACAAACTACAAATGGATATCCAAACAACGAATTTGAATACACTTATTCAAACTCACGCATTTATAATTTGGATTTATTTGGTTGAGATTTGATGAGCAAAATGAATTGAAGCAGGAAAGTCGGGCTCGGAATGGTTGGTGTGTGGGGAATTAAGTTATATGGGCCCAGCCCGAGTGCATTAAAAGCCTGTTGTTCTGTCCAGTACAGGATGGCCTGGCCCTATCATTATCATTACTATGAAAATTATTAATGACTCATTCACGGGCAGTTCCCGTGCCAACATAAATCTCCGAGTGGTCCATTTAGCTCTCCGTAGCCGTTGCTGTTTAACGAAGAATATCAGTCGGTATTGGGCCTCAGGCCTGTGATTAGGTGATTGGATTAGTGTGCAATTGCAGACGCCAGACTCAGTCCTCGGCCCGGCTTTTAGAAGTGTTTTTCGGTTTCAAAAGCTGAAGCAGCGCCAAACACCTCTAAAAGCTCGGCTCCGAAAAGCGCTTTTGTATAACATAAAACTAGAAGCTCCAAATTAGAGCTCTGCGAAAAGCTGTTTTGAAAATACAAGATTATCCTTACCATATTTTAATTTTATTTCAGAAAATATAATTTTCCTTCATTTATATCATTTTAAAAATAAAATAAATTATAAAATCATATGATTTAATATAAAAGAAATCTAACAAGATTCATTTTGACTAATTTTTATTGTTTAAAATTTTTATTTTTATTTTATATTATAAGTCATTTATAATCATTTTACACAACCACTCATATTAAAAAGTACTTCTAATAGTTTTACAGTCAAACACTGAACTGTTTTTTTTTTTAAAGTACTTATCTAAAAACTTCAGCTAGAAACTGCTTCTACAAAAGCTAGGCGAAACTAAGTTACAGTATAGTTGGCGAAAAAAGTTTTTCTACAAAATGAAAAAAAGAGGGGGAAATCAAAACGTCCTCCCCTTTGCCCTCTCGAACAAATGATTCGTCAACTCTTATGATTACCAGTTCACTTGAAAAGGAAGAATCTCAAGAAAGCCAGCCAATTTGCCATTATGGAGGATGGACAAAGTTGCTCAGATCGTTATATAGGGTTAATTCTTTCTTCATCATGGCGCATGCTCACCACCACTTGCATTTGCAGCAGGTAAAAGGAAAGCTCGCTTTCCCCCACCATTAATGAGCCTCCAAAATGGGTGAAACAGAATAGTAGCGTGCCGGGGACGGCAGCTGATGAGCAGGCGACGAGGCTCCTCGCCGGCACAATTTTGACTAATTTGCGCTACTGCACAGCTGTGTATTTTTCAATTGCCGGCCCCACTTGGTTCAAAGGCTTTAATGATATTAATTTAGGGGGTTCCTTTGTCTCCCTCTTTCTGTAATCTGCAGTGTGAAAAATTCTCCGGTGGCAGATGATTTGAATAGAAAATCAATTTCCCTGTTGCTCAGCTGAGCTCCTACTATCACTGCCCTTCCTGGCTTCTTCCCTTCCCTATCTCACTCCGAGAGCATTAGATTTCATAATTTAATAATGGGGAGATCTTTCGGCTTGTTAAACAATTCGATTGTTTGAAAAAGAAATTGGGCGGATTTGGGAACTGGGTAGTCTGCTTGGGGAGGGAAGTGAGCGAGGGGAGATGAAAAAGGAGGCAGCATCAGCATCTGAGTAGAATAGAACTGGGAGGGGAATAAGAAGAGAGACACAGAAGAAAACAAACTTTGGGAGAAAGAAAGATAGAAATCAGAAAGACTTTTGTTCTCCTCCCAAGCTTTGGATTCTCGGTCGTGGAGGAGATGTACTGTGGTGGTGGGATTGATGTGCTGTGGGTTCATTCGATGCTTTTCGGATATGAAAGGTACTTTCTTTCTTTCTTTCTTTGGACGAGCTCTTGATTTGATTCTCCTAATTCGCGTTTTCCTTTTTTTTTTGGTAGAATTCGCGTTTTCCTTGATGTATAGTATTTTATATTTATTGTTTAGGGTTTTGGTCTCCTAACTATTGCAGTTTCTTTCCAAAGTTGTGGTATTTTCTTGCCGGATTCTCCTGCATTCTCCGCTTTCATCTGGGTTTGGTTTCAATTCTTCCAAAACATATATCTTTATCTGTTTAGGGTTCCTGGGTTCTCAACCTCGCATCCTCGTTCTTCTTCTGTGTTTGTGTGTCTGCTGATCATGTGTTTATTTGGAGAATTCTGGGGCACCGAGCCAAAACCAAACCTTAGCGAGGCAATTTGAATGCTTGGAGATGTAATTATCGGTTATAGTAATGGTTTCAGTATGTTTGGTCTCGAGAAATTGGAACTGCAAGAACTGACAATTGGGGGGTTTATGGTGTTCTGTTGTTTAGTCTGATTCCGTTTCCAGATTAGATTTTTCCTTTTAAGGTCCTTGGTTCTCTTAGAACGAACCACCTGCAGACCTGCATGGTTTTCAGTTCCTGACAGTACTCTAATTGTTGTTCTATTTTTTCTTCTTCTATATGGTTCCTGTTTCTGCTGTCAATTGAAGAGTTCCCAGTTTTATGAGAGATAATGACACTTAAGGCTCGGATTCAGAACTGGAGGCTTCGGTTTAGCGTGAGGTTCGGGAAAATGATGAAGTGTATGCGCTCTGGGGAGCAGTTAAGAGTTGACGATATGGCTGCTTCCTCGTCGGAGTCTTTGGCAACTAAGGACTATTCAGCAAGTGGCTATTCTTCTCGGGCCGCTGAGCCCGACTCCAAGCTTGATAATAGCAACATTGAAGAAGCAGAGTTGTCCCTTCGCGAGAGTGGGTTTTTGAATTACGAGGTAAATTTTTGATTTGGTTTTTGCATACCAAGTTTATGTCCTTGGCAAAGAATGATTAACACTCCTTAGTAAGTAGCGAAAGAACAGCATTGTTGTCACCTTTATAGCAGGTGGCATTCTTGATTAGATGTTTGGATAGTGCTTGTTCAGTTTGTACTATGTTTCTGGGTTTGAATGAAGAAATCCTTGAGGTAGGATTCACTATTCACGAAGCTAATTTTTGGGGTCCCCGAATTTTAGGAAGCAAGAGCATTGTTAGGGAGGCTGGAGTATCAAAAGGGAAATATTGAAAGCGCACTTCATGTCTTTGAAGGAATAGACATAGCTGCAGTGACTTCTAGGATGAAAGTTGCACTATCTAAGAAAATTGATCATCAGAATAGGCGACGGTCCCAAAGTGATCCTGCTCCACCAATGTCCATGCATGCCATCAGCTTACTTCTCGAGGCTGTTCTTCTCAAGGCAAAATCATTGCAGGGTCTTGGGAGGTTTTCAGGTATAATTCATCATTTCTCATTTGGCTTTCAAATTTCTGCTTTAACTGTTTTGGTATGTTCTGGCTGTTATTCCTAAGATTGGAATTGGCACTATTTGCTTGGCTCATTTTCCTTTTTGTTATGTTTTATGCAGAGGCTTCTCAGTCCTGCAAAATAATTTTAGACACTGTTGAGTCTGCATTGCCAGATGGTGTATCAGAACAGGTTTCTACTGATTGCAAGTTGCAAGAGATTTTGAACAAAGCAGTGGAGTTGCTTCCTGAGCAATGTAAGCTTGCTGGGGCGCCCGAAGAAGCTATTGTAGCATACCGGCGTGCCCTCCTTTATTACTGGAATCTGGATACAGAAACAACTGCTAGGATACAGAAAGAGTTTGCCATTTTCCTTCTGTATAGTGGTACTGATGCAATTCCTCCAACTTTGCGTTTCCAAATGGATGGTTCTTTTGTGCCAAGAAACAACATAGAAGAGGCAGTCCTTCTGTTACTTATTCTTTTGAGAAAATTTGCGCTCAGGAAGATTGGATGGGATCCAACAGTCATGGATCATCTATCTTTTGCATTGTCTGTGTCGGGGGATCTAAGGGCACTTGCTTATCAAGTGGAAGAGTTGCTTCCAGGGACTACAGAAAGGCAAGAGAGATTTTGTACACTGGCTCTTTGCTATCATGGAGAAGGTGATAATGAAGTTGCACTAAATCTTCTAAGGAATTTCCTAAAGGATAGAGAAAGTAAGAGCTGCAACATGGAACTATTGCTTGCTTCTAAGATATGTGCAGAGAATTCTATGCAAGTTGATGAAGGGATTATTTATGCATGCAAAGCTCTTTGTGACCCTGGAAGATGTGTCCAAATAGCAAGCACTAGTAACTGCCTTTTGGGTCTTTTACTTTCAAATAAGTCAAGATTGGTTGCTTCTGATTCTGAAAGGGTTGTAAAGCAGTCCGAGGCAATTGAGAAGCTTGAACTTGCCGAGAGACTGATGAAAGAGAAAGACCCATATGTTGTATATCATCTGGCCCTAGAAAATGCTGAGCAGAGGAAGTTAGCTGCTGCACTGACTTATGCAAAGCAGGCTTTGAGACTGGAAGCTGGCTCTTCTGCAAAAACATATGTGCTTTTGGCTAGGGTACTGTCTGCTCAAAAACGGTTTGCTGATTCTGAGACTGTGATCAGTGCTGCTATAGATCAGACTGGGAGGTGGGATCATGGTGAACTGTTGAGAACAAAAGCGAAAATCCAAGTGGCACAGGGCCACCTAAAGAGTGCAATTGAGACATACACTCGCCTTCTCGCTATTCTCCAAGTTCGAACTAAAAACACTGGCTTGGAGAAGAAACTTCACAAGGTACAGTGACTATCCTGACACTCCTTATGCAGTAGGAATGAAAATGGGGCAGGGTAGAGCAGCTAACATGATACCCATAACCTTTGTGCACTACCCATGGATCAGGTTTGGAAATATCCGTGAGGGGCAGGTCAGATCATTCTGACATGTGATTAGAAGAAAATATATGCAGCATCTTAATCTTTATATGAAAAACATGGGAAAATGCTTTCTAAATGAAAAAGACACCCCTATTCAGCTGTAGCTATTGTTTTCTTAGAGTAATTAAAATGGCATAAATCCGATTAAATATAATAGGTTTGGAAGTAAAGCACGTGCCTCGTTTGCGAGCAAAGCCATGGTTGGCAGCTGGGAAAAGATCTGATCAAGTGGGTCAATTTGAAATTATCTCCATTATGCAGGAGCATTGTAATTCCAAATCTTGGAATCGTGGGGACAAGGATACTGAGGATATATTAGCACGACGGTCCCATACTTAATATCGCCTTTGCCGGAGCAAATAATGAATCAGTTTCTCATTTTTTATTCTTGCAGAGTAGCAGGACCAGTGATAGGAAGCTGGAAATGGAGACCTGGCATGATCTAGCTAACGTATACACGAGCATGTCTCAATTGCGAGATGCTGAGGTCTGCCTTTCTAAATCCATTGTTATCAACCCGTATTCTGCATCAAGATGGCACGCCACAGGTAAATCAGTTTCTCCACACAAACCCTCCATATTCCCCCTTTTCATTAGCTACAGCAGCTCGCGATTATGTTCTAACCAGAAAGCCTTGTGGTTACCGGTTCCGGCAGGTGCACTATACGAAGCAAAGGGAATGCACCAAGAAGCACTGAAAGCATACAAGGCCGCGTTAGATGCCGAGCCATCCCATGTCCCAAGCCTGATATCCACCGCTTGTGTCCTCAAATTCCTCGGTGTCAACTCATTGCCGGTCATCAAAAGCTTCATCACCGATGCTCTTCGATTCGACAAGCTGAACCATTCCGCATGGTACCAGCTTGGACTGATCAATCAGGCTGATCCGAGTGCATCAGCAGCCGATGCTTTGGAATGCTTTGAGGCTGCTGCTATGCTGGAAGAAACTGCACCAGTAGAACCGTTCAGATGACCCCGATCGACTAGTGCACAGCTCTCGTCGGGGCTCTATGAAGCACAGTTAAGTTGTAAATTGTAACTTGAAGATGCATTTTTCCCCTTGTACAATCTGTCTTGCATTAGTAGATGTGATATATAGAGGTGCAGATATACTAATTATTTGCCATTGTTGTCTAAGTTTTCACAGCTTGGAGTGATTTATGCAGTCCACCTTTTTTTCTTCCCTTTTTGAAAGATTTCTTCAGATAAGCAGATGTATGATTGATTGTAGAAAAGAATGGATGTAAATGTTATCAACTCCTTTTTATCTTATTTTATAAGAAACATATATCCTGTGTGAAGGTGGTTGGTTATCTATGGGGCGTGCCAGAAGAATGACAGAACGAGCAAATAGGAGGTTGGGAACAAATGACCTCATGAAGCATGCGTGAAGCTGGTTGGTGGGAGGTCCAAGGAACAATCTTTATTGAGAAACTAGTTGTGTAATAGAAATTCAAGCTCGATTGTAGTAGGTTTATAGGGTATAATATGCCCCTCTATTATGACGTTTTATCAAATATGTCCCTATACTATTTTTTACATCAAACATGCCCCTGTACTTTGAAAAAATTATCAAACATGCCTTTCTGTTAAACTTTCCATTGAAAAAATCGTCAATCATAGTTGAACCGAGATATAGACGACCCGACATATGCAAATGAGAGCGAAAATGTCAGTTTTGTCTCTCGTTTTATTTCTCTGTGTCTCTTCAAAGTGAAATTATTTGATTTTTTTGGCTATACAAAAGAACCAAAAAAATTCTAAAGTAAAATTATTAGGGATATTTTAGACATTTGTGTCACCCAAACCAAAGTTCGGCCTTTGTTAACGGATTTTGGATGGAAATTTTAACAGAAGAGCATGTTTGACAATTTTTTCAAAGTACAGAGGCATGTTTGATGTAAAAAAAAATAATCGAGAGACATGTTTGATAAATCGTTATAGTAGAGGAGCATATTTTACCTATAACCCCTTGTAGTATAATCAAATAATAGAGCGTGCTATTCGGAGGCTGAAAATACATGAAGATCTATAGGCAAATAGATTCAAAATAGGGGTAGAAAAAAAAGAGTCGAGTCCAAAATTATTATTTGCTATATACTTATATAGTAAACTATTAAATTGTAAAAGCTACCCAAAGAAGAGTTGATTATCATAGTCATGCATGAGCCATGATGGTTACACAAATGGGGTTTGATAAACAATTTGTGAGGAGTCAAACTAACAGCAAATTTTTTTCGAAAATTGAAGTCTATCACTTCTAACGTTGGTTTTCAATTGTAAAGGTCTTAGATTTAAATATTTTATACAACATGAAAACAATAAAAAAAAACTAACTGATTAACTATAAAGGGGAGAAAATCCTTGGTGCAGTGAAATGTCTTAAACATATTTGATCCTCATTATATGATTAATTAGCTTTAAAATCCACTTATTATTGAATATTGAGAATATATGAGATCTCGAATGGCAATTTTGCAAAGGAGCGGAATTGTAAATAAGGCACAACTACTAAGATCAATGGGAATCCCACAACCTTTGTGTGCACAAGAAACCCTCCAATCAACATTGCCATTATGATCACACGGCTAAGATTAGGTTTCCCAATTTCCTTCATCCTATATAAACCCTCCAAATCCTAGTTGGGAAAGCCTCCACAAAACACAAACCACAAACAAATCAAAGAAAAGATACAAGAAACAAGACAGGAAAAATGAGCATGGTCAGCGCTCTCACCACATCGTCGCTGCTGCTTCTGGTCCTGCTCGTGATGATCACAACACTTGTCGGAACTTCATCTGCGTGGAGCTTATGGCCGTACAAGCATGTTCATGTGCGCAATGAGTTGACAACAGCGTACAATGGTGTCTTGCACGTTCACTGTTGGTCCAAGAACGATGACAGAGGAGTTCAAGATGTGGGTGTTGGGACGGAGTTTACGTGGAGGTTCAAGCCCAACATATTTGGGACGACAAAGTGGACGTGCGAGGTGTCGACGGATGATCATCGTCGGGCTAGCTTTGATTCGTACTGGGAGGATCTAGGCCAAGGAAGGAGGGAGTACAAGGAGAACATTTTTTGGGTTGCGGAAGAGGATGGTGTTTACCTTAGAATTATTCAAGAGAATAGAGATCAGTATTGGGCCAAGTGGCAATCACAATAGGTTTTAGAACTTCTTCTTTTTTATATAGTTAATTTGTGTTTGAATAAGGTTGGAGTAATATAGCTCACATCAATTGCTCTTACAGATGTGTTTTCATATTAGCTTAGAATGAAATCTACACTAAATTGCACAAGAAGAGCAAATTGTTATGTTTAGTTCCGGTGAGAATTAAGATATATTCGTGGAACCCTAAAATTTGTTTGAGCCCGGGTGACTGGGCGTCACTCGGGTCCAAGGGGTTTGGGACGTCAGCCATGACTTCGAGAGGGTAGGCGCCCCGCCTCGTCAGAAGCAAGAAAAGAGAAGAAGTATATAGAGAGAGAAAGTAGAGAGAAGTAATAGTAAGAGTAGATAGATTGTCATTTATGAGGAGAGAACTCCTATTTATACACATTTGAGGATTAGGTAGTGGTCTGGGCGCCTGCCAAGCCATAAATGCTGTGGTCGGGCGCCTCAGACCTTCTGACACTGTACATGGTCCTTTTTGACAGAGGGTGTCCCCCTGCCCCTTGTCCTTGCTGATGTCAGGTGCCTGACCTTGTCTCTTGTCTCCCAGCCTTGTCTTTTTGCTCTTGTCTTCTTTCCTTCTTTATGCCATTAGCTAGGGTATTATTTTCTTAGTTACTAGGATACCATATCAATTGCCCCTTTTGGCGATGGCGTGAGTATCGCGGTATCGTCAAACAAATATGTTCTATGATGGTAAAAATACAAAGACTGTAAAAGAATAGATAAAAAATAAAATAAATAAATAAAAAATAAAAATTAGTAAAAAGGAAAAGAAAGAATTAGAAATAAATAAGCAAAATATATAAAATAACAAAAAAAAAAACAAAAAGCCATTGGCAAGGAGTGGGGTGGCAGCGAAGACGCCACCCCATATAGGCTGCTAGCAGCAGCTTTTGACCAAGCCCACTCAAATTTGGAAGGAGTGGTTTTAATTGAGGGTGATGGAAGGTTGGGCCCTAGGGCAGCCCGCTTCGAGAACCGTGCGCCCTCCTTCTCATTCCTATTTAAGTCCCCCCTTATTCATTCCATCCATTTTTTCTCAATTTTTTTTTTGTTTCAGCCGTCCGCCATCTCTCCTCGGCGCCTCACTAATCGGCCGCTCGCCTTCTCACCTCGGCGCTTTACTTCGCGCAGGCGGCGCTCCCCTTTTTCCTTAGCGCCTCTCAACCATTCTCTTCCGGTTGTATTGGGAAGGAGCTCTTTCTCCACGACGCCTTGACTCTCCAAACAGGCGGCGCTTCCCCAGCTGATTGCTTCGCTTCGCTTTCTCCGAGCCAGCGGCGCCACCCCCTGCATATTAGGTACGTTTTTTTTTTCTTGGATTAAGGAGGCGGCGCCTCCGATAATTGTTAGCTAGGGTTTGTCTCAACTTTCCCGACTATTCCAGTCATCTATGGGCGCCTTCCCGTTGGTTCTCGTCGGTAGGCGCCACGTTGCCCACACCTTGAGGTTTGTTTCAAATTAGAAGGATCGGAGGCGCCACCCCCCCCCCCTCTTCTATGCACAGGCGCCTTGGTTTCTTAACGGACTTCGGGAGGATATAATCCGGCCGCCCCTTCCAATTGGGAGCGCCGCCTCCCTTACTTTTTGCTAGGCGCCTTTGTTCTTTGTCATACCGATTTTCGTTGACGGGCGCCTACCTTTTGTTGTATTGGGCATCTCTGTTGAGATTCGATTGTGATACTGCGCTCTTAATGTCTGTGGGTTTCTTTGATTGCTGTCTGTTTGCTTCCGCCTTTTGATTTGTTTTTCGATTCTCTTATTTCAAAAACGCCGCCCTGCTTACCCGCGCCTTGCTCTTTGTCTGTTTGCAGGCTTTGATTTCAAGGCGTCGAAGGCGTCTAGCAACGCATAGCCACGGGAGGCGACAACGGTTTTTTACCCGCGCGTTACCGGCTTAGGCGTTGTACACGCTTCTCCTCCAAGACTCATTTTGCCGCCCACCACTCTCTTATGGCTTCCAATAATTCGCAACCCTCTGCATCTATGGGTGGCGCCTCCGCTCCTTCTAAAGGGAAGGAGAAGGCTTCTTCAAGCAAAGTTAGAAAGATGGGTAAGCTACGCTATCCCTATTTTGTTTCAACTTTAATATCATGTATTTGTTTTTTTGGGAATCTTAGCGGATCGAACAGTGTATAGACGAGCTAAATGGAGACTCACCGAGATCGCCAGTGACATCGAGGATGATCAATCATATACCCTGATATTCGGCTTAAATATATCGGATTCTTGGACTTTATGTGATTATTCATGGTATGTTTTAGCCAATTGGTGCTATTTTAGGGCTCCCTAACCCGAGAATGGTTGAAAAAACCATTACTGCCTAGTGCCATGAGTTTGATATATTGCAGGTGGAGAAAGCACGAAAGAGGAGCGAGTGCACAAACCATTCTCGAAGCTGGGCTCAAGGCCCAACTGGATGAAGCAATTTTTGGGCCAGGAATTAGAAAGAAAAGGCTGGGCGGCGGGCTCTTTTGGACGGAAGTCCAATTAATTGGACAAGGATTCTCTTTTGGCAGAAGGCTATTCTTTTGGGAAGCTTGGGCCACGAAATTCTTTGGGGGAAAAGAGAAAAGAGGATTCTGGGCGGCACATTTTTGAGGGAGGTTTATTAATTTTGGACCGGCAACAGGAGGGGTTTTCTTGGACCGGGGGGAATCTCATTTTGGGGGGAGGAGACGTAATTAGAGGGGGAAACGAAATTCTCTGGGAAAAAAGAAGAAGAAAAGAGGCGCATCAGTGGGGGAGAAAGAAAGAAAGCAGCGGAGAAAGGCAGCAGGGCGCAGCAGAGAGCGTATCGAGCAACGAGCAGTTTTTTTTCAAGCGGCTAGAGCTGAGTTCAACGAGAGCGATTAGTTGGTTGGATTTTCTAAACCGAATTAGTTGTTTCTTGTTGATTTAGAACATGATGAACAAAACCCTATCGATTTATCTTAATTTCGTCATGAACTAAACCCCAATTTCTGGGGGAAACACCATAGGATGTAGCTATTTCTTGATTTGATGGATTGATTTATGATTCTTTTCTTCCAATCTCTATTGCATGAAATTTCTTAATGCTTTGTGTTGACTGGCCACCAATACATTGATTTGTTGTTAATTAGGTTATTAGCGACAGTGAAACCCTATTAACTGAACCTATTTCATGTGACATAGTAACTTATCGAAGCGACAGTGGATTAAATAAGGTACTATGCGGTCTTAATTGGGATATCGGTCTTCAGGCTAAATAATTAAGTCATTGAGCTACGACAGTAGGATTTGAATTGATTATTCAGTACGTAGTAATTCCCGACAGGGATAGCTAGCACATTCGTGATATCCTGGCTGTAGAGAGTTGGATTAAATTGATTGGAGTATGTGAATTAATCTGGATAGGATAGGTAGTGAATCCCGGTGTTTCTCCCAGAGCTTCTCCCATTGAATTTCTCCCGACAAGTTTACTTTGCTTAATTAGTTTAATTATTTTGCTTTTAGAAATTAGTTTATATCTCAAACCATTTTCACTTATAGTTTGCTCATAAATTTGATAGAATATAAGGTTGTACCAGTCCCTGAGAGACGATACCCGGACTTTCCGGTTTTACTACAAGATAGGAATTGAAGCTATACGCTTTTGACCTATCAAGTTTTTGGCGCCGTTGCCGGGGACTGCCATACCTTATTTTTGTTGATTTTTGTGAGTGAACTGTTTTGATCTGGGTGTTAGTGTGCAGGTGAATTTTTCAGGTTAATCCTCCTCGTGCATGCCAAGGAGGACGACTGGCAATTTACTGCCACTAGATCCCGAGATCGAGAGGACCTGCCGACAGAACAGGAAGCAGGTCCAGTTAGGGAAGCAGCCTACCACATCCACAACTCCTAGGCCTTCCCTAACTCAGAATCGTCAACCGAGAAGGCAGGTGACACCACCTGTCATCCCTACACCACTTACACCACCGCCGCGCATCATCGAGCCTGTCATCATGGCTGACGAGGATCGTTCGATCAGGGCTCGTCTGAATCGTAGGACTGGAGCCCGAGCTTCATGTGTTGTCATTCCGGCTGGGGATGCAAACATGGAGATTACCCCAGCCTTCATCAATATGATCACTAATGGGTACACCTTCTCCGGGGCTAGCAGTGAGGATCCTCATGAGCATCTTCGCCGGTTCGCGAGCATTTGTGATACTATGAAGAGCCCGAACGTGTCTGATGATGCAATCCGTCTTCGGATGTTCTCATTTTCTCTGCTAGGGAATGCATCACACTGGTTCCAAAACTTAACACCCCGTTCCATCACGACATGGGGTCAGCTTGAGAAGGTATTTCTGGATAAATACTTCCCACCTGCCTTGGCAATGAAGAGGCAAGAAGAGATTGTTACTTTTAAGCAGACTGATGATGAGAGTCTGACTGAGGCATGGGAGCGCTACAAGGGGCTGTTGATGAGATGCCCAAGCCATGGTCTTGAAGATTGGAACGTGATCATTATTTTCTTCAATGGAATCAGAAGGGAGTTTCGGGATGCCCTGAATAATGCTTCTCGAAATGGTTTCACAAGCATGGAGGCACCAGCAGCATATGATCTGGTAGAGAAGATCTGTTCAGAAGCCACTGAATGGGGTAGTGAGACCAGTATTCGAAGGAGAGGAGGCTTGCATGAGATAAACAGAGTTGCGAGTCTAGAAGCCAAGATAGATGCTAAACTGGATTCCAAGTTTGATGCACTCGAACGAAGGTTGGCCAAGATTGCTCTGGGTAGACAAGAGGAGGTTGTTTCATGTGAACTTTGCGAGGGTCCTCATCACAGGGATATGTGTCCACTGGGAGCTGCTCAGCTGGAAGATGTCCAATACATCAATAATCCGCGAAGTCAAGGCCAGGGTGGTATGTATTCAAATACATATAACCCTCAATGGAGACATCACCCCAACATGTCATGGTCAAATAATAATCCAGCTGGTGTTCGAAACATCCCACCTCCCGGTTTTCAACAGCAGCAGCCTCAACCAGAGAAGAAGCCCCAGCTGGAGGAGTTGATTTTGGCTCATATGCAGAAAACAGACAATAATTTCAAGGGCCTGGATCAATTTGTCACTCAACAGCTAGCCATCAACAATAATTTACAATCGTCTATGCTAGCTATAGAGAGGCAGATGGGACAGATGGCTCAAACTTTGGCAGATATGCAAGGCAGGATTCCTGGGACATTACCAGCAAATACTGAGAGGAATCCGAAGGATGCCATGGTTGTAGCAGTGACATTGAGGAGTGGAAAGGCCTTGGAAGACCCTAGCTGCTTGAAAAAGGCACCAGAGGCGGAAGAGGAAGCACCGGGAGAAAGATCTTGTGCAGAAAATGAAGAACCAGCCTTGCACAGGCAAAATGAAAGCGGTTTGCCTGTGCAAAAGCATGCTGCCCGTGTACCTCAAAAAGTGGAAAAATTGAAGAATGAAGAGGTAAAACCTTATGAACCTCCCGCACCATTCCCTCAAAGGTTAATGAAGCCCATGGAAGACCCAAACTTCAAGAAATTTGTGAATATCTTCAAGCAACTTCAGATTAACATACCCTTGGCGGAGGCACTTGAACAGATGCCTACATATGCTAAATTCTTAAGGGAGTTGCTGACAAAGAAGCGGAAATGGGCTGATCTGGAGAAGGTAACCCTTACTTCTGAATGTAGTGCTGTGATTCAGAATAAATTACCAGAAAAGAGGGATGATCCGGGCAGCTTCACCATTCCATGTGTCATTGGAGGTACAGAATTCAATAAATCACTTTGTGATCTTGGAGCAGGAATTAATTTGATGCCATACTCAGTCTACAAGAAGTTGGGATTGGGAAATGTTCTAAAGCCTACTCGGATCACTCTCCAATTGGCTGATCGATCAGTGAAAATTCCAAAAGGAGTGGTGGAGAATGTATTGGTGAAGGTGGGAAAGTTTATTCTCCCAACAGATTTTGTAATCCTGGAGATGGAAGATGATCGGGGAGTGCCTCTAATCCTCGGCAGACCTTTTCTAGCAACCGGTGATGCACTCATCGATGTTGGGAGAGGCAAGTTGACATTCCGAGTAGGTAAGGAGGAGGAAATTTTTAATGTCTTTCAAGTTGACCATAATCATGATGAATTTGAAAGTGAAGCTCGAGAAAGGAAAAATCCCTCTTCCTGTGATAGTGGACCATCCGAAGAACTATCACCTATCCTATCTGCTCAGATTCTGAAGTCAAAGCAAGGGCAGAAATCCTTGCCAGGTCACCTCAAGTATAGATATTTGGGTAAGGATTTCAATCTTCCTGTTATTATTCCTTCTTCACTGACATTGAAACAGGAAGAGTACCTGCTTGAGGCGCTGCAGTACCACCTACGCCTCACTAGAGGGTCTAACATGCCAGCTAAGAAGGTCATACCCAATTTTCGCACACCTGGCCCTGCAGAGGTGACTCATATGCTGGATGGAGGTTATGCGTTCTACCATTGCTCGGGAGGGTATGCTGGATACCTTTCCATACCCATTGGTTGAAAGCTCCATAAACGTCAGGCTGAGGACGTTAAACAAGCGCTTCTTGGGAGGCAACCCAAGGTAAGTTTTCTTTTCTTTATTTTTATTTTTAGTTGTGTCAAACCCGTGCATGTTTAGATTAGGAGTTGAACATTAGGGACAATGTTCCATCCTGAGTGTGGGGTGGCGAGTCTTAGTGTTTGTTTGTTCCTTTTGTCATGTGGTCAGTAAAAAAAAAAAAAAAAAAAAAATTGTTTGTTCCTTTTGTCATGTGGTCGGTAAAAAAAACAAAAAATCCAAAAAAAAACAAAAAAAAAAACAAAACAAAACAAAACAAAAAAATTGCCATTAGGTTGAGCACAGCCAAACTGCATGCAGTTTGCCTGTGTAAAAAGCAGTCTGCCTGTGTAAAAAGCAAGCTGCCTGTGTTAATCTAATGGCTAAAAAACACCTAAAAATCAGAAAAATCAAAAACAAAACCTTGTACTCTTGTG